TATATTGATAACACTGCAATGTGAATGTTCCAGCAGAGGTCAGTGTTGCAGGCAGTCAAGAGAACTCAGTCAGGCCACTTAAACAACCTGCACTTAAACCAGGAGGTAAAATACAGTCGGCCATTATGTAGTGTGTTTGCAACTGTTTCAGCTTTCTTCAATTGTTTGGCTCAAAATGGGGAAATGGAATGCAGTTTTTATTTTAACACAAAGCAATTAACTGAAGGCATGTCTTATAAGTTCACCCACACCGGTACTCACTTACTGACTACCATCATATCAGCACTTTTGATTCTTTCTAATCTTCAATTTCTGTCTCTAAAGGTTTTCCAAGAACAGCTTGTACTAATATTAACAGTTATTAACAATTACATCTTGAGTGTAATTATAATCTATTCTCTGTTGTCTCAGGTAGAGCATGTGTTCTCTGGTCAGGTGCAGTATGTTGAAGGAGCTAGTGATGCCCCTTTCCCTACCTCCACCATGTAAGTACTATATTATTGTGCAAAAAAGAAACTTTGTAACTTTGTCACTGGTGGACACCCTTTTCATCAAATTTATTTTTATTTAGCCGTTCAAGCAACTACCCTTTCTCCAATTCACCACTCTATTCCCAAACTCCGACGTCCTCCTCCAACTTCTATGAAGCCACCTCCAGCTCTGAGTCGGACATCCCTGGAGCTGTGGCCTCTCAGTCTGTTGCAGCAGCAGTTACAGCGGGCACTACCACGGCTGCGGGCGGGGCGGGCTATGTGCTTCCTGGGGGATATCTGTTGGGAGCAGCTCAGACTTTCTCCGGATCGAACTCTCGTGCTCCACCTGCCACTGTAAGGGTTCAACTTTTGCTCATTAAAGATGCATTATATAACAAGCTCAGGTGAACGGTCTACCAACTGCTTGTCTTCAGGAAGATGGCATTGTTTTGTCAGTCTGTCATTAAATGAATCTTGCATTAATTAAAGAGAAGCTTGCATTGTTACTGTGAGTGGTTTGCCCCGCTACATATCTGACTTATAACCTGACTTGGTGGCATCATTTACTTGTCTCCATAAATGCAGATGAGTTTAATGCCATACTCTGGAACATTGCAGACAAGGTAATAGCATCTCCATGGTGACAAGAGCTGGTGGATCCTTCACCAGAAACGTTACGATACTGGCTAGATACAATTACAATAAAGGTATTAATATTATATTAGAATATGAAACATGTATTGCAGATGGTAGATATCTAACCTTACGTCATGACTTTAATTTCTCTGGTATTGATATTTTGCAGTGACAAGCATGAGTTGAGGGTGATTTTTTTATGAATTTCCATGGCAAAATGTTTATCAGTTACCATGGTAACACAAAGCATACATTAGCAATAACTTCCATAAAAGTTGTCTGAAAACTCAATAAAAATACAAAATGGATTTAAGCAACACATTTTAAGGAGCCTGTGATTAATATGAGCTTTCATGGACCTGTTTAGGTGTTTGGTTTGCAACAAAAAAAAGATGAGAGCAGCTAACTGAAAAACTGTGGGTTATTGCTAACTATCTTGTGACTAATGTGACTCTATGTGAGAGGGACTTTTTAAGAGCACAAATCAGATCACGAGTTGCAGTTCCAAGTAAGTCAGTTCTTTCTGGTTGAGATTGTGTTAATATGAATCTCAGATTAAAGTCTAACAAGCCACAGATAGAGAAGTTAATATCACTCCGCCAGATAATATCAGTTTCATCAATTGCAAGGTATCAATATAATAAATATTGTAATAACTGACACCACGCAAGTAATGTCTGTATTTGATTGTGTATTAATTGCATTTTAGGTGCAGTGGCTGGTTGAAAACTACGAGGGAGCAGAAGGTGTGAGCTTGCCCCGCTGCACTCTTTACTATCACTATCTGCTGCATTGTCAGGAGCAGAAACTCGAGCCAGTGAATGCTGCTTCTTTTGGAAAACTTATTCGGTCTGTCTTTTTGGGTTTGCGCACAAGGAGATTAGGAACTAGGTAAGTAAAAAGCAACAGGTACAAATCAATGAACATGCAACAATAATCAATGAAATAATTATTTCATATTTTAGAGGGAACTCCAAGTACCATTACTATGGCCTGAGGATCAAGTCAGGCTCCCCTCTGCTCAGGCTGATGGATGAGCATCAACACATGGCCATGAGGCAGCAGCCATTTTCACAGAAAACACGGTAAAAAAAACCCCCATCAAATTACTTTTTAATATTCAGTGCTTGGATATAAATTTTGTGTTATTTTCAAGTGTAAGTCTTATTACACTGCTATAATAACAGGTTTGTATGGCTTGTGGTACAAAGGTTTGGTGAAACCTTTTCTACAATGGACCACTCCTGGTTGAATGAGGGATTAATTACCAGATTTATATAAATTGTACACACTGCTAATACCAACAGTGTTCATTTGTGCTTAACCAACAGGGTAAAGCAGGTTCAGAAGGCACAGGGCATTGCTAATGGGACATCAGGAGGGGCAGGTCAACAGCAGGCAACAGGACTGTGTGACATTTCAGCTCAGGTTCAACAGTACCAGCAGTTCCTGGGTGAGGAAAATTAATTTGCTTACACTTGACTAAACAAACTTCTTTCAACCATTTCAACCAACTATTCTATCCATCATCTCATTCCTCTCTTGACAACAGAGGCATCACGGCCACTTCCAGAATTTGGGGACATTGATTTACAAGACAGAGCTCTGCCTGATGGAGTCCTTTTGGAGCACCTCAGGGCATTTCAGAGTCTTTACAGGGAACACTGTGAGGTAGTTACCACCCATGGTGTATTTTATGTGTAATTTAAAGCAAGATTGGTAACATTTGCACTGTGGTGTTGTTGGATCATAGGCAGTAATGGACGTCATGATCAATCTTCAGTTCACTCTTGTGGAAACACTGTGGAAATCCTTCTGGAGGTTTAGTCAAAACAATGACACAGAATCCCTCAACCTGTAAGTAGCAGCATAGCCCCTTAATGCATTAATAATTGATGTATATGTGAATAATACTAAATGTCATAGTTCATTCATATGCAAAAATGTGGGTGAATGCTCTTCTAGGCATAATGAGTCAGAGAAACGGCTGCCTAAGGCCTGTCTGGTGATGCTGTGTAAGTTTGAGCCAGTCCTTCTCTGGACCAAAGAATGTGACAACCTGCTCTACCAGACTCTAGTGGAGATCCTCATTCCTGATGTATTGAGACCTATTCCCAGTAAGCAGCACATGCAGTACCTTATTAAAAATATGTGTGTGCTTACTGAAGTAACTGTTATCTCTCATTCTACATTAGGTGCCTTAACTCAGGCTATTCGCAATTTTGCTAAAAGTTTAGAGAGTTGGCTGATTGGTGCCATGATGAACATCCCAGAAGAGATGGTTCGCATTAAGGTATGTTCTTTCCCTTTCACCTTGTGTAGCCATTGTATGATGTTATGAATGTTTTCTGCCTCATCCATACTGTAGGTAGTTTGTGTGAACTCCTTTTCCCAAACCCTGCGCCGCTACACCAGCCTGAATCATTTGGCCCAAGCAGCTCGTGCTGTGCTTCAGAATTCAGCTCAGATCAACCAAATGCTGTCGGACTTAAACAGAGTGGATTTCACCAACGTTCAGGTTTGACATTTGACCTCAGTTTGACTTGTGCTTCTTGTTTACTCTGCTCACTGCTCTCTCTGCTCCACACAGGAGCAGGCATCGTGGGTGTGTCAGTGCGATGACGTTATGGTTAAACGTTTGGAGCAGGACTTTAAAGTGACTCTTCAGCAGCAGAACTCCCTGGAGCGGTGGGCCTTATGGCTGGACAGTGTGGTCACTCAGGTGCTCAAACCCTTCGAAAACAACCCTGCCACTTTACCAAAGGCAGCCAAAACCTTTCTGCTCAACTGGTCATTTTACAGGTAAGAATAAGATGTTCATGGATAACTGACATATTGTCTAACCATCTTCTTGCTCCTCTAGTTCGATGGTGATTCGAGACCTGACTCTTCGCAGTGCTGCGAGCTTTGGCTCCTTTCACCTGATCCGCCTGCTGTATGACGAGTACATGTACTACCTCATAGAGCACAGAGTGGCCCGGGCCAAAGGGGAAACTCCTATTGCAGTGATGGGAGAGGTATGCAAGTCCTGCATAAAATAAATATTTATTAATTACTCTCCTTTGTGACACGTTTTGATACTTTTTCTAGTTTTCCAGTACAGTGAAGAGACATAACTCACCAGATATGGAGAAAGGTAAGGTGCTACATGTGAATAATATAGAACCCATAATGTACAGTGAATGGGTTTTTAAAGAAGTTTGACCTCCAAGCTTGGTATTCCAATCCTGTGTGTTTTCCATAAAATTTAATTGTTTTTTTGTCCATATCTAAAGTATTGTGGCACTAGTTTTTGGAGTATCTTAGTGATTAGATGCATTGATTTTCTGTTGCTCCTGTCAGACGAGGAAGAGGAGGAGGAAGACGATGACAGTGATGAAGAGGGTGGAGACATCATGCTTCAGTCCAGTTCTCTAAACGAGGTGAGAGACAAAGATTCACTGGAACCACCAACCAAACAGCCCAGGACAAGCCTCAATCTGCTGCCAGAGACACACAGCACATCTTAAACACCATCCTATCTGTGTCCTTAACATTTACCATGCCACTGCGTTGATTCACTGTGGTGTTGTGAGCTAACTGCGAATGCATGCTGTGAGTATGAACTTGATAGAATGGGAATTAAATCAGCCTTTCTCGCCAAATGTTTTTTTTTTTTTTTTTTTTTAATCTTAATTTCAGATGCCATTTTCTGCCTTCAGATCATCTAATCCTTATCATCATACTCCTTGTGCCTTTCCTATACTCCCAGTGGCTGTTGAGATTAAAAGCCATGTTTGTTTAGCCTTTATGAAATATATACTTGTTTATTTCTTTATATAAAAAATTATTGTATCCCTTTTTACCCCGCCTTAACCACTGACCTGATCGCTGTGGTAAAAATCACATTATAATCCGTTGTGCTCTACTTTAAATTTAAGCCAAGGAGATGACTATGCAGAAGAGCACTGCACCATTTACTGTATTGTTTGACTTGCTATGTTATATTCAGCCATATTTTTTACATGTTTATTCATTGAGGTAACTAATGAATAAACTAACTGTGCCTTTTGCGAGGTGTGTAGGTGGAAATGTGCGTATAATATATATTCTGTAACAGTGGGTTAATAAACAATGGTCATGTGGTGTGAGTTGTTTTGTAATTTTTTCCTTCAGTGCTCCATCCATTCCTTATTTTACTTCCACAGCAGCAGTGTAACCTGAACTAGATGATTTGACTAGATGTACAAGCTATGCAGTTGCCTTGTATTATATGAAACCACATCATAATGGAGGGTAGAATAGAGAAGGAGTAGAGCTGGAGGATATGAGCCTTTAGTTTAGTTGACATGTCTTCTCAACTTTCAAAAATTATCAAATGTTTCTGTAGGATACATCACCTCAAATAGATAAAAAAAATAGGTGAGGCTGATCCAAACGTATTGAAGAATAAGGAGAATGTTTACATATTACGCACACACCCACAGAGCTAAATGATATGATAAATGCCACTTTTACTTTATTGACATTAGAAGACTGGAACATGGCTGCTGTAATCGGTGCACCATTAATACGTTGCTATAGCACACTTGATATCACCACATTCAAACAGTCACACAATAAGTAAAAAATATTCAGTCCAGATCCTTGTTACAATAAACAAAAACAATGACATTAGTAAAATTACAATATAAAACATTATTTACAGTTTGACAAATGTGTTAAGTAAATCCTGGCCTCTGCCAAAAGTCCAGTTTCAAAGTACAATCCAGGTGCATCTGTCACTGTCGGCCAACACCTGAAGAGATGAGCCTAAAGATGAGACATTAAATATATTTTAGACATTAGTAGCACAACATTAGTTATCTCAGAGTTGGTCCAAGTAAAAACAGCAGAGAAATCACATCTCACTAGGCCTGTCATAAAAAATTACTATATCAACTATTTGTTCAGTATTTGATAGATGTCTAGCTTTCTTTCCGCTAGTGGAAAATCTTAGATTTTTTTTTTTTTGCCAATATGATAAAATGTGAGTACTCATTATAGATACAAACTAACTAAGGACTGTGTCCTGCCATTTATTTTTAAACAATACTGTACATTTAGAATAGATTTAGGGGTATAAATCTGCTTTTGCGTGATTGTGTCAGTGGCATAAATTAGTTTCAATATTATCCTTTATTGTCTATATTTATTTCAGTAATATATCGTACTTCAAAATTTCTTATTGCAACAGGTCTACATCTCATCACTTCAAATGTGTTGAGAGCAAAGGGCTGCTCATGTGTACACTATTTGAGTAAACATTGATTTTTGAAGAGAAATTGTTTAAACATCAACAGATTTTTGTTTAGTAATAGGGGGACCATGTTTTCCTTTTTGCAATGCAATGTCTATTTACAGATAATTGTCCTAAATATAATTTGCTCCTTAACTGAAAGGGATAAATTGGAGCTATCCACCACTGACAGCATCTGGGCTTAATCAACATTTTGATGATAACAGATGTGCAGTGTGTTCATTTGTCAAGTCGAAGGCCGACCAGCAGTACTATTATAATATAAAATACATAAAGATTAGACAGTGGGCTTTGAGAATATAAGTCACCTTTATGGAGAGCTTCATTAGTCATTCGATTAATGTAGCGAGAGCCACTTTCAGGAACCAGCCATTTCATGACTGTGTTAACGCAGGTTTTTCTATAGGAGCTCCACACACTGCCACTGAAAGAAACAACTGTTTAACCAGCAAAAAACAACCTGAACAATGAACAGATAATTAGCAAGGAAGTGTGTGTTTCACACCTTGTCTGGCCTTTGACCTCTGTCAGGTCTCCCACACCAACAGTGCAGCATACACCAGTGTTGAGGTCCCAGCTGACCCGCAGGTTTGAGTGGTATGTGTTTGGTCTAGTTAAAAAACATGAGACATTTTGCCAAAGTTTAGCAAAAAACAGAAAAAAGATCTTATCGGGCAAAAATTAATACAAGTATTACAAAACTACATCATAGGGTGGGTGATATGACAGTGATTGAAAATGCATAAGAAAAGTGCGATAACATGTCTGTAAAAGCATGGCTGAGTTCATCCACACATGAAGTGGGCTGTAAAATTAATCATAGCCAGATATTGCTTTATAACCTTATTTGAAAGATTACTCTGCAATTTTGTTAAATTTTATTTGTATATTTTGCAGACCATAAAGTACACTTTTGGGGGTCACAGTGGCTCGCTTAAATCAGTCTACCCCAGGGCAGCTGTGGCTATAACAGTAATTTACCACCCCCAGTGCCTAGTGAATGAATGGCTATAGTGTTATTATAAGCCTGCATTCTTATATTATTATGAAACAATGAACATTCTTTTTGCATCCAAAAATGTTTTTCAATATATCTACTAACTCTACTAAACTGATGTACCAAGTCACATTGATTCATTTGCAATTATGTCACCATGGTAACAATGCTAAATTTGTACTATTAATCAGCCAAACCTGCAGTGCTCCTCGTCTGAGTTGGAAAAAGCCAGTAACAACAGCCCAATGTTGATCATAACAGTATTTGTCTCTGGACACACCTTATAAATGTAAGAAAATGCACACATCAATGACAACATACAATACAATAAAATGGAGCAATGGTTGATGCTACTTACTTCCAAAATCACTACATCATAGTCACTGAAAGAGCAGAATTGAGAAGCCCAGGATGCATCATTTCTGATCACCTCATTGATAAGATATTCAAAGTCCAGTGTTAACTGCTCTACAGAGACACACTGAAATAATACAATTAGCATTGTAACAAATATTCAGCATTGAAGCACATACATGTAATTGCAGTGTAGTGTATTTACCACCATCTCACTCACCTGTCCATTATATGTCCCATTTACAAGTTCAAGGTTTCTTCCTTTAAGATCAGTAACTGTGAAGGGCAGCTGAACCTTATCGTCTTCATAACCTGCAGAAACCAGTATAAAGACATGTATACTATGCTGTAGCAGTCAAAAGCAACACATTAAGCAGCCAATGGCCAAAATAAATAACAGTCTAAATACAAAATCTGCAGTCAATTGTTTTAGTAGTCAACTAGTTAGTGATTTTTTCAATTTGTTGTCAAAACATTAATTCATAATGTACAATGAGATGCATTTGTATATTTCTAATGAATAAATGTTGAAATATGGTGGCTGAAGACTCAATATGGAATATTTACACATAAAGTATATTATTGTTGAAAATCTGCAAATATTCAAACATTTTAGACATTTCTATTTAATAATAATGCTGTCTTTATTATAAATTGTCTTTGGCGTGTGTGCATCTTAGTCTGTGTAGGCCAGATTACAGTTTACACCTACAACTGCAACTGCAATAACAACCAAAATACTATTACAATTAATTTAACAGTCGACTAGTCACACAGTTATTTTGAATAATCGTTGTCGTACAGTGCCATTTAAGGCGACTGGTTTTGACTCCCTGTCAGCACCATAACAGCACCTCTGCTAATCTAACAATATTCTCTATAATGAATCAAATAAACAAAAAGTTAAAAATATCTGATTTCAGCACTATTCTGTCATATATTTTTACCTCCTCCGGTCTGTCCTGTGCCCAGCTCGGATGCCCCTGGCCGTGGGAGGCGGTACTGCAGGTGTGAGTAGTTGACATATGCCGGTTCAGTAGAGGTGCCTTCAGTTGAGGCTTGTGTTGGTGTTGACAAAGACGAAGAAGGAGCAGGAGGTGGTCCTGGAGCTAAACTATCAGCTGACGTTGATGCTTGTGGCAAACTTGTTTGTCTCTCTGGCTTCTGTGTCTCTGAATGTCCTTTATCTCTTGTGCTTCGTGGTTTTTCGTCAGTACCCCCTCGTTTTTCTTCTTCTTTTTCTCCCATTACTCCACTGGCTTGGGCTCGCCTAAAAAGATCTGCTGCAAATTCCCGTGCACGAGCAGCAGCTTGGGACTGGCTGTGAGGTGTAGACAGGGGACAGGGACTGTGGAGGGGCTGTCTTCTTTCCGGAGACCTCTGGGGTACTGACGATAATGACGCAGAGGTAGGGCAAAAGTTGAGGGAAGATAACTTTTTTGTGTAGAGGATCTGGGGAGATGGATCTTGGTTTCCTGTTTAAAAAAAAAAAAAAGTTTGGATTTTACTGCAATGAATTTAAATAACATCTTTTTTCATGATGAATACATCAGCTATTACATGAATATCTGTATCTAAATTCTGTTGATCAAGACTGATTTAAAATGTATTAAATTGATTGGTTAAATGAGGACACATGTTTATTTAAAATGTTTCACATGTGGAGTTTGTTAAATTTGCTCTTTAACAAATCCTTTGCATGGGAGCCCCATGTTATACAGTAAACATTGTGGAGTGGACATTTACTCTTTTATCTTATGTTGTAATAACAAAAGTGTTATAGTGTTATAAAAGAATGTGAAAATCATATACCTGCGCAGAGAGAGATTGCACAGGCAACCAGTGAGTAACTCGTGTTTAGGAGTATAACCTGGTCCTTCTTCAACTGGAAAGCTGGTTGGAAAGTGGGAAAAGGGTACACCACCTGGTAGCGACTGTTGAGCACATAGCCATGTTCTAGACAATCACCTCCCCCTATGAAAAACAGAAATCAGATGAACAAATGATATAGACAGAAGGCAAGAATAAATTATATTTATGGGGACAGACCAGTGCGTATAGTCGAGGCTGAAGGAACCGGGCAGCACTGAGCGCATGGTTTAGGAGGTGGCATTGAGGCAATTGTGATGTAAATGTCCCTGTTGTTCTCATCACTCATCATTAGATTCATCAGAACAGAACTTGAGCTGCGTGTACTGAAAAAAAAAAAAAAAAATCTGAATCCTTGTAAACAGATTGATTTATAGCGGCATATGCTAATTTCATACTTAAATCCAAAGATGACAATTTTTGATGTGTCATTTGGCCATTCACAAACGGTGAGGTAAAGGTCACTATAAATTTCCTCCCCTGCAAACAGCCGGACATGATGGACCTACAGAAAATAATTTGTCTTCTGATTATACACAGTATCAAGCAGTAATTATCATTTAAGTATGAGAAAAGGAAACTTAATGGTTTATAGTATCATTTTACCTGCTTGAGTCTACTGTGCAAGTTAAACTCCCACCAGTAGAGATGGTAGGTGTAGAAAGAAAAGTCATCATCTTCTCCACAATCACTGGTGTATGACAGAACATATCGACCACATTTGGTAAACCCAAGAAATATATGTCTGTAAGGCATAGGAGTATGGGCATATTATGTAGCAGTAACGTGGGTGCCATTTATAATGCAGGAAACACATTTCCAACCCTACCCTGCCCTAAGGAACTCCTCACTGACGATGTTTTTCAGTGGGACGCACACTCGTGGTGGAAGTTTCCTAAAGCGGCGCTGGGGAAACTGTCCAGACAGCTGCATAGTAAACCATTAAAATAACATTAAAATGAGGGATGGATGAAGATAAAGAGGTCCAGCTTGGAAAATACATAAGCAGTGACTTGGATAGATTTGACTGACAATGCTTATACGCTAAGTAACAATAGGCTCAAAGTCTGCATGATTAAAAGCAAGTGCATCATTAAGTATGCAAGTGATACGATGCACACTTGAAAATCAATTATCCATCAGCTACTTTGATTCAAGCCTCAGCTGATAGCAATTAGCTTATAGCAAAGAGCTAGCTTCCCAAGACTTGAACACTGAATGAACTGTAATAGCATCGTTTATTTTGAGAATCGTATATCTTAAGATGCAGATCACGTCCCACCTTTCCGCGGACCAGGAGCTTCACGACGTGGTCTTTGTGTTTTCTTTGAGCTTTTGTTTTTCCTTCGTCCTTTTCTGTTTTCGAGCTGGGCGCCATCTCCAAACTCACTGTGTCCTTCGGTCTGCGCTGATTGGTCAACCCCAGCACGTGACTGCGCCATGGCGAGTCTCTTCATCAAAAACAAAAACACTTAAAACACCAACAATAACAAAGATCTGGAGGTCTGCGGCCAGACAATTAATTGGTGAAACAAACTAGTTATCCAAATTTAGATCATACAGTTGAAAAACTCAGGTAGGGGTCCAAAACGTAAATGTCGGCATTTTAGTCTCCATCAGACGAAAAGTAAAATATTGTGAAGCAAGAATTTGAAAATGTGAATTTGAAGAGTTTTATTTTATGTATTTAAAAACCAAGCAGTAAAAAATAACATAAAATCAGCATACACAAAAACTTAGTAAAAAAAAGTAAAGAGGGTAGACACACACACACACACACACACACACACACACACGCCAGCTTACAAAGTGCAAGTTTGGTATTGCCTTAATGTAGCCGAGGTTCATTCCTTTCCTATTCAGCAGCTTACATTTCAAACAAATGCATACACAGGCATACACATACCCTCAAAATAAAATTAATATACAAGAGCAGGGTAGCACCTGCAACTTAACAGTAGGAATGTTCTAAAATGTAATAAAAAAAATACAATCATAATTTTTGATAAATCAAAAATACTGCCAAACATTTTCCCTGCCCTCACAAATTAAAATACTTAAACCTACTAAATTGAATGTTTCTGTCGTGCTAGCCGCCAAGCATAGATGCTTAATTCACATTTTAAAAATGGAGATATCACAATGTGAGGATGAGGTAAGGGTGAGTACTTTAGTGCTTTGTTCAATGCATAAGCAAATCATGTTCCCGTATTTCAGTTTTTTTGTGGGTCAAGAGCAAGGAATATAGAAAAGGGACATATGCAGAATAACCAGTGTCTTGTTGTAGTCCAAAGGAAATGTCCTGAACAAAGAAAATAGTCCAAAGGGCTACGCAACATCCATCTGACCAAATGTTACTGAGCCTGGAACAACAGATATCACAATTACAATGCAGCTACCATCGCAGTCAAAATATTATTACTGATTGTTTTGCAGAGATTCAGGAAGCACATGCTATACCTGTCCCGGCTGTGAGGTGGGTGCCTGCCCAGGGGCCTGTCCTGACTGTCCGTAGTATGCTGCCTGTTGTCTGTAGTACTCAGCCCATGCGGCGCTGTAATCCTGCTGTCCACCAGGCTGCGCTGCAGCTGCTGCCCCTCCAGCTCCAGCAGGTGACCCTTGAGCTGCTGCCCCACCTGCAGGCTGACCTAGAAAGGCAATTACTTATTAATAATACCCTATAATTGATAATTGGAAAGCTATGTAAGCAATAAGAAATCCCTGATCAAATTCTAAAAAAATAATAATAATAAAAAAAAAAAAAAAAAATTATATATATATATGTATTTATGGCAACAAACTTACTCATGCCCATTTTCTTGTAGTATTCTTCCCATGCCTTTGTGTAATCTGGCTGCCCCCCTGCGCTCTGTGTGGGCTGGGCTCCATCTCCAGGTGCTCCAGAGGAAGATCCCGTTTGTCCTGGTATGGCACCCCCTGCTTGCTGACCATAATACTGTGCATAGTATGCTGCCCAGGCTGCACTGTGATCTGCTGCAGCCTTACCTGTGCATTGAGAACATTAAACATTACAATACTGTACTAACCTGTACAAGTACATGTACCAGGACAACCTCTCCTGTGTACTGTGTGTAGCACTTACTAGGGTCATGAGGAGCTTGGCCTTGCCATTGTTGATAGGTATTTCCCCAGCCTTGAGGACAAAACTGACCACCAGGTTGAGCCCCGCTGCAGAACAGATAATGCAAGATATTGCAGCTGTTCATCTAACTGTAATAAAAGCACCGTGTGTACTTTACTTACTGTGGAGGGCCACCAGGAGGCCCTGCATTGTAAGGGTTTGGATTATAAGGACCCATTGGTCCTCCAGGACCGGGACCACCACCAACAGGACACAGTGGACCCTGGTTAAAAAAGAGAAAGATTAATTATATAATAATCAACACTGAGATAAAACTGATTAATATGTAGTGTACCTCAATCTTCTTTTCTATAAGTTGCTTTGCATGGTCAATCTGCTGGGGGGACCCTCTGATTGTGAACAGTTTGAAATTTGGATCACCGTTTGGAGGTGGCTCACGAGAAATTTCCACAAATGCGCCAGTCTGTTGGTTAATGGACTTCACCGTCTCCCCGCCTCTCCCAATTACAAGACCACATTTGTGAGCAGGAATGGAAAAGGTCATTCCTCCTCCCGGTGGACCCCAGTTTCCCTGGCCTCTGCCCCGTCCACCTGGCGGCATCCCTGGGGGGCCCTAAAGAGGACACAAATTAAAGCAAGACTGTCTAAAATGCAGGTAGATAATAAACTATAAGCTACTGTATAGACAAGCCCACACACACACTTACCCCTTGACCACCCTCTTCTCGGGCACGGACGCTTTGTAAGAGGTCGGTAATTATAGAGGCAGCATGTTGACACTGGTCAGGGGGTCCCATGATGTGAGCTATTTTATCAGGGCCTGAACCATCATCTGTGTGAAACAGAAAATTTTTTATATACTGTATAAAAAAAACACTGCTATGACATTAGTGAGGGTATTTACTATGTGATGACAAACATGTACCTGGTTTAAACTGAATCTTTACTCCAGCATCACTCTGAATCTTTTTGATCATCTCTCCATTCCTGCCAATAACCACTCCCACCGAGTGACGAGGAACAGCAATCTGTTCAATATAAACATTTTAAACTATGTGCAATGAACAGTATATATATCAAAGTATAATTTATAAAATTGCAAACTTACTTCCATTCCACCTCCTCCCATGCGAGATCCATATTCATTCCTATCTGCAAAGCCCTCTCGCAAAATGTCATTAACCATCTCTTTTGCTTGCTAGAAAATATAACCACAATAAATATAAACTGACTGATGGAATATAAAAATATATTTCTGATCATACACTACCTGAACTTTGTAGTGGTCACCAATGATGCGCAACACTTTATCAACATTGGGAGATTGTGAACTATCTTGAACAACATACATCTTAACTCCAGCTCGTGCCTGCAAGAAAAGAAATATATACTTAGTAAAAGTGCGCCAACAGGGTACAACTCTATGTACTGTCAATACATCTGTATCCGCTACTGACACCTGAATTTCCCGCTTTAGAGACCAACAAAGTCTATCAGTCTATTGTCCATCAACAAACTATTTGCCAGGTCGCACAGCAATATCATACCTGCAGCTGTTTAATGGTTTCTCCTCCTTTGCCAATAATAATGCCCCCCTTGCCAGCAGGAATCATCATTTCCAGCACATTGCTATTACCGTTGTCATTGCTTTTAGACACTATTTCATCAATAAGAGCCCTGGCTCGTCTGAAAGTTGAAAGAAAGAAATACTTACAAAACAAAACTTACATATTATCACATATAATATGTGTTATTATACATTATAAATATGCAAATATGTTGCCACAAAGACATTTACAATAACATAATCTTACTGTATAGACTCCGGTGATCCAGTCAAAGAAACACTTCTTTCAGGGAGTCCAGCACTGTCTGTAAAAACGTGAAATATAATTGCTAGAACTCAAGAACATCTAAATAAATTGGCAAAACACTTACCATGTGCAATCTGGACTTTGCAACCAGACTCCAGCTGAATTTTGTTGATTTGTTCTCCTCCTCGTCCTATGACTGAAGGACAGAGAAGCATTAGATTATTTGTTAAATCAAACAAAACTGATCATATGAAATGATAATATACTTACTAAGACCAACCATAGAATCCGGCACCTTGAGCTCGTCGGTCATAGTTGAGGATCTAATACTGCAAATAAGAAAGTTAGGATGACTTTAAAGAAAAACACATCAGTCTTGAGAATTGCGCAAGGTACTACCTTTGTTGAGAAAGAGCAGCCAACTGTGCACCAATAGCTGTGGATAAAACTGTGAAATAATTTACAAACTCCCCAAAATACTAACAGAATATTAGAAAGACATCGTATAAAACCTACACATTCCATCTCGGTCACCCTGCGATGCCATCTTCTTGGCACTGGGTTCATCTGGTAAAAATTACAACAGTATTAGCTTTGACATTTCTTGATGTCAAGTACAGGCAGAGGAGCGTTTACTGACCTCCATCCTCCAGTGACCGTTTCTGTGTTGAAAAGGGATAGCCCTCCGCACCTCCATTGTTACTCACTGGAACTTCCCCACCAATTTTAGCTGCAATCTAAAAAAGGATGCATATGAATCAATAATGTTGTGTTCACACGTCAAATACAATATAGATCATAAACTGTGCCGTTTTAACGAGAATAACAACGAGTAAACATTGTACAGGTTCCTCTTGAAGGTACCATTTTATTATTTATTTTTTTTAAGTTTGTTTACAGTTGAAAAATGTAAATGTGTAGATACTATAAAAAAAGGATACTTCATTGTTAAAGTATATTTTGATTTTACAATTACCTTATCCGAGTCCTTTTGACTCTCTTGGTTCTTGGAAAGGCTTTCAGCGATTGCTTAATTTATAAATACAGAAAGCGTTTATGTAAAAAACTAAATGCAAATCCTGATTAACATTATAGAAAGTCTTTGTGTATCGTGGTGGAAAAAAGAAATTGTGGTCTTTGTGTGCATCAGTAAACTAGCTGTGCTGTAATAGAATGAATTAACATTAGCTTAGCATAACATAGCCGTCCTCTTTAATCTTACTGAAAATGCTCCAACAAAAAAGAAAGTCCGGACAAGTTACAAGATATAAATCGAAATACTTTCACTTCAAATATTTGGAGGATTCTTTTTTTTGACAAGAATCTATAACTACTAAACTGTAAACACTAAACACGAATAACGGTACATAGCTAACATGCTAGCTGCACTCTCCATTCATTTAGCGATAGCGCTGTGGTACCTGTCTGGCTCGTTGTAGGGCATCTGCAAACGCGTCCTTTTTCATCCCTCCGCCGACTCCGTTTGTTGGTAAAGCCCCGAAGTCAGTCATGATCTTTACAAAGCACACAGACGATAGACTGTATAAGTTGACCGGGCGGGCAGGGATGCGCTGCTGGAGCGGAGCGGGAAGGCTAGTACATGGGGGGCAGTAGTACTGTGAAGCCTGCTTACCACGCCGGCAAACTTCCCTGCTTAAAATAACCAATCAATGAAGCTCAATCGTCTCCCACGAAGATCTTCTTCTTGTTTACACTCTGGAGGGAGAAACACTTGCTTAATGCACCGCCACCTGTTGGACAGAGTAAAAAGCATAGCGCAGCACAGTCTACACATGGAACTATTAAAAAATAACGTAGTCTTCACTACAGAAACTAAAACACTGTGCAAATCTACAACAATACCTATGAAGAGACTTGGAAAAGGTGTTGTCAACATGCTACTGATTCTCAGTTACTTAGATTAGCCTGAATGTACTCAGTAGACTATTAAATTATATTACAAAATTGGGTTTTAGTGGAATATAATGAAGAAAATAAATAAAAATAAATAACGGAAATAACACAATGAATCAGGCCTTTTTAAAAAATAAAAGCAATCCTATTTATTATATATTTGCATCCAATTTATTTACAGAGATCAGTTGCAATACATTTCTTTGGTAAGTTTGTAACCTACCACATTTCCAGATACACACAATATTTAGACATACTCAATAATGAACATGCAGTAAAATAATAAATAGTATATAAAACAATTGCATCACAGTATAGGAGTCTTTGATATTCTCAGTAGTTTCCACCAATGCTCTTCTTCCTCATTTGTCCACTAGATCTAGAAATTTCTATATGCCACCTAAAAAAACAAAAAAATGATACAGTCTGTGTGCGTTCAAGCATATTTTGGTGAACTGAAATTGTCCTTATTAGGGTTTACTTGTTCATTTTGAGGCCCATGCATCACAGGTTAGGTAGAACTTGGCTGATCATGTTCCAAACATGCTGAACAAGGATTAATACTTTTGTTCATATAAAAACAGCCTGTCAAAACATATTTAGTGCAGATATGCATATAAAATAACTGTCTCCTTAGTTGAAAAAGCAAAAACAGAAACAATCACACAAACAAGCAGCTGTGAATGCAGAAATTCATTCATAAAATAATGCACCAAAACAGTTTATTTTGATAGCTCATGCTTTGTTTTTCCTCCTTTCCTACCCTCAATGTCTACTCCCAGAAGTATCCTGGTGTATTCATAGACAACATATGAAACGGTGACTGCTGGGATGACCTTCAAGAGGTTAGGTGAAATTCCTCTATACAGTCCTGTCACACCTTCTTGGATCACTATGTTTCGTAGCAAGGCCAACATGGAAACTTTTGGGGCACCTTTCAGGGAAGCTGTGAGGAGATAAAAGAGATAGGATTCAACACAAGTACTACTGGTGACATCTAGTGGTTACAAAAAAAAGCAAATCACTTTTTGTTTAGTTCGATAGATGCCTCAGCAATCTCTTACTTTGTGCCTGCATGCGTGTGCGTATAAGAGCGAGTGGGTAGCTGGCCAGTTGCCCACATGTGCTGGAGACTGCACCACAGCCCACCAAGACCATGACCCCAGGGTCCACCACACCACTGTTTCGATTGAGCCACGTAAACTTCAGTGTCTGCATGAAGGAATATCAAACAAATAATTATGTTGCTCTTTTCTAATCAAAGAGATGCAAAGCTAATGTTTTACTAACCTCATACACAGCCAGGTCAATGCCAGCATATGGAACTATTGCAAGTAAATTTGGTACATAACCCTTGTAGAATGCAGAGACACCCTCCTTCTGTAGCATCTGCTTAGCACAATCGACCATTCCTGAGTATTGGCCCGTTTTGCGAAGCGTTAGTCGTGTTTTTAGAACCTGATCGATTGAGATCATGGTGACTGATAGGGCCATGATAGTAGTGATCCATTACATTGTGTGTTTTTTGTGTCCATTACCCTGGTATTACCTCCATTGGATAGATGGCGGTCTGTGCTGTAGCTCCAGCCAAAGAACCAGCCAGAAAACGCTCATAAATCCTCAGGGGTCTACTCTGATTATGGCCGTGCATCATGGACTTAATCTGGGAATTAGAGAGCAAAAAATACATTATTTGAAACCCTTTACATCTCATCAACACAAAGATGACAGTAAGTGAAAACTGGAATAATCATACTCACTAACAACTGTGTTATTTTATTCAGAAATATTGTTAATAAATTGCACTTACATGTTCATAAGCAGTGAATTTGATTGCAGTTTCTGGAGCAATTTTGAGAACGTTCATGCCATTGCCCCTCCACAGAGACAAAAATCCTCCTTCTTTAAGCATGTACTGAAAACCACTCAGCACATTTCCAGCAAAAAACGAGTAGCTATGCACCTAAAACACACTTGACATTACGATTTAATATGAATAGTTTCAAGTGACAAAACTGATCTGTTGTTGAAAGCAAATTACTTGTCGAAAGACTTTGAGGCGGTCTAAAGGAGCAGTTGCAGTCCGAGCTACACAACCAGCCACTGCTCCAGACATGAGCTGACGCCAAACGTAACCAGACTTCTTCTCTTCTTCTGTGAACTCATCTGGCACAGTCAGCTGCTCGCCGATGTCCAACATCTACTAGCCCGGAAAACAAAGTAACAACAAAAGAAAAGCACAAAATAAACATTAAATAATTACAATACAAAGTTTACTTTAAAATCTTTTGATGTAAGTTTTGTTTTTACCACTGAGTGTTTCCAGCATCGGGCCACATCCTCCATGTTGGACACAGAATTAAATAGGAAGTAATCACGCCACTCATTCCAGTCTATTGTCATTGTACCATCCTTATCCATACTGTATGGTAAGAAAAAATATTTTTAAAATTGTTAAACTTGGATTATGAACAAAATAATACCATAAACAAGTAATAATACCTTTTTAAAATCCTATTGGCGTCTCTGAGACTGACGGTCACACCAATGGTCTGGAGAGAGTGTTGTATCTCTGCTGCATCTATGTGACCTGCACAAATTCAGTTAAACATAAAACATGGTTACCACAAGATCATACTATGTTTATTAATGATATAAGTATGTATTTTCTACCGTCATTGTTTTTATCTAAGCTCCGAAACATGATTTTGAGCTGTTTTTCATGGTCACGCAGGTACTGTATGAACTCTTCAAAGTCCAGAACACCATCTTGGTTGGTGTCCCCAGCTGCTACAATCTGAAAATACATGATGTAATGCATGAATATTTTGTTACAAAAACCTTGTTAGTCTAGAGCAGGGGTGTCCAAACTTTTTTCATCAAGGGCCACATATCTAAACGCAGACAAAGCAGAGGGCCGATCGAGGGCCGTAGACTGGTACTCATTACAGTGAATAATTGAAATTTGTGCATGTTTAACCTGTTAGAATGAGCCATCAGTCTTTATTCATGCTTAGATCTTTAAAACCACACAACAAATATTAAATATTAGCTTCACCAAGGTAGATTTTAAAAAACCTGCAGTAAAAAAAATAAAAATAAAAAAATTAATTGATACAAGGTAATTTGGGCCAATTCACCTGGACGCCTGAGGGCCAAGAAAAAATGGTCTTAGGGCCGCATTTGGCCCCCGGGCCATACTTTGGACATGCCTGCTCTAGAGTAAACAATTACCACCAGAAACTAAGTAGATAGTATTAAGTAATCATAGGTCAGCTTATGTATTGCATTTTAACTCATGTCCAGCATTTGTTGGCAAAATTTCAAATGAGCCATAGGGTATTAATTTATAATATAAATATTTTTTGTTTATCTTGTGTGTGCAAACAGTGGTTGAGAGGTGGCTTGTTTTTTTGACATGTTGGCATAACCTTGCCTTTTAACTTTATGTAATAACTACATATCCCAATGACTCAATAATACATGAAAACATTTTGGCAATATGTAAATCACAATACATCTGAATCAATAAATCTTTCGTATAAATTTGAACATTCACATAGAAAAGGTTAATAAATGGTGTAACTCATTTGTAAAAGAAAAGGGGCCATGTTTGAAAGCAGGAAAGGTTACAGTTCTCATCTTACAAAGTCTTGCTTCTTGTACTAAAATAGACAGCTGGCATTTACATGCACACACGCTCATACTGACACCAACACACAGCTAAAGTGAGAGACACCTGAACCTTCATATTATGTATTTATATCAACATACAAAGACTGTATGCAAAACATGTGAAATATGACTGAACACTTGGTCAAAAAAATATGTTTTATCAAAATGGAAAAGGTTTGGGTTCAAAAGTGGAAAAATGTATAACACTATCATCTAATACAGTGGTTCTCAAACTTTTCACACCTAAGACAGGGGTAAAAAATAATTTGATACCATACATAGGTACAATGGTAAATGGTCACATTTTTCTATAGCGCTTTTCCACCTTCAAGGCACTCAAAATGTAATATGTAATGTAAGATGTAATACGTTGTATGTGTTTTACTTTCTCCACGGAGCCTCTGGAAAGCCCTCGAGCCGCCAGTCCTGCCCGCAGTTCATTTATGTCAATGTGGCCATCTTTGTTGAGGTCGAATTGGTCAAAGAGCTCTGCCCAGCGCTTCTCCCTCTCTTTGTCAGAACCAGGAGATCCATTTTGCTGGCAGTGGGCCCAAGGGATCCAAGTGGAAAAGGGTCCCATCACTGGAAAGAAAGAAGGAAGTTAATCGTTGGAGTGTCTCTAATAACCACTGTTTAACCACTGCAGTCTCACAATGTCAATAATGTAAAAAAAAATGGCACAATTTTATTAACTCATGATTATTGACACCTTACATATAAATTATCAAATCCACAACTTTCTTTCATTGAAACCGTCTAATATTATCATTTTGTATATGGTCAGCTGTATGAAATTAAACATCCTGAACGAAAAAGCTATTTAATGTGACAAACTGTTTATATTTAGCTTAACTAGCCTACTTCTTGTTCTGGTGAAATGTTCTTTTTTATCTTATAAGACATTTTACAATGATATTGTCATAAATAATCACAATTATTCCTTTACCCACAGTGAGATGTTGAAAATTTAAATAGTAAAGTCCCCCTTGAAAAACTGATGATGCACATGAAGGTAATAAAAAAAATGTAAAATTAAATACATTAAACACATTTAAAAGAATATAGCTTAGTATGTCAGCAAGTAACAATAACAAAAGAGTTATTAGCATCAATAGCCTGACTATTAGTAAAATAAAAACATTTGTCGTCTCAAGGAAAATTTAGTAATTTCATGAAGTTATTGAAATGTTGTTCTCTGTTAGTTTCATGATAGGCATTTACATGGAGCAGTAGTAATATTTTGTTACAATATTGGCTTTATAATTTGGCTGACGCATTACTGCTGATAGCACAAAACAGTGGAATGAAAAGCAGCAGCAGTGAGCTGCCTCGGGTCACAGTCCAGGGTCACAAGCCATACAGGTCAGAGGACCAGAACCAGGCAATGTCGCTTATTCCAGTCAAAAACATTGCATTTTTTTCAGTTGTAAAGATGTGTGTCTTGATGGCAAGACGTTTAGGTTTCAGCATCACCACCTTGTGTTGCTATGGTTACATGAACCACCACTATTTAATGTTATGTAATTATAGTTTGTGAGCTTGACCAATGCCTGCATCTTTGGGGTTTCACGTTAAAACGAGGTTGTTATTGCACAAGCCAGTGTATGCACGCATTTTATAGTGACTTAAACTTGACTGACGCACATAACTAGAGTTTGTGATCATAAAAGATGAAACACGTAAAGCGTTACGCTTCCTCTAGCTAGATGTTAATCTAACATTAAGACCACTCACTCTTGTTTATCTTCCGCAGTAATAACACATCAGTGGAGCCATGGGTGACCAACAGTGGGTCTCTCAGCGGCGAACCAAGCAGCGGAGTCTCGGGTTTACAGGACAGGCTTGGACCATTTCTAAGGCTGAGATCTTTGGGCCAACACCATGTCGTCCGCTCCGTCCTCAAGTCACAGCAAGTCGTCCTCGTTCGTAGAAGAAGCAGGAAGCGGAGAGACGGATAGGCGCACACCCAAAAGAGTGGAGGAGTGAGAAAAAAGCGCCTATCAAAATACGGGACGGACGGAACAGTGTGCGGGGACTATGGGGACTACCACACGACCTGACAGCTCAGGGGGGCAGCAAGTATAAGCTATGGATCTATTATAGGCGTATAGGACTGCACCACACAAAACAGCAGAGAGAAACGGGCAAATAAATCATGTCACCGCGGGTCATGCTTTAACCCGTTTGAAAAATGTGTTTGAAAATGTGTGTACACTGGGGTTGTTTCGTACAAATTGTGTATTTCGGTTTTTTAACTGCCAAAATCGTCAAACATTAAGATTTTTTTCGTGAAGGGGTTCTCTTCAAAATGAGATATTGGGATTATAAATTACCATAACGTATTAACTCCTTAGGTGCCAGTTTTTGTAAAATACCACATACTGCCAATTTGAAAAACAACTGATAATTCCATTTTTATGACTTTTGGAGAAAAAAAAACAAAAACTTTTTTTTTTAATGAACATTTTCTAGCAGCAACAGTATCAAATTCAATTAAATTAGAGGGATTTTTAAATTAACTAAACAAACAAATAAATAAATAAATAAACTAAATTAAGCTCTTTTTTCCCAAGATCTAAATCGGTCTCTAAATGCATGTTCTTGATGAGGAACCCCTTTTCACATATATTTCCTCTACTCCATACTCCTCTCCCACTTACCCCTAAATCAAGTAATTTTGGACTGAACTTAGTCAAACTGTGCATATGATCACAAATTTCATCCAGTGTCTTAAATTTCTTGTCATTGTGGCCTGAAATCATACTTTTTTGATTTCAGGGAATTTCTAAAGTTCTCCTTTTTCACTCATCAAGGCATGTTTTCTTCCCTCTATTACACTATATCAGACTATGCAAATGACCATCATGTGGGTTAAAACATGAAATTTCTTGTTGTTTCCAAGGAACCCCAATTTTTTTTGTACAAATCGACTGCACTTCAGATACGAATAGCCACAGAAACACTCCTTGAAATTATTATTTTTTTACTCCAACCATTCAGACTCAAAGAGATATTCACTACCAACACATGAATTTTACGTGTCTTTCTTGATTTTCATCTGGTTTTCCAGGAATGAATTGTCCAAATGTGACTATGTTTTGTATAGGGTGACATTTTTGAAAAACAGTTTTGAAGGCACAATTTTGAAAATTCATTTGGTTTACTTATAAACATCTCACATCGCCAAAATTGATGCAACTCACATATAGCTAAAAACCTGTAAAAAAAAAACATCTGTGTGAATTTTCATGGCAATTGCACAACCATAGCCAAAGTTATCACAATAAATGTACCTTCAGATACACATATTTCTATATAAATATTAGCCTCTGATTCAAATACTCACAAAAACACAATTTGAATTTTTTTTCCCACTGTAGCTATTCAGACTTGAAGAGGTACTGACTACCAACACATCCAAACCATTTTTGGTGAAAAAAAAAGGCACCAAATGTGTCCAAATGTTCCTATAAATATGTGGCACTATAGAAGTGAGGGGGTGGAGCAAAAAGTTGGTATATTTTGGAAAAAAAATATTTTTTCACTAAAATTCATTAGGTTTGCTCCAGAATAATTAAAACTTATTTCTAAAACATACTGAGTGTCCACAAAACTTCTCATATCACCAGAATTGTACAATAAGGATGAAGCTCACATATGCCAAAAATGCTGTAAAAACACAGGTCTGTATGAATTTTCATGGCAATCGAATAACCACAGCCAAAGTTGTTATGATAAATGTACCTTCAGATACACAAATTTCCCTTAACAAGGCACAAGGGTTAATTTAGCCTCCATGAACCACAACGACATAACATGAAAAAGTGTCCTGGTCCATTATGCTGCATAATATAATTTACTATACCTACAAAGACACAGAAATGACAGACAGATTGGTTATTTTGGACCAAATATTTTGCTGTTTAAAATAAGCATGTTAATATTATTATATTGGGAATATTGATTTGGGGGCATAGAGAGGGGGTTACTATTGCTAAAACCCTTGCTAAGCTTTTGTTAGCCTAGTATAGGGTATGGAGTACGCTAATTAAACAAAAGATCAGAGATTATTCATGTTACAAAGTCTTTATGTTGTTTTTTCATCATAGATGACTGATATCTCCAGTGCACCTGCATGTCTCTCATCAGGTCATTCTACTGAACTGCAGAGTGTGGACAGAGTTTTAAGAAAACCATGTACCCCTGACTGACCTCAAATGCTGCTTATCCCCATGATGTCCCCATTATACAGTAATTGTTCTTGGGATGTTGTTGACAGGTCTACATGTGCATGGGCACGTACACCACCTCCATCATTAAACTCCAGTCTCCACACTTGTGCATTAATGAGAAGAGATGATGAGATCTGATAGAGCCAGCCCATATAAAGAGAAGAACGCCCTTTGCTCAGGAGGAAAGGAAACCTGAGACATAACCTCAACTTTTTTTTTCTGGTAATTCTGAAAGGAAACCTCAATGTGTAAGGGACTGTCCTACCTCCCGTCCACATGCCTGGAGAAGTAAGTTTCCTCTGATAACATGTACTCCTATACCTATACCCATAAGTATCCTAATTTCTTTGTCATTTTCTGTTTCAGGGCTAAAGGGATGCGAGTGAAGTTAAGCCATTTGGCTGATAAAAATAAGTAATTATTTCACATTTTTGCTGCAAATCTGATATATTATTCCTGGTGTGTTAACTACATGTTTTACTTGTTTAGGAGTGTAGATGGAAAGACTCCACATGATCTGGATGCCTTGCTCAGCAACAAAAGTAAGAGAACATCTTGATTAATTTTCATGCTTATGCATCATCAAAATGCTTTTGATAATAAGCTGTCTGTTAAAACTGCACATTGACAAAATTTACACTCTATTGCTTTAATTGCATATTTTCAGACACTCTTCATGTGTTTCGTTGCTTCCTGAGGTCTGAGTTCAGTGAGGAGAACTTGGACTTCTGGTTGGCCTGTGAGGAATACAGGATTTCCCCCATGAACGTAAAAAAGTCCAAGGCCTGTGGCATCTACAACCAGTTTATTAATCCCGATGCTCCCCAGGAGGTCAGTGAACTAAATGTGAATAAATTAAGACAATTTCCATCAGACAAAGTTTTTCATATTATAGGCTCTATAAGAAAATATGCAAAAGGTAGAAGGCTTTACAATTATACTAAAATCTAGCTTCTGTGATATGAATATTGTCTTATTTTGTCATACACTGCGCCACCATGTTTGTATAAAATTGTGTTGCATTTGAGATATTCAGGGGGCCGTTTGTCCTGTAGGTGAACCTGGATGCTGAGACCAGGGAGGCGCTACTGAGTCTGATGGACTCTCCCAGCTCTGATACATTCAACATAGCACAGCAAAAGATCTTCAATCTGATGGCCAAGGACTCCTTTCCTCGATTCCTGCGTTCTACCTACTGCATGGAGACAATTCGGGCATATTAGCTACAGAAATGGTCAAATTTGAATTTCAGTCAGGATCAATAGTAGTATAATAGTATCTCTCTCATATTAGTTACAGAGCTAATGTGCTAAGGAAATAAAATTGTATTTCATGATCTACTAATATCATCCTTGTTGTTCTGAATCTTTGTATGTAGAATATTAATTACTACAGTATACATGTGTTTTGTAAAAGTTATTATGGTTCACCTACATTATATATGCCAAACACTAAGTAAATAGAAAAATCAAGTGTACTTGTCGGATTGTGTAAATGTCAATACTAACAGTGTATTTGATAAAGAATGTAGTTTGCCAACTTTGAATAAATGTTCACAGAACAAATGTCTGATGTGGCCTAACCTTGATTTAAAAGCCTTATCAAGCGCCCAACACAGTTAACCTTGGGGTAAGCTGATAGTGAGGTCTGGGTCTTTTCCAAATAAATGATATACATTTCTCACTACTAATCCAATGATACTATTGAATTTGTCCTTTACATCTAGTTATTAATAGGTATCAAGAAATACATTAATCATCACTGTTGGGTCTTTGTTTGCAATATCAAAACGTGGTCCATTTTCTTCATGCCTTATGATCTAGTAGTATGATCGTTATTCATGACAATCCAGTTCAGTCCAGTTTAAATGGTGAGATTCTACTTTGAGCTGTTTCCTGGTTGTGTTGATCCTTTGGGGTCTTTGGTCTGGGGGGCTTTAATCACAGATAGAGGTTTATGCAGAGAAGTGCTGGCTTTCTGTGTCACCTCCTGCTCAATCCTGTTACGAATGGCCACTTCAAGACCCTAGACAACAAGAGAGTCATTTGATAGTTGTACAACCCAAATAATATGTAAAGGTAGTTTAATAAACTGACATAAAACAAAATATTTACCTTTTTTAGTTTCTGCTGTTGGACAACTTGAGCTTTCTTGGGAGCAATTATCCTGCCTGAAGGGACCAACGAGTTTAATTAATGTATTGTAACAGATATTTGGGGCATATTGTTATTTCTCTTTATTTATTCCACAAAACAACTGCAGGACTTGACATTTAATGATTCCTCAAGTTGGCCTTTCACATTTACTTACTAGAACACGCATGGCTCCACACTAGTCACGTTTGGCCAAATGCTAAGGAGCAGCGTTTTAAGTTAAAGTCAAATATCAAATGGAGACTAAAAATAATTTGTCATTACCTCCTTTCTTTGGGCCTTTCTGCTTGCTTTGTTGAGGTTTCTTCGAGGCTCCTGGACGCTGAGCTTTAAATTTTTGTGTACCTTGTGCCATTTTTAGTAATGTGTTTTTTGTTGGGTTTTTTTCCCCCCACGTTGACCTGACCCGGAAGTCTTTTTACAAGAAATGTGTCCCTCTTACTGAGGCAATAGTGCCATCTATCGGCTGTGTACAGATTTACACGAGGCAATATTTGATTCACTGTGGTTTATTTATTTTTTTTGTGAAAGAGAAATCTCTTAATGACTACACTTTACAGTATATATCCATATACACATTTTTTAGAAAATCCTGTTAAATATTTTCACTGGTTACAAAATAAACCCAAGTGAATATTAACAATAATCTTGTACTGTAAGAGGCCATCTGAACAACACTCCTTCCACAGCATTGGCAGGCTACACACTTGCACATCCAGACATAGCAGCAATTAAATTTGGCACCAGATTAAACGTATTGGCAGCATTTTGTTTTGTTTCCAACAGCCTGAAGTTTAAACTTGGCGACAACTGTTGCATTTTAAATGACATTTTATTAAAATAAGACTATACTTTCGCCCATCAACAGGAAAGGAAATCAATACCATTTAGACTAGACTGCTCAGTCCTGCCTATCACAGTTCAGTGCTTGTTTTCTTGCCTTTGTCTGAGAGGTAGTGCGTATGGTGAGGAGGCCTCCCCAGTGTAGTGTACTCATGAGCTAGTCACTAGGAAATAAAAAATAACAAAGCACGGCTAAACTATTATATTCTTAGACTTTGTTTACCAAAAAATGTTGGTGACAACCACAATTGCTACATATGTCTGGAATAATGTAATTTTTTTCAATTGATGATCTTATAGATACAAAAAGAATATAAATACACAAGTGTCTTTTAAGTACATGATCTAACAGCACCATCAGGAGTGAAGGTTCAACAGAGGAAATGTGGACATATGGGCGGAGGGTGCAGTGATGATTTAAGTGGAAAAGAATAGTGTTTTATGATTTTAACAAAGAACATTTTTTAGGTTTTCTCTGTGGTCATAAACAAAAATGAACCATACATACGTGAATATTACAGAAAAAATATTGTCAATTTTTCAAATTTAGCAAATTAGATTTATCAAAGTACATTGTTAACATGTAAGTTATTTATAAAAGCAAGAATGTGATGGGTGTATTTGTGTCTTGATTCAGCATTTGAGAAATTTAACATTCTTTGTGAAAAATGAAGGCAAGAAGTTGGAGCCTTTCTGAGGTACTAGCAGTTTTACATTCGAGACTGAATAAAGAAACAGGGACAGAGTTCAATTTGTGCCAGTCCAAAGCCAGGATAAACCAAGGATTGTATATTTAGAGAATCAACAAGCCAGTGAACAATTATGCTGCTCACAAGGCTGGGTGTATATATACAGGTTAGGATGTGATATGTTTTAATTCTACTGTTTGTCAAATTATGATGCAAATGCAAACTATGTAGTAGTATGGAGGGACTGTTTTTTTGTTTGTTTTTTTGTTGTTGTTTTTTTACATTTACTGATCACCCATTGAGCAATAGTGTAACTAATTATTAATACAAGGAAACAAATTAAATTTCAATTATTCACATTTTGCCTTTCTATTTTTTTTTTAAAGAAAATGTAAACATTCAATTTTTTAATCATCATTTAATTATGGTACACTTTTATCAGTTAAAAATAAATAAGAAGCATCCTGTGCAGTTTGCGATATGATATGTGTGGTTACATATAGTGTATATGGAGCTGTATACAGATTATATAAATACACAATATATGTGATGCACAGTTAAGAGACACACATGAAGTGAGGTATTAACGTAATTAGGTTTGTTAAAAGGCTTCAGTCGACTGTGACGCTGTTTAACATGTGAAATGCGCCCATTTGGAGGAAAACCAATTAAAGTTGTTTCTGAAACTACAAACTATACATTAGGGCATCTACAAAACATTCTACAAGAAAACAAGATGTTGAATGTTAATATAACATATCTGATATCAAATTTAAATAACCACACATTTGGTTAATTTAGCAATGTCTTCTAGTAGCAGGATTTAGTATCTCTACATATGTACACTACCAGTCATGGTTATTTACAGGTGGGTAGCAGCTTTCATTTGGAAACTAGTGATTAAAAGCACTACTTTAAGTTAGAAAATGTAAGCAGTGTTTAGAAATATTTTGTCAATGTATGCCCTGAATATTTGCCTCCAATTTATCTTGTTATCGGTCAAGTTTGTTTGGGTCAACTAATAGTTTCAGAAGCCATTTTAGAAAGGAAGAACATAGATGATTGCAATGTAAATGGGTTAAGAAACAGACAAATTGGTCATGCTTACTACTTAGAGTAGTATGTTTATGTGCAGTTTGGGGTGGTTGATTGTATGCACTACTCATTAATAACAAGAACTATACATTTACTAAAATAATCAGGATGTGTAACAGTGTCTGGGGTATAAAATGTGAGCGTCTGACATGTTGAGGTGCAGAGGGGTAAGTGGGACAGTTAGACAGGGATCTGAGGGGGAAAGAGAGGGAGGGAAGGGAGAGGGGTCTAGAGGGCAGTGAGTCGTCCCGTGAGCGCCGCCTGGAGCTCTGATGGCAGAAACACCCCCAGCTCTGTGATGATGCCTCCTGTGATGAGCTGATGTGGAGTCACGTCGAAGGCCGGGTTCCATACTTCAATACCTGCACATCAAATCAATGAAATCATAATATTGTCATTTTTTTAAAAACCTTTTGTAAATGGTCACATTTTGATATAGCCCTTTTCCACTTTCAGGACACTCAAAGCACTTTACAACAAGGAACCATTAACCCACCCAACACAACCACCCACACCCACACCCACCACACACCCACACCCACCCACACACACCCACCCACCCACCCACACACACCCACCCACACACACACCCACACACACACCCACCAGTGTACGCAGACACTGCGGACAGGGTGGGTTAAGTGTCTTGCCCAAGGACATCTGTGGGAGCTGGAACTGCACCCCCAACCTGTGGGTCAGAGGATCTGACTGCTCAACTAATGATGTTTATGTCGAGAACAGCCCTCCAGGTCAGTGAACAAACGTTCTTACTAACTGAGCTACTGCTACCCACCTTTGGCTGATCATTTAATCCATCAGGGTTGCCACAGTGAACTAGATGCTTGACACCAGCCAAAAATATAGTTGAGAGGCAAATGGTGCCCAGACAGAGACACAATGAAAATAATTGCTGAATTCAAACTATCCTATATAAGAACCTTTTCAACATGAAGCAGAGCCACATTCCTACTGACCAAGAGCCACGTGGCTTGTGAGCGTCATTGTCACCACTCATTCTTTGGATGCTGTCAATTTAGCTCAAGACCAGCTAAATGTTTTTGGGTGAATGAAAAATAATACATGTTTTATTTATATTTAAAATAAATGTTGAATTATGTATTGGTGGATATAACATTACGGCTTTTCAATGGCTTCTATAAAATATTAATAACAATATTATTATTAGGTTCAATTTGTGGTATATTTCAAATTAAAATATTGTGAAATTAAAAACTGGCTCCTGCCTCAATCTGAGTTTTACAAATACCTGGGGCAGCGATGGGGACTCCGTTTATACTGGTGAGTTCCTCTGGGGGGCGCACTTCAATGATAATGTCCCTGCCACTCTCCAGGCTGAGATCACATGATGTGCTTGGTGCTGCCACATAGAAGGGGATGCCATGATGCTTGGCAGCAATGGCCAGTTGATATGTGCCCACTTTGTTTGCTGTATCCCCATTGGCCACAACTCTGTCTGCTCCCACAACCACCGCTGAAGACACACACAGTTACAGTTAATAGTTAATCAGTAAGTTACTACAACATTTTTGTCATCAAGCAATTTGTGTCAAAAGCCTTTGTATAATACTCACACTTGTACTGTGAATTAACTTTGCATATGATGAACAAATAAATAATAATAAATGAATATCTGTGTGTTTGTTTATGTCAATCATTAATAGTGTAATAGTGTAAAAGTGTAATATTAATAAACGCAGTGTTGGGAAGGTTACTTTTAAAATGTAATCCCCTACAGATTACAGATTACACACCCCAAAATGTAGTTTGTAACGTAATCCATTAAATTACTTAAAGTGAGTAACGTAATCTGATTACTTTGGATTACTTGATATTGTCATGCTTTTTAAACGACATGAATGTAGCAACCACATCCTGAAAATTCTTGTTTGTTGTCTTAAAATTGTTTGAGCCCAAGTCTCCATATAAGCAACTGTTTGCTGTAGAGAAACAAAGACCACGACATCTTAATATAAGAGGTTTTGTCTGTTAAAAGACAGTAACAAGATAAGCCTTTCCTTCACCAGATTAAAAAATATTATTGATAGAGAAATTATTTTTTATATGAGATCACCTTAAATTATGTCAACCTACTGTTAGGTGTCATGTTGTTTAGTCCTGGTTTAGTCCTGGTTTAGTCCTGGTTTAGTCCTGGTTTAGTCCTGGTTTAGTCCTGGTTTAGACCTGGTTTTTAGACCTGGTTTTTAGACCTGGTTTTTAGACCTGGTTTTTAGACCTGGTTTACTCCTGATTTTAGACCTGGTTTAGACCAGGTCTAGACCAGGTCTTTAGTTCTGGTTTAGTCGTGGTTTAGTCCTAGTTTAAACCTGGTTCAGTCCTGCTTTAGTCCTGGCTTAGTCCTGGTTTAGTCCTGGTGTTAGTTCTGGTTTAGAGGCGCACAGGAGGAAGCGCGGTTTACGCAAGAAAACACGTTCCACACGCGGCGCACGAGACGGCGGTGTCTGCGCTCAACCCTCCCCCTGGTGCTGCCCCTGCTACACAGGGCCTTTGCCCAGTTTTAATAAAGAAATTAGGAAAGTTCCACTCATTTCAAAATGTCTTTTTAAGAGCAGTCCTGTCGCTAGAGGGCACACCAATGTTCTTCACACAGACAGGTACTAGCAGACCTTCTTGTTCAAACCACTACACCACTATGCAGGTAATGACAGCATTAAAGCTAGTTGAGTGAATTTTAACAAGCAATATTAATGTACAATACCACTGGCCATGCCGCAACATCCGAATCAATTCTGTACACTGAGGCTGATGCTAATAATAATGCCACATTATGAGATTTGGATATTTATTATACAAACTTAAAAAAAAAAAAAAAAAAAAAACACACACAGTTTACACACTGTTAGCTCCTGATATTAACTGATAGATACAAACCTGTGATGTCCATTTCCCTCATGGTGAGAGCAGCCATACTGTCTGTAATGAGAGTGGCGGGGATACCCTCTGCCACAGCCTCGTATGCCGTGAGCCTGGAGCCCTGGTTGTACGGCCGTGTCTCTGTGCAGTACATGCGCTTCAGCCGGCCCAGCGTGTGCAGACTCCTCACCACACCTACGTACAGACAACACAATTAGCAATGAGAAGGTTTATAAAGACAAACTACAGTTCTGTTCATTGACTTTGATTGAGTGTGCCTCCAAATCAGTCCAGCTGAACCAGCAAGACAGGAATGACTTTTGAGGGTAGCAATAATTATAAAAAAAGATATATTAGTGTTTACATATTACACAATGTAAAGACTGGCCAATTAGAACTACTTTTTCCTTTAAAGTGATGACTTTAAGTTTAATAAGAAGAAAAAATCCTGTAGAATGAGTTTGTAAAGTAGACAAAAGATCAGTGTATAGTGTTTTATATGGCTGTTTAAAGTAGAGGACACAAAACATCCTCTAGGAATAAAATGTGCGTTTTTTAAAAGGGTGAACAAACGGTTAATTAGACATCTCTAATTTAACAGAGTTTGTTCTCAGGCTAAGCCACATAGACCACAGTGAGAGCAAGGCTGTAGATGTAGTAGATTTAAAGACTAGATCCACTCAAACTACAGCAGGCTTAGATAGCCTACATTAATCTGATCACATCTTTATTTAGGCACTGTTATGGAGTTGTGTGTGTTTTGTCCTAATGTAGACACATTTCCTTCAGGTTTAGTGACAAGCAAAGCAAAATTCTCAAAGGAGCTGTTTCGTTCCCAACACGTTTTAAGATTAGACAAGTAAGCAATATTAAGGTGGTATAATCTTATAAATGTTAACTACAGAAACTGTCACTTGTGTCTTTCAGGTCAAGTGACTGTTTACCAAAGGAGTTATGTCAACATCATGAGGTAAGTAAACTATTTTAAACTAAAGGCCCGCTAAGATATTTAAAAAGACTAACTGCGGAAACTGTGACACTTGTGTCCAGGTATGTCAATAGCCACATCTGCTAACATGAGGCAAGTACAGTCTTTGAAGCTAAACATCTGTACACATTACTGTGAATACCATTTGAATACTACTTTTAAACATTTAAAGTTAAACTATGCTGTATATTTTGTCTGTGTTCAGGAGCAGATCTGCCTGCGAGTGTCCTGGTCCTGGTGCTGGCTCCTCTTGGACCAGTGCAGGTCCCTGTGATCAGACATGAAAGCGCTCCTCCTTCTGCACTTAGGAGCCATTTTGAAACACTTCAGTTTGAATGTTTCGACAAGTGTTATCAAAATACTTTGGCATGTCACTCAGTCCTTTTTTAGATGTTTATTTTTTAACATGTAGAAATACTAAGAGTATAAATATTATTATTTTGTATATATATTTATTAAAGTATATACCATAAACTGTATAAAGAAGTGGACTAAGCGAGTGTGACATCACCCATAGCGTTTGGCTCCACTCAAATGAGGCTTGCGATGCTAACAGTTACAGGAGCGAATCTGGAGTAAGGCTTCATATTAGAACCCAGGATCATGTAGAGCGGGTAATACAAACATATTAGGACTAAAATAACAAGGCTCACAGCAGCAGTTACAGAGAGAGGCAACAATATTCTTTTAGGCATGAACAATGACTTATTTTCTCCACATAAACCAATACTACTATGTACTTAATAAATTAAATAAATCTTAATTGATATACACAAATGAGTTTCGTGTCAACTACGCACTACTACCATTTAGCTACAGAAATTAAGCTCAGATTGAGAAGACTTTTTCTTTTAAAAGGTTCAAAGTGTATGTTACAATATACGATCTAAAATAGATATGGAAGGCAGGAAAGACTATGTCCTTCTGCCAAAATGTAGAATTTGAAGGGGGTTATGGTTTAGGCTGTATAAGCTTTTTCAACACATAGAACACTTGGTATATTAAAATAAAGCTTTGATGCACAGCATGGTGAAGATGCTGAAGTCACATATACCTTGGTCCCTCACCCAGTTTCAAGAAATGAATAACCAGGAAAATTTCCATTGAGATTCAAACTTTCTTTAAGGGCAGTCCTGTCTCCAGAGGGCACATTACGCAGATACAGGAAAAACCTGCAAACTCCTCACACAGCTGTGAGGAAGAAGCACTAATCACTATGCCACTGTGCTAGTAATGACAGTACAAAGGCTGGAAGAGGGAACATCAAGAAGCATTTTTATGAATCTGTTGACACAATATCCCAATAAATACCAATATGGAGTTTTTTCATAGCCAATTCCAACAATAATTGTTTAACATCCAGAGAAACCAATGGCCAGTAGCTCTAATGATATTTTTGGCCAGATTTTGTTTATTTTCTCCAAATTCTGTAATTTAAATTTATTGCAAACTCCTTTCAGCACTGATGTGTTCAAATAAAGCTTTGTGTGTATTATTTATGCAGGTGGTTGGTCCAAACAACATATCAAACCAACGCCAAAGCTTTAAGGCCGACAGCCGATACAGTAAAAAGTCAAAATATCAGTCATCTATCGCCATCATATTTTCATACTGAGATTTTGATTGCAATTAACCCCTAGAACAAACTGGTATAGTGTCAATAATCTGAGACTGACCGTTAAAATACCTAAAACGTCTCCCTTACTTTTAATATTGTTGAACATTTAACATTCATCAAGCCTATTAACTTTACATTGCACTGAATTGCACTGAATGCCATATTGCTTGAACATTTTATTACAAAATAAACTACAGTATTGTGTTTTTTAGAGTCTGATTAACGTTTTGTTGTGGATCCGGCTCTGTCCTGATAGACAAAAGGCTGTGAAATGCATTAGCAGAAGTCAACCCGCTCTGAGTGCTTCTTGTTGCCTCTAATACGCCATGCATATACATAATGCCATTGATTTTCCATCACACAAACTTAACTCTTTTATATTAAAGCTTTTACACGGTCAGTACTATTTTGGGCATCCAGGAGAGCAGCAGCCTTTGCATTCAGCGCGGGTGGACCGGCCACAAGACAGAAAACATATGGGTAGTTAAGAGTTACATGAATTACTTCTCCTTTAGTAAAATTTTTAAGTTGTACTATGTAGTTTTTCTGGTGGAGGGCCTGCCACTTAATTTCCATTGTGGAGCAATAAAGCTATCAAAAGTCTCCATGGATACGTAATTGTATTGCCCTGATTTTTTAAAATTATTATAAAAGGACAACAAAATAAAATGTGAAACAATACAATGACAATGACACGAAAACAAGACACATAAAATAACAAAAAGTCCCAAGCCCCTCAACCCACCCCTTCCCCCCACTTCTTGTTTGCATTTAATAACTCCAATTTCTGTCTTAAATCCATCTATGAAAAATTTTCAGATTGCAGCCCGCCTTACCTAGTGCAGTGCCGTATCCCGCTGTAGCTAGGGAGCCAGTGTTACAGTGTGTGAGGATGGTCACAGAGTCCCTTGGGACACCGGACAGGATGTGCTGGGCACCATAGTTCCCAATTTTCCTGTTATCATTCACATCACGCTCCAGCATGTCTTCGATCCAGGCAATTACACTGGAAAAGAGGCAACAGCGTGATGTGGGAATGTGAGAAGGTGATCCTTCCGGAAGCTCTGCTTAATGTGTGGGGCCAACTACAGTTACAACAAACACACAAAGGCCGAGCCACAGAGCAGTAAGGCACTGTCCGTGTGTGGATGAAGTAACAGAAGACATGCTTATTTTAACACACAAATGCACCTTTGACTACTTAAGAGTCAAACTTTTGTGAATGATTAACTACTCGCATCCTCTTTACAGAATGATATAGAGCCATACACCCATTCAATTTCCCATTCACCCATCTTCTCTCACTCAGCATTTTATCATTATAAGTTACTAATTGCCACAAACACCAACTTTTCATAATGTAGTGCAGTGATTAGAACCTCAAAGTTGCATACCTCTCTCTGAGCTGCTCAGAGTTCTTCTCCATGCTCTCATTTTCGGCAAACTCCATGAGCTCTCTGGCAGCTCGACCCATGTTGACGGCTGTGGGACGGGCAGAGGTCAGGTGGCACAGGGACTCTCTGATGAAGGTCACGGGGTCATCGCCCCCGGCACCTGCCCGCAGCTCCACAGCCAAACTCAGGCACCCCACAATGGCTATGGCAGGAGCACCCCGTACCTGAGCGAGGAGAGGGCGAAGGTCAGGACTGTAGTCGTTATTTTAGTTTTAGTCAAGAACATTGTGTTTCATCGTCCTCTATTCTGCTTTAGAGTTCAGTCAGTCAGAGAACTTTATAACCCCAAAGGACAATTTCAGTTGCAGTTTATTGAGATAATTTATGGTACTGCAAGGTATTTGAAAATGTTAAGTTATCTGTTGAATGTTGATAGTTGTGTCATGCACTCAACTGAAACAATGTTGCTAATATTAGCAAAAAGTGACAAGTGCAGATGAACCTTTTCTGCATAAACCATTTATGATGGGAACAGACCATGCAGTACCTCTACTGGTCATAAAATGATGTCATCTGATGAGCATTTTAAGTAATTTCTTCAGAAATGGTTTTGATCATCATGACATCATTCATGCACATGGCAAATGCCATCACTGCCCAACAAACTTGAGTGAAATTGAGTGAAAATAGAGTGTTTCTCACTTTAATTAAAGCAACAAGCTGCAAGAGTGGTTAGCTTTTGATTTCCTCATTCCAAATTTGGACATTCAAGATGCCAGAGTGTACAACACAAGACCAACTAGGCGAACAAAAACCCTGGCAAAGGATATTAATAATTCATCAACAATCTCCAAAGGAAAATGAGGAGGAGGCACACTTTATAGGTGGGTGCCGATATCACTTGTGTAGAGTGATAGTGTAATAACGAGTAGATAAAGGATCATTTCAAAGTGCACGATAAAGCAGGTGCACTGAGGACCGGGGCGGATGAAGCAGGAGAGGGGACTCGCACGGTAACACATGGGGTGCACAATGGTGGCACAAAGAGCTTGAGAAGCCACGGCGTGCGCAGGGCTAAAGACGCCGAGGAGGAGACGCCTGCTTACCTTCATAGACTTGATGGCCTCGTACGCGTCCTGGACAGAGCGGATCTCATCGTACACGGTCTGGTGGGGCAGGAGAAGCTGGTTGAGGACCTGCAAAGAGCCGGCCTTATAGCGGATGGCTTCTAGCGTCATGACCCAAACAACGAGGCGGGATGGCGGGGACGAGAAGACGCACAGACCGGTGGCGGCGGAGGCACCACTCTCAAGCTCAAGCACGCACACTTTCTCTCCAGACGCTGAATGCAAGTGACCACGGCTTGGCCTCGCTGTCTGTCTGCGGCTCCAGGGCAGAGAGGATGCCGAGGTGGAGGTAAGAAGAGGATGAGGAGGAGCAGGAGCGGGAGGGACGCCGCGGCGTGGACGTACTCAACGGGAGGATAAAACGGAAAGAGTCGGGCTGGAAATCGCTGCACATTGACAGACAGGCAGCAGCAGCTAGGCAGACACGGAACCACGTGTCCACTCAACCAGGAAGCCCCGACAAGCTCGGCCCCAAGTCCACGCCCACTCTCAACCAGAGCGGGGTGTCCAATTTGTTCAAGACACCTCAACAACAACGTTGCCGTCTTTAACGCACCATCCCCCCTCGCATGTTACCCCTTTGTCAAGGGAAATTTCACATTCAAATGCGATATTAGCATAGCGTCGAAACCCCAAGCTCCATAGACTAGAAAAATAGGTCTATTTTGGGGTTCCCTTTATTGTTCTGAACAAAAAAGCAAAAACATGCAGGATGGGAGGGAGGACACGGCTTTAATTTTCGTTCACCAACTTCATATATAGCGATAAGCTCAGACAAAGGCTGTTACAATCCCCAGAACATGACATTTAAAATAACCAACGATCATATATTATATAGTATACAAATATTACATAGGCCTCTACAGTAATTATAGTTGATGGAAATATTGTCCAAACACGTTTTACGGCTACAATGGTCCACCAAATCAACCATAAGATAAAAAGTAAAAGAGTGGGTGTCTTCTGTGTGGAGGGAACGTGACTCACCACTGGGACAGGCCTATCCCAAAAGCACAAATCCCACTGCTGAAAGCTGGTTAATGCACCCACCAACAGAGACAGAAAAGGCGCCTAGTATCAGTGCATCTGAGTCGATAATTATCATATGTTAACAGGGCATCATTACATAGGCCTACTTATGCAAGCACTTGTTTTACGAGCAGAACGGCTCCAGGGTAAAACAAACATCAGCTAAACATAAAGTACAGTGTGTAACTTTTCTGGTAGAAGGTTCGCCACCGGCTTGGCTCCATGGAGATTTAATTACTTTGCCTTGAATATTATAGGAGTGTGAAAATAAACTTGGATATCACAGTGGATACAAGTTACGAATCAGATCTATGGAGAAGCAAGCCTGCATATAGCAAGAATTCATGTATTTTTGAGCTTTAAAACACCTGTACGTGAATACATGCAAGTCAGATAAGTTTAATGCCATACGGTGGAACATTCCATGTAGATATTACATCTCAAGCAAGTAGCCAGCCCTTCACCTTAGACGTTGCATAGTGGCCCTTTAAGCCATCAGGGTTAAGTAATGTTAAATAAAAATAAAGGCTTTGTGGTTATGATTATTAACTTAGAATTTACCCCTGAATTAATTAGGATTTAAAGTAATGTTATCATTTGTCTTCGCTAATTAACTGTGAAAATCATAGCTTACATTGATTTCATTTAGATTTTTTTTTTCAGTACAAACAAAATATACTTCTTGATGGATAACAAGTTATTATTGTGTGATTTGTTATGAGAAGAGCATCATTTTTCAATTTCATGCACCGGCCACAAATTATTGAAGTGTCACAGAAACATGAGTCACACAATCAAAAAATAATATGGAGTGTTGTTTGTAGTTCAGAATCACAAATCAGGTGAGCCATATTAGAAAAATGTAATATCTTTCGCAATTTTGAGCTTTGCCAAATGAAAAAATAAAATAAAAATAAAATAAAATGTAGCCCACCCAAAACCATCAAAAACATTTATATATAAATGATTAGTCAAAAATATTTGCACACATTTACTAGTCAAAAGTTTTGCCCCAAATTTTCATGATAATCACTTGCTTGAAATGTTTGAAATTACTGTGACTTTTTCTCCCTTGCCAGCTCACATCCACTTGAAGTAATGATCAAAAGTTTCAAGATGGATAGGAGCCACAACAACAATCTGCTCAACAATTTTTTAGTGAAGAGTAAAAAAAAAAAAAAGATTCAGATCCTGGGACTAAACTAAAAAGTCTAATATGTACTATATTAGACTTTTTAGTTTGGTCCCAGCTCTGAATGCAGAAATAAAAGAGAGAAATTTTATATTATTTCATCCAAAACACAATAATCTTTAAATCAGTGAATAGACAGAGGACTTTAAAATGAACAATTTGACAATACGAGTTAACAGAAGCAAGTTGTTACTTCTGTGAAATCGTAACACCCTTCTTTGCCAACCCTAAAAGTGACTTGATCTCTGCGTCTCCTTGGTGACACAAACACTAATCCCTCATTATGGGATGTAGACTGCAGTGCCCGAAAGCCCCACTTTTTATACTCTCATATCACAGAACTGCAAAGGGGCAGATTACTGTAATCTGGAAACACTGGAGCAGACAGATTAGATTAAGTTTGTTTCACAGATAAAATATGGGGTTAAAACACATTGGTTTGATGGTTATACATACTACACAGTGGTACTTACAGGCACACATTCATATGGGCATGGACACATAATGAGTAAACATACATACAAATCAGAGGAAGAATTTTGACCACTTGTCTATTTTTGAAGATGTCATAATGCTGCTATATAAACCTGGGATCTCTTTTTGATTCAAGGAGAGGGCAATATTCCAAAATGAAAGAGCAAAGATCACTAATTTGATTTTATCATGATTCATCTAGTTTAGGGTGACCAAACATACCTGGGACAGTCCCTGTTTTGAGCCCTGTGTCCCTCTGTCCCAGTAGATTTATTCAAATCCACTGATTTGTCCCAGTTTCAAGAAATTCCCCAGGTGTTCCTATTTTTGAAGAACATCCAAACACCTCTAGAAGCTTTAATATTCAGAAAAAGAGACTTGAAAGTTACTAGAACACAAAACTGTTCTCAGTTGGACTGATTTTAAGTCTTTCAGCTTATATACTAACTCAGATATTAGTCATGAATAAATCATGAATGGAGTGAGTGCATAACAATTTTCCTTAATTACATTTGTGAAGTTTCTTTGATTATATACACTTTTCACAGTTTTATTATTGCCCACCACCCCAAACCAGGGGTGGCCCAGTTTTTCATTTTGAAAATCTGGTCATCCTAATCTAGTTAGTATCTTTTATCTGCCATTACAGGATAACAAAAGACATGTTCTTCTTCTGTGAGTTCAAATGTTGCTTTTTATCACCATAACACAATCTTATCGTCACTGGATCAGACCACAGTTTCTTTCATTATGGTAATATTGCCCAGCCCTAACACATACTGAACACCACAGACGGGGGACAGCTCACAACTAAGGGTGGGCAAAATAGCACTATTCTTATCTGGAAAACCATATTTTAAGTATTGTACAAATGTTAACGGAGACTGAGAAAATTATCCACCAAAACATAAAATTATCCCGTTGTACCAAACAGGCAATATGATAAAATATTGGTTACAAAATAATAAATTAATACCTCTACTCAAAGGAGATGCCCTGTCTGATCTGATCCAGTAAATATGTCCCCAAATTTGTCAAGCTCTCTTGTATTTTTATTATAATAATTTTGCTTGTTTCAGATTTAAGTACAAAATCTTGTTGCCGACTGTTTCCCACGCACTAACAAAAAGGATGGAGAGTTACTTCAGTGAAAATAATATTACACCCAAGTGCAAAAATGAATAAAACATTTAAAAATAAGGCTAGGAGGAACTCTGTAGTGTTTAAGTGCAAAAATAACCTGCATGTACAGCTCCAGTAGAGTAAATGTAAATTTCTGCAGCAATCAATGGAAGCTACACTGACTGAAGTTTCCATGCAGGTATGAAGTAGAGCTCAGTACTGTAATCATGCTAAAAGTACCCATTGCAGTGTTTCTAAATAAGGAACGGTAACAGTATTCCAGCCTGGCACGGTGTTCCTTTTTCCCTCTTATCCCGTACGTTTCCTTTGGAGTGATTCAAGCTGCAACAAATAAAGAAGAGATAAAGTTTATAAAGCAATTTAAAAATAGACAAGCTACACAGGCTACTAGTTCAAAAATTACCTCATGTTCTACCATCTTCAGTCTGCCCAAAGCATCCTTAGCAGCATCCTAAAAAATAAAACATTATATATAAACACATTGCATTAACTATATGAACAACAAAAAGTATATCCCCATTACAAGCCCCCCAAATTACCAATAAAAAAATACAGAATACATTGCCTTTGTTTAAGTTACCACAATAAAGTCACATACTTGGTGGGTAGAATAAGACTCAACAAATGCTTTTATTTACTCACTCTGTTTCCTTGGGTGGAGTATTTCTTTATTGAGTCGGAGAGTCCTTGTGCAAATCGTTTCAGAACATTTTCATATTCTGCACATTGGCAAACAAAAATTGGTTAAAGGCAAAGAAAGACAAAGGAAATTTCACTGTACAGTATTAGACAGGTCTGTACCATTTAGCATAGCAGGTGAAGCACGCTCAAGGTAAGCTTTCTGCCATTGAAGTCTATTTGTGACATCTTTGTATTGCTGTACAAGGTCTGGAGGAGGGTCATGGCGATTTTTACGGTACTCCGCTAACTGAGAGCCAAAAAGTATGATGTTACATGATGTTAGATAGTTGAAGCATATAAAACACAAAAAAGCTACCTTTCTCTCAAACCTCTCCTTGTCAAAGTTGAGGAGACTGAAGCTGTGGAGTTTGTACTGAGGTGGAGAGCTGCTGCCGCTGGGGGTGCTACTCCTGCCACTGCTGCTGAATTCACTTCTGTGTTTGGATCGAGGAGAAGGCGCCTAAAAAAAGATAAAAACAAAAAACAGACACTGCATTGTCAGTCTACCCACTACAACATCAAACAAACACTGTGTAGCATTAAAATGTGGAAGGGGAGAATGGTGGAGTAGAATGTGGCATGTGAGGGTATGATGAAGAGAACGAGTAGTGGTTTATACAGTTTTGTGTACAAGTGAGTTTTTCTTTTAAACCCTTCATGTTTTTTTGTTTGTTTTGTTGATTTGTTAAATTATGACAATTAATAAAAGTATATATTTCTAAAGGTAAAACTGTCATTTCAAATGTAGTTGTATGATATGGATATGTTAGTATAGACCAAATTGAGGTTGCACTATTCTGAAAAGATACTGGAATGCCCCCATGAGACAAGAAGGTGGCAGACTCCATCAGAAAAGTTACATAGTGCATGTATAAAAGAACATGATGAAATTATTGCTTGGTACACACAGGATTACAGTTTGGTGTTAGAGATTAATATGTCGCTACAAGTTACAATATAATAATGTTACTCACTCTTTCCTTTTGCTTCTCAGGAGGTGACAAAGGAGACACTGGCTCCAAAACCAGCCACTTCTCTGTGACTGGCTGCAGATGAGCCCCAGACACTGGCTCCCGGATTTTCACTCTCACCTCCAGTTTACCTCCAGTGGCTTTACGCCCGTCCATTACCTGCATAGCTCACAGTTAAGGCATTCATGCTGAGTGGCTCAGTGAACATTAAAGTATGTGGTCATGGAAATGTTTGTTACCTCTATGAACTCCCTGAAGTCACAATTGTTCTCCAGCGCCTCTAGCTTCAACTGAGCTGTACCGATAACTCTGTCATTTTTGAAGAAACCACTGCAGACATAAAATATGATGAAACCAAAGGATTATCACTGCACTTAAACTTACAGTGTACATTTGTTGTTTTACCCTTTGTGGATGATCTCAAATTTTATTCCTTTGGACTGAATAACTCGTTTGAAGGCTCGATGTGAACGGTTTATGTTGAGTCTGAACTGCTCTTTAAACTCTGGGTTGTTGGTGCCTTTCACAAAGTTGGTCTTGTCTTGTTGGGCCTCTTCCTACATACAGTTTAATTATGACATTAACTACTCATTTGAAATCTCTATCTATTTAAAATGGTGGAATGGAATAGCATGTGTGAACTTACTGCACTGGGAAAGTGGAACTCAAACTTCACACTGGCATCGAGATCGTTAGGTGAGACACCTGAAAATAGAGCGATACTGTGGGTGTCGTGTACAATGTGAATGCAACATATTACTGCCTCGTTATTTCTGAGAGGCAGCGCGGCCTACCTGAAGGTGCTGGCAGGTTGACACCTTTGATGATGTATAGTAGCATGTCATTAGGAGTTAGATTTGAATAGATCCTACAGAAAAATAAGCAGCATTTTGAGCGACAGCCATGAGAACACAAGAACAATGACTGAATGTGTTGCATGGGGCTGACTCATCAACGGTGTCCCAGCCTTAACTGACACAAACTAAATATTTGAAGACAAACATTTCTAAATTACACATAATACTGTGCTATTTCCAGCTAGTCAGCTTTACTGAGAATCCATGTGCAGTTTGACACTGTTTAAAAATATGTATTAATTCGTATTCTGACTTCACAGTGTTGAAGGTCCTCTCCTCAGTACGGCACTTGGGAACTGGATGCCCTTTAGAATAGCCATTTTTCAGTATCTCTATGCTCTTCATACATTCCCCCATCAGCTTCTCAAATCTGCAAAGTTGAAGCAAAAATATTGAAACAAATAATTTACAGCCACAGTTGTATAAACCTGCTGATACAGCTTTAGAAACAATAGTTACAAGCACCAAGATTCTTACTTAAAGGCCTCTGCGATGTTGCCATGCTCAGTGAACTGCTGACAAAGGCCCATACATTTCTGTGAAGAGAATCAAAAACATCTTAAATAAAATTGCCAACTCCTTAAGTGTGTGAGAAAAGTGGAGTTGTCTACATCATGCTGCTTTCTGAGAAGATCCATCAGAGCATGGTACTGTTCACTGGAGCGCGGTGACATTGATGGTGAAGAACGAGAACGTGACAGAAAGAAATCCTCCTCATTTATTGGAGCCATTGGAACCTAAAACACAAATTTACAAATTTGTATTCAAATAATCTCACATTAGGTAATGTCAGCACTCTAAAAGATGAACATAGAGACAGTCTATTTGAGATTTGCATTTTATGTTTCATTCCTTAGTACAAACTCATACTAGATAGTATCCAGTAGCTTACTAAAAAATACCAAAAACTTGTATTTTTTTGGTAAATTCAGTCACAAATCTACCCCCCAAGACACAATATAACTGCTAGAATTAGTTATTTGTTGAATGTTAATTTCATTACATAATTACCTTTCTGATGTCAACAGGAAGTCCAGATTTGGAAGCTTCTATCATAGGGTCCACTCCTTTAGCATGTTTAAGGTGTTGTGCTGCTCCCGTCATATCCTATAGGAAACAAGATGTTAATACCTACAATTTACAACTGGTTAAAAGTAACAAAAGTAAAATTAAAGAAAAAAGACCATAAAGAAACCCATCTGCTTACCTTCATCTGTTTTGAGCGAAGAGCTGCACGTACAAAAGCCTGTCGCCTTAGCAACAGGAAATCTAATTGTAGTTGGACTGTAAGTATAATTAAGAAAAACACAAGTCTAAGTAGCAAAATTATAAATGTCTAAATACAAACCATGCGTCAACAAACTCTAATTCTCTCATGGTCAGATTACAGGTCCCAAAATCCCTAAACATTTTTTAAATTATTCAAATTTTTCACAATTCAGCTACAAGGATCAGGATCACAAACAAATCCACTCTCTTCTTGCACTAATATCAATAGGTAGTTAAGTTATGAAGGACATGTGGCGTAAAACTGTAAAGAAATAATTATGTCACAATTTGAGGCAGAAAATGTGCTATTTGGACCACATAAGACCAATCCGTTTCATATGAAAAACACTACTGATTTGTTATAAATAGACTAAAGTAAAACATAGTTAGGCTTAGATAAAGTGTACATCATTAATTGATCTTAATTTTGTGTATCCTGCCCCATTGTTTCAGGGTCATTGGATTAACACACCTTTAGGTGCTAGTTTGGGGGCAGCTTGAGGGGCTGGGGATTTGGCTTTCTGTACTGGTGGACGGACTGCAGACTGCAAAAGAATTAAAGCAGATTTTATTTTAGTTATTACAACTGAATACATGATATAAGATTAATATTGAACAATAACAATAACATTGAAAAAAAAAATTATTTAGACTTACCGTAGTAGTCCCTTTAGGTGTATCCTCATCATCTGCTTCGACATCCTGATTTGCAATTTTCATTGCCGTTTCCAGGACTCCCATGAAGTTCTGCTCACCACTCTCTGAGCCTTGAAGTGGTGGACAGCCTAAAACAGACACAGAACATAGCTGTTATTGATAAACGCCAGTCAAAAATCAAAATAAAATCTCATGAATTTACCTGGTGGCATAGGGAGATCTGACAAGTTTACAGGTCGTCCAGCTTTTTGGGCTTTGATTGCATCTTGATATTGCTTAAGGATTAGACAGAAGGAAGGAGAACATGAGCAAATGTCAAAATTTGACTTGAATTTGAAATGTCGTAACTTCAATCAATGTTATTTTTGAATATATATATAATACTATGATATTTATGATTTTCTACTAATCATCAGAACACACAAGAGTGTAGAACGCCTCATTTATCCACCATCTCATTTATCAACTAAAATGCCAGAAAATAAGTAATCAATAACCAATGTCAGCATGATGTACAAAATCATTGAGTCTACCTTGACAATGCGCTGGTGCATGCGTGCCTTGCGGTCATCTCCTTTGCTCTTGGCTCCCTCTGCTGCTGACTTGTATATTTCCATTCTTTGCTGTAATGCTTCAGCTACTGTTTTGGGAGCAGGAAGGTCTTTGAAATGAAAATGAATGAGTTTTGTTAAAATAGTGTGCTGAAAGTAAAAGCAAATCTGAAAATGGGTTTATTAAAACACAGATGTCTTACTTGCTGGGTTTATATGAGTTGGAGCAGCTGGAGCAGCTGGAGCAGCTGGAGCAGCTGGAGCAGCAGGAGCAGCAGGAGCAGCTGGAGCAGCAGGAGCAGCAGGAGCAGCAGGTTTAGAGGAAGGCTGAGGAACAGCTGTAGTACCAGCATCACCTGCAGAAGAACACATGAAGCTAGTCAGCTAGACACATAACAACAAAATAAGGACAGTTTGTAATAACTGTGATCTATAATTAAAAAGAACAAATATGAAGTTAATGCACTGACCGGGTGGAGGGGGGAGAGCGCTCATATTAAATGGTTCATGTTTGTCCAGTGCTTCCAGCATTGCATCCATTTTCTGCACAAATTAGGTTCCTTTAAATCTTCCAAAGAATTTACTAAAACCACCATACGTTCAATGAATTAATTTATGAGCTCACCTTGGCAACCATGTAATGTTGTTTGGCCAGATTAATGTCCCCATTTTGTTTGGCATTGATAGCAGCCAACTTGTATTCTCTTTGCCTGGACAACACTGCCTGCTTCAGCTCTGCATGTAGGATACTGATTAGTAAACCATTACATTTAACAGACATAAGCACATACTGTGAACCTACCTGAGTCTTGTGCATCAGGTCGACTAGGAGTGAGTGGGGAAATGGCAGGGGTGTCCGGGGTGATAGATGCAGCAGCACTATTTTGAGGAGGAGTGAGTTGTGGCTTAGTATTGTAAGCAGGTGGTGGAGCTTCTTTGGAAGGTTTTTGATTGTATGGGGAGGGGGATCTGTCCACAGGATGTGGTACCTCCTGTGCTGGAACAACTTCAGGTAACACACTGGTCTTTCCCCCCAAAGCAACAGGAGGCGGCATCTCTTCCTCACTGATTGGCTTTCCTTTCTTCACAGATGTTAACATGGACTGCAAGGTCTAAAGATGATAAAAGGTTCAATAAAATGAATAAAATGCAAAAATAAATAACCCCTAAAAAAGTGACATTATTACCTTTAATCCACGTTCGTATCTTCTCACTTTGCTACTTTCTCCAGCAGCTTTAGCATTAGATATGGCTGTAGTGTACATCTGAATACGTTCCATTAACTTGGACTCCACCCCTGTTCCCCCACTGGGGGCTGAAGCTGGTGAGTGGGATGTGACAGTGAATTTTGGACCTGATGGAGTGGAGGCAGGAGGTGTGGGAGACGAGGTTTCCTCTTCGCTGTCCTCTAAAACCTCATTTAACTCTGCCTGTTGAAGAACATACAAATTATCCACAACGTATAATTTACAAGGAGAACTATTAGGATCTAACTTGAAAGATAAACATAGAATAACAATAATTTGATTCAAAATCAGCTTTCTATTCATATTGATAATGCCCTGAAAACACCTAAAATGATACACATATACAACTTGAATTTTTTTATTAAAATGATAAATAATTAAAAACTCAACTCACCAGAAGGTCCTCATCCTCCAAATCTTCATCTCCTACATCTTCATCATCTATGTCTTTCATACAAAGAGCCGCCATTCGCTCTATTTCAGCTATTGCAACAGGAGCTTCATATGAACCAAAAATTAATAATTCAGCATAACAGATCTATTTAAAGGTTTAGTATTAAAGGGGGCTTGTTTGTCTCACCTCTTCCATCACCTTTCTTTGGTTGAGGTCTGCCTCCACCACCTGAACCAACCAGATTCATCAGCTCTGCCTCCAGGTCTTCATCATTTTCACCATCATCCATTCCTCCATCAGGGTTTAGGTCAAGTAACAGCCCCATCTTCCCAATAGAATAATAAACAGGGTAGGACACAAGATTTGCTCAGTGCGCGTTACTTAATTATCCAAAGATCAAGGACTGTTACCTGTTTGGCTCGGGCTGCTCCCTGCCCACGGGCAGGTGGATTTCTACTGCGACTCATTGAAGCTCTTTGTATGGAGTCTATAAGGAGGACATTATACTTGTTAGTTAAGTTTTTTTGTTTGTTTGTTTTTTGTTTTGTTTTTTGTAACGTTAACTCGATACAATACAATACAATAAACATTAGAACTTAGTCATTTAGTTCAGTTACGTTACAAAGGGTTTCCACTAAATGGCATAACGTTCGTTCTAAAGTGAAGGTTTAATCACCCTTAAAAGTTAAGTGTTTTCAGACAAATTCCTAACACAACCCAACAGCTAACGTTAACCCAGGGCAAGACTCAATACCAGATAATTTGTGAGTTTCTCCAGTCGATCTTCTTACCGAGCTTGCCGTTTTTGTTTGTTCCAAAGACTGGAAGACGATGTATCCTCTATACTTGTAGAATATTGGAAGAAAAAGACTCAAAATATAAGAAATACAGAGCTTAAAATGTAACTTTAAACAGACCTGTCAAAACAACTGCAGCTGTGGAATTCACTTCCGACATTCGCGTTTCCCATAGCAACGAAAATCGCTTTACGGCTGAACGAAACGCGCCAAAAACTGTCGCAAAAGTCTATCGTAATGTCAACGAAACAAAAAAAAAACTTGGTAAGTTGAATATATCGCATACTTAGACGTAATATTTGAATGTGAGACTTTCAAGTATTTAAAATCTTTCAGTTATATTAATTTTCTAATGTATCATGAATTTTAATTTCTGTCTAACTTCAACAGCACAAATTTAGAAGTTAACATGATTTTTGTTAGTAATATCCAGTATGATAGTGTGTTTTATTATTTTGTATAAAACCAAAACTACGATACATTTTGTCTTTTGTTCTAATCTAATAATATAGAATTATAAAGAAAATGGCTAAAGGAAAAATATCTAATAGAAAACAAGGTAAACGTATTGCTATTTATGTTATAAAACACCAACATGAGTCTTAGTGGAGCTGTTAAGGACCAAAATAGTTCGCTTTTATGGTACAAGCATGAAACTTTGCTAGATTAGTAACACCCCTAGGACTACTATTTCTGGATATGGAACCAAGTCTAATTCAGCACTGGAGCTGAGAACTGGACATGTCACAAAATGGACTATATGAAAATGAGTCTGACTTAAAAATACTACATAATCCCTTTCTTACAGTCTAATTTGTTTAGTTATCCATTTTGTAATGTTGAACAACTATTTTTCATAAACTCCAAAGCATTAAGGCAGTCACATGATCGTTTTCCTCGAGAATGTAAGGGTTGTGTGGGTTCCCTGTGGCTGAAATCCAAGTTAATACAATATTTTATGTTTCAGAGCCATATTTATTGGGTTTTTGATAACAAAACACATTTTACCATCTCTAAAGATCTATAAGTGCCATATCATGGTTCATAATGATAATTAAATGCTGCATGGAAGCGAGGCTTAACCCCAAACACAGAACAGAGATCTACCTTAAATCATTAAATTTATTCAAAGTTCTCTTAAGTGCAGCTGCTGCCACATTTGCATGAACCTGTACACACCAAATTTGTCTTTGCAGACTTGCATCACCCAGCACAGGCTTCTGCATTCACACTTTTTAAGATCATAGAATGCGTCCTTTGCCACTTGTCCTATCCACTGACTGCCATCACGCTTCCATCCCCAATCTGCAGGGCTGGGCAGATCTGGTGTCTTAAAATTCTAAAATTCTTAATGGTGCATTATAACTTACCATACATACCAGTCTTGTGTTTATTCAGTTAAGGATTGAAAATGTGTTTATTGCTCAAATATCTAAAATACATACATTCTTGCATTTAGCAGGGTCTCATGTCAGCAGGGAGATGGATAAGGTTAATGTCATACGGTGAAAGCAAAGCAATAACATTTCCATGGAGACAAGCAGGTATCTTACCTTCCACTGGAAATGTTACATTGTGAACCTAAAGACGTTAAATTGCATTGTCCTTTTACATAGCCTTTACATAGCCATCTCACATTATGAGAAGAAAAAAAAACAAAAAACATTATTTCAGCAGTTTAAGCATTTTGTTTTTAATTAGACTTTATTTTAACATTTGAAGCTAAAACATAGTAAATTTGTGGTCTTAATAATGGGTTTATATCTTTATTACAATCCATATCTCACTGTAGAACAGCTGTGAACAGAGCCTCCTCTTTAGGTTAAATTATAGTCTGAATATCTACAGCTCATTTCACATTGAGAGATGGCAATGAAAATACTACACCATCGCAAAGCCTGGTCAGATCTTGCCTTAATTTGGTCATAATCCCAAATCACCATTTTCACAATTTCTTAGGTGTTTTCAGTCTGGTGTGGGACTACTGGAATGAGCCGTCCACCTCTGCTCTTGTCATTATTGTTATAATGGTAACAATATATGGTTATTGTGGTTTACTCGTGGCACATGCCAAATTTAAATTCATCACCGTGACCCCTTAAAAGACAATTTAAGCACAGATGTTGCTAATGTAACATTCATTCATTATGGTAAGGATAATAAAATGCAAGATCATTTACACACTGGCAATTCTAATATTAATGCAGATATTTTTGGGCAGAAATTTGTTAGTAGTATTAAAGATGTACTATGTAACTTTTCTGCTGGGACAATAATGGCAATGTTATATTGTTCCTCAGTATGGCATTAAACTTGTCTATCTCCTTGGAGACAAGCCAGTGGCACAACCAGGCCATGTTTACAGGTCAGATCTATGGAGAGGTGACCCCACTCATAATAAGAATTCATGTTTTTTCAAGGTATTTTTGAGCAATTAAAACACCCAAAATAAAATTAAGGTTACATAAATAAATTTAATTCTATACTGCTGAATATTTCAGGCAAAGCAATGAAATCTCCATGGTAACAAGCAGCCGTAACGTCCAGAACAAGACTGAATTAAAGAAACTTAAGTCAGCTTCAAGTTTTATGTACAAAGCCTTAAATGCTAGTCACTTGTGTAGTTAGTGATTTTTATATGTGTACTCTATACTTTCACTCAAGTACAAGTTTCGTAGTAGTACTTGTAACTGAGTAGATGTTTTGCTATGTAACTGTACTTTTATTCACAGATTAGTTTTTTCACCATTTGAACCAGGAAACTTAAAGGAAGACCAAAGAGCTGATTGAACCATTGAAAATATAGACTAAACAAAGAGGAGGGAGAGAGAAATTAAGATAGAAAATCAAACCTACACAAAACTATGTTTTACATTTGCCTTAAAGTGGGATTAAACACCTAAACTCCACCCACAAACACATTTCAAATAGATCTGATAAACTGAGTTACCTGGAGGACTAAAGAAGAGAATGAAAGGAGAGATGGGCGGGGCTAGGGGGTATAAGGAACAGTGTGACAGGTATCCACACTACAAACTCCCCCTCATAGCCAGGGTTTTGTAAACAGAAACAACAGGCTGTAATCAGGGCAGTCCTGTGTGATGTCACATAGTACTTGATACCACAGAGGCCACTAGAGTTCACATACTCTCATTTTTACACATTTTTGATCAGATTATTTAGCAAATTTACCTAATTTGCTCTAAGATTACCAAAAAAAAAGCAAAAGTAGTAGTAAAGAGTAAATAATACTATTAAAGATTAACTATTAAACTATTAACTGCTTGTTACTATGGATATGTTACTGCTCTGCCTAGAATGTTCCACAGTATGACATTAAACAGATCTACCTTATATGTATTCAATCACAGGTGATTTTATTGCTCAAAAATACCTAGAAAAACAGGCATTGTGACTGTGAGCAGGGTCGCCTCTCCACAGATCTGACCTGTAACTTGGTCTGGTTTAGTCTCCATGGAGATAGAAATGTTTAATACCATACTGTGAAACATTTCAGCAAGCAATAACATCTCCATGGCAGCCAGAAAAGTTGCACAATGCACCTTTTAAAAAAAACACCATTAGTTTAGTAGCAAATATCTTTTTGTGATTTCATTTTTACTTTCCTTTTAAAAACGACATTGAAACCGCTTTGCAGTAGCTAGTATCTTGAGAATACATATTCTTCTTTATAACCTATATGATTATTTAACATTATTTTCCAAAAAAAGCAGTTTAAGCAATAATTGAGCTCCCAGCCTTGTTTCCATGTCAGCCATTATGTGGCATGCATGGTACTTGGCTCCAGGGTCGACTTGGGCTTGGTTCCATATCCAGAAATGTTGGTCCTAGGGATGTTACCAGTCTGGCAAAGTTTCATGCTTGTACCATAAAAGTGAACAATTGAGCACTATTTTGGTCCTTAACAGCTCCACTATCTTTCAATTGTGTACTGTTTCTTACAGACTCTATGGATCCATCTATGACTCGGACTCTGAGGTCAAGGAAAAGGGGATATCCAATTGAGAAAATTACTGTAGATGATCACCATCAGGTTAAATAATCTTACAGAGAGCTTGATTTACAGTGAATATTGTGATGATAGTTGATGGCATCTAATTAATTCTCTCTGCACTACACAGGACTTGGGAGAGGCAAATACCGAAGAGACATATGTGCAATGTAATCAGGAAGGTGACACGCAATATACTGAGCTGAACTCATCAGCTATCTCTGATGAAAAGAATGGAGAGTCTGAAACCCCAGAAGTTAATACAGCTGATCTTAAAAGGCAGTTAGTGATAAATTTATCAAACTGTGGACATGACAGCAATCAAAATAAAATGGAGGAGGAAAAAATACCAAATGAATGTGAATCACCAGCTTCTTCTGATTATCATAATGATGTCAATGCTGAGATGAAGCCTAATGGTTCAGGAGAACAAATTAGTGTAGAAGACAACCCTCACCAAAAGATGGAGACAAACCAAGAATTGGATGAAATCAAGCTAATTTCCATAGAACAAGGGGTTGAGGGGTTAGCCAAGAAGAGGCGAAGGTTGGGCAGGGGCCGCTTGTCAGAAAAGGAGCAAAGTCTGTTTTTACGTAAATGTGCAAACAAAGCAGAAAGTAGTGAGAAGCAAAATGAATATACAATGGTGGCTGAAGAGGAAAAGGGATCTGTAGTTGAAGCATTATTGCCTCATCAACAAACGACTGAAATGATGCAACAGGACAATCTAAAAGCTGAGTCAAAACAGAACAAGGATGAATGGTCAGGAATAAAGTAAATGCTTAGTTTGTAAGCTTTCAAAATGAATACAGAGTTGCACTTTGTCCAATAATGCAAATAAGAACTGCTTTTATGTATAGGGTGGAAACCAAAGTAAAAGCTGCTGTTACTGAGATGACCATGAAGTGTGAGCCACTGACCAGAGAAATGCACATCTCAAAGGCCGACCCAAAGGGAGATGTGCACTCTGTCATTACAAAGCCACATGATGAGAAAGCATCACAAAGGAAAGTTATCCTGAGCCACTTCGTGTAAACTGTTCATCTTTACTTTAATTTACGTGCATTATAAATATTATTCTCTAGGTATATATTGTGTTAACTGATGAGCTGAATGCTCAGATAATATGGTTAGATTTTTTTTAACAAACAGGACAGAATCTGGATGTCAGATGACAGTAGTAGCAGGGATGTGTGAGTCAAGCCTCACTGAGTGCGAATCTGAAAACACCAAAGATTCTGACCAGTCCATAGGGAACTATTATTGTGCAGAGGAAGAACTAACCAGGTTAGCAGTAGTAGCTTAGAGTGATTTATCTTTCTGGATTTATGTTTTCTTTAGCGTCCAACAATCAAAAAAATTCTTTACATTTTTAACTGTACAATTTATGCAATCCCTAGGGTGATTGAGGTCCACGTATGTGCAAATGTGTGCAAAGATCACACAGCGCCTGATCTCAAACAGGCTTCACATCAACTACAAAAAACTGAGCATCAGCAAAGCCAGTATGTCACTCAGTCTAAGAGTACGCAGTAGTGTCACATATTATTTTACATATGGCTTTTTTGTAATCATAAATTGTGTTTACAGTTAATGGCATTGTTAGACAAAGTTTTCATTGTCAGTGTAACTTTCTTTCTTAAAACAGGACAGAGACTGAAGCACATCTCACGGTTTCAATATGTGATGCATTGTCTCCAAACCTAGAAAACTATGAACCAACTCAAAAGCCTCATTTGGACAAAGAGCAGCTGTTGAACAGGTGTCTTTTTATTTTACCCATATCATTAAAGTGATTATGTCCATCATTATTATACTGAATACCTGTAATTTTCTTGCTATGTCATATTGCAGATCTGAAACTGAGTGCCATTACACAGCTACTCTGCTTGTTGCTGATTCCTTGTGTGAGCCTCAAAACCCAGAGCTGCAAACAACCAAAGTTCAGTTAGACAGCCCTTCAGGACCTGATCCAACTGCAGAACTTTCAAACACAAACCAGAAAAACATGATGAATGAACAGCAGCCTCTGAAAGAAATAGAAGTGACATCGACTGACAAACAACATGAAAACAAACATGCAGACAAAGATCACAGCCATAGTGAAAGTTGTAACTCCAAAACTAACCCAACTGAGAAACCACCAATAGAGCAGGAACTCTGTCACCAACCAAACACATGTGACAAGATGTTTTTGGAGAATCTTTATCAAATCATTGGAGAAAATTCACACTTAATCCACACTTCAGTCAGTGATGTTGCACTAGAAACAAACTGTAACTTTGTGGATAAGGGTCATATGAACAGCAGTGTAAGCGTGTTTACAATTCAAATTCTATTTTTATAGTCTGAGCTATCCAATTATAATAATATCTGCCTGCAGTGTGCTGAAAAGGAACAGTACGATACAGACACTTCAACAGAGAACATGGGACCACCTCATTCAAGAGAATATGTGTCAGACTCTCAGCTAAACAACATTGACATGACGTGAGGCTCTTTCTATACATAGAACAATAACACAATTATTATTTTAAAAGATTCTCCTGTACTGAAAGCAGTCCTAGACTTGAGCTTGTTATTGTGTCTCGACTGCTGACTTGAGACTTGACTCTGATTTGTACATTTCTTTAGCTGTAACTTGACTTGAGGTTCAAGCAGTAGCAACTTGATAAATTTAGTTACATCGCTGAAGTTCTTATGCTGAAATGATGGTTTAAGTTCAAAGTTAGTTTAAAGCTATGAGAAATAGTAGGAGGGCACAATGGGTGAGCTCAGTACAGCTAGAAACTGCGAAAACAGGATATAAGTGAGTCGAATGGAGGGATGAGGTGCTCTTCAAGGATGAGGCCACTTGAGTTGGGAACACAGATTAGACGCCTACCAACGTGGAACTGTAAGTGGTGTAGAGCTAAAAAAAAAAAAAAAAAAAAAAGTGCCAGTTCAGTTCCACGTTGGTAGGGATCTAATCACTGCTCCCACCAGTTAGAAACAGTATATAGTCAGTAAACTCTGCTGGATTTGCAATTGGATACCTAAGGACTTGACTTAAACTAGTAACCTGAGGTCCAACAATGAGGATTTGAGCATTGATTCAAACTTTGTGACTTGACTATAATATTGTTAGGAGTAATGTATGTCTTTTTCTATTGAAGAGATCAGATAACTGATGTTGGAACAAGGGTTTCTCCTGAATGTTATGAAGATGTCACAGATCTGGTTGGTGGGCTCATCAGAGAACTGTCTTCGTTAAAGTGAGTAAATGTGTCTTATTGTAGTTTGTTTGCTTCAGTATGGGTTTATTCAGCTTTTTGCAATATTGTGGAAATTTAACACAATATGTTTCTTCCTTTTCTTCTAACAGTCGAATGGTGATGGCCACTCACCGCGAGCTGGAAAATCTACGCCGCAGGGGTAAAACCTCAAGGAATACAATTCGTTAAGAGTAATATGTTTGTTTCTCTGGGGTTTAAGTTCAGAAAATATACAAATAGTAACCGAAGTAACCTGCATTTATTAAACAGTTAGCCAGAGGCATATTGTTTTTACTGCCACACAAAAGTGTTTTCAGTGAGTTGAAATAAATGTGATTTGTGTTCTCCAAAGATGCAAATGTAAACATCAATATGCTGTGTATTGATATTTTTATAAATGTTTTTCTGCAAGACTTGTGTTAAGATTACACAGTATTTCTCATTATAAAGATCTCAAAAGACATTAAAAATCAACATGCATTTCTAACTAAAATGTGATACCTTAGAACAGGCGTCAGATACATCTGAGAACATGAACTAGTATTATAAAAAGGTCAATAGTCATGTAAGGCTTAAATATTGAAAACATGATGGTTCTGTTTTGTGTTAATATTAGTAATCCTTCAATGCATGGACAGGAGAAATGAATATGGATACCAGTTGACCACAATTAAAATGTCAAACAAACAAACAAACAAACATCATATTTTGTTCACAAACAAAATATTGACCGTTGTTAAATAGATTACAAAGACAAAAGTCACTCGTTACAAGCCAACCATGCTTTCCCAGCTGGACCACGTCTCCAATTAGCTCAACGCAAGGCTGCACCGCTACTCTACAAGGCATGCAAATAAAGACACTCAAACACAACACACTGATAAATAAATTCGAACAGTCTATAAAAAAGGTTTGCCTGCGCACTCGGGTTGTCTGGAGTTCCCCTGGTCCAGCTGGTTTAGCGTCTTGACTTTGCGTAAACTGAGCTATAGGCGCTGTCCACTTTCGGACAGAAGCGCTTGGTGTGAGCTTTGGTTCCCGTGGCTCCACACAGTGGGCACACGTACTGTTGCAGATAGGGGCAAAGCACCTCCCCGGCCTGGTTCTTCAACCAGTGTGACCCGTACACCATCTCGGACTCTCCGTTGTGCTTGCAGAAACTGCAGAACATTCTCTCAGGCGACGCGGCTGCCGGGGGTTTGAAGCGTGGAGTCTTCCTTCGCTCTTTGGGATTAAGTTTTTGCCTTGGTTTCAAACTCCCCGCCTCTCCGGAAAAAGGTAATGCGTAATAGAAGCCATCGGTGCACTGAGGGGATGTCATCGGGACCTCATCGTAAACCCGAGGAGGGGATGCGGAGCGGATGCAGACAGAGAGCAGTGCTCGGCACAGTTCATCGGTCTGCAGGTCAGGAGCAGGGGGCGTGGGATCAGACGCCTCGCTGGCGCCGCTCTGGCCCAGAATCCCTTTAATTGTGTCAGACAGTCCCATGTAGTCTTTCCAGGGCTGAAAACTTTTGCTGTCCGACTCCATGAAGCTCGGCAGGTAATGGAGAAACTCCCACGCGATGATTTTCATTCTCCTGCTTGCGCCTCAGAGGCTCGCGCTGTTCTGTTTGAAACAACTTAATTGTTAATTACCTACAAGTGTTGATTGATGGCACACTTCTGGTCGCACAGCCAATCAGAGGTCCGTGCAGTTGCAGTTTTATATTCTTTTCGCCCAATCACTTTCCGCTTATCACGCAGTGCACACATGGTTGTGGCCTCGTTGCATTATTACCTAGACTACTAATATAACCTAAGTTAGTTACATCCAAAAACATTTTACCCACCGTACTTGACATAATTTCTCACAAAAGTGATGAAGTGAGATGGTCTGACGGACAATAGGACAATTTATTTTATTAAAATGTAAAGGGTCAATTACATGCAAATAAGTGACAAATAAATATGTGTTAAAAATGTGTCAAAATGACCAATCCAAGTGAGGGTTCGCTGCGTTGGTCTCGCTGTCCCACGTATCATCATCTGCACCTCTGAAGGGGGTGAACAGGCACAATTATTTGTGTATTTTTGTAACATTAATGTAATTCAGTTGTTTTTGTCCCACTCTGTTATTGACTGACCCAGAGCGGTTATAGGACAGGTTGAGTGCAGTGTAGAGCTCAGGGGTGCTCGGAGTCTGAACCCTCGCCATTCTGGGATACCCTGTGACATTCCCCTTCTGGGGCACTGCTGTTTGGGTGAAAGCCATGTGGCGCACAGGTGTGTTGAGGGGTTTAAACCCAGACATGTCTGTGCAAAGAGTGAAATACTGTTGTCATTTTTCACAGGAATGTCACATCTGAACAACTGAATAACTTACTGAAGCCAGTACATTCTCTTCTGTTGCTGGACTGTGTCAGTTTCTCAACAACAGGAGAATCACACAGAAACTGCTGCTTCAGAAGTAAAGCTTTCTGCTGCTCAAAATCACGGCGCTTAAACATACAATCATTTACTATTAATTAGTCAAAACAATTTTTTAAAATCCACAGCATTGTGCAGCTATGTACTCCTCACCTCGTGGCTCAGACGGATAGCAGCATCAGTAAAAGCTTGTCTCTCCTTTTCAAAAGTCCTCCTCTGGACTTTGAGCTCAGTCCAGTGCTCCTGGAGACGGTCCCATTCCTCTATAAAATAGCAGTCACCCAGTTCCGATGGGACAGGTGACCCAACGCCATGCTGAAGATAGAGCATTTAATCATTTTCCAATTTTTTTTCCTAAACTATATCAATTACCTGCAGAAGTTGCTGTTGCATTTCAACAAGTCGTTGACTTTCTTTTAATTCACCCTCTAGCTGTGCCATGAGCTTATTATGATCTGTACCAAACTCAGTCGTTCCTTGAAGATAAACATTTAAAGCTACAGTTTTATTTATTTTTATTATCAACTGCTCATTTTTAGTGGTCAATGTTCACATTTTTATATAGCATGCCCTCCCCCCCCCATCCCCTCAGATTATTATCACTAAAAGTTAGTCAGCAGCTCTTTGAGTAAATATCCTATTGTTCGTGTGGGCTTTACCTTCGCATATGAATGAGCCCAGTTTCTTTTGCACTTGTCTCCAGCTCTGTACCACACCTCCTGTCATATGGTCCCCAAGTGCTTTTTCTGCCTGGTCCAGTCTTTTGTCCACATAGTGAGTCTTATCCTCGTGGCCCTCAAGTTCAGACAGTGTCTAAACAAAAATATTATTTGTTGGTTTTGTTTTTCCTGCAGGTTGTGTCATTATTACCTGTTCCATGTCACATCTGAGGGCATGCAGCAGAGAGGTGAGACTGTGGCGCAGCTTCATGGCCTCTCTGAGCTCTGCTTCTCTGCGCTCCAGCATCAGACGAACTACCCCTTCCTCATGTTTTCTACTGAGGATAAAGAAATCAAAAATCCTTATTTCTTAATTTGTTCATATTCAAATCAAAATGTTACTTACTTTGCTGAGAGCTGTTCTCGTTTCCCCCGAGCACTTGGCAGAGTGTTCAAGATTTTAATTGCTGAACAGATATTATAAGAGCAGGGTGAACATAGGATTTCGTCATTAGTGCTGTAAATGTATCTTACTGGAGGCTCTGTCTTTGTGTCTATCAGTGAAGAGTGACAGCCTCTCCTTCATCCTGTTTATGTTCCGCTCTCTGCGCTTCAACTCTGCCTCCTGCTGGTTACATCGTAACTGCAGCCGAGTGCACTGGGAAGACAGGATGACATTTTATTGTTAAGGCATGCCATGTCATATAAATAGTATCTACTACTGACTTTGGTTCGTTCAGATTTCAGCATGTCTTGAATTCTGGACACGTGGTCATCCATTGTCTTAAGCTGCTCCTAAACCGGAACAATTTTAGTTATGTTAATTTTATTACGGGTGAGAGATAGTGAGTCGTACAGACAATTCTACAATGTTATATTTTTAGACAATTCTACAATGTTATATTAATCATATATATATATATATATATATATATATATATATGTGTGTGTGTGTGTGTGTGTGTTTTTTTTAGGGTTTTTTTTCATGATGAGTCATGAGTGATCACTTTACCCTGAGTGAATCTCCATTCTCCGTTTGCCCTTCTCTGTAATCCCACCAGATGGTGCTGTTGTACAGAGGCCTGATGGGGCTACGACCCCAAGGTTCAAAAAGTCCTATAGTACGCACACACGTTATCACTATTATTGCATGTTGGTTAAAAAAAAAGAAGGAAAAAGGGTAACTTAATGGCCTGAGGTTGTCTGTATTTTGGCAGTGAAAACATTATATACCTGTTGGGTCTTGCAGGTGGCCAAAGTGGGAAGCCATCTTAAAACTGCTTTGATCTGTAAAAATGGATGATCTTGTATCAAATGCCATGCACATATGCTACTTCTTACACCAAATGAGAATGTGTAAGGTGTTTCAGAGTCCACACACTTACTTCACTGGCTCCAGCTCCTTAGAGTGCTGCTGCTTCCCTGTCCAGGTGATGTTACTTCAGCTAATTAATGACTCACAAAGGAATGAAGAGGTCGAAGCAAAAATTATAGAACAAGGCTCATTTGTTGCTTCCAGAAATCTTGGAACATAATGCTGCAAATGTGGGTGTGTTGCTGTGAAGACCGTTTACAGTCAGTTTCTTCTGTGAGTCAATGACCTAGCAGTACTTTACATTTTATTTGAAATGCTTACTTAAATAGGCCTCAGAATAATGCTCTGCAAACTGTAGTAACATAACCAAAATAGGTGATTTATTTATACATTTCAGGGACAGTACATATAAATTGACATTTCTGTAAATACACCAGAATTAATCAAAGAAGGCCATTTTTCATTTCCATCTTTTATAATAGTCCCATGATGTGGTCCTAAACGTATCATGCACTTTGATTCACACAGACTTGCAGGTTGGGCTGGCGCTATTAGAATATATTAGAGCATATGACAGGCCTTTAAGTTTTTCTTATGATTACCTAGATTGTTGGAAGTTGACAAAAAAGTTCTAAAACATGTAGATGAGATCACACGTGAGCATCATCAAGATTCACAGAGATTCACACCAATTGGCAAATGACACAAATTATGTGAAAACACAGAATCTAGTGTGTGTAATACAGTTTATTTTCTAAAATGTTGTCAGCTCAGAAGTTAAAGACAAATATTTGGGTTGACTGGTGAACTCCAGTGTACACTATTGACAGCTTGGTTGCGGCCTGATTTAATAAATATAATATCACAGTCAAACATTTGGCAATATCTGCGCAACCTTATGCATAATGTTTAAGGCTTTTATGTGTTTGTTAAATTAAAGACATTAACAAAGAAGCTCATTTTGACATGACATTAAATACAGACAGACAAAACAGACATCCAAACAATTACAATCGTGTGTCTTGGTGTGTACCATATATCTAAAAGTTGTAGATAAAATAGGTGGGCAGTACGCTAAATGCTGGCTGCCATTTTAGTAGTGTTTTTACAATAAAATCTTGTGTTTATTCATCACATGATTTAAATAATTTCTTGCTGATGGCTGAGATATGTAGTGTGTCTATTGATTTAGCATCACTGTGTAAAGAATATGCAAAGAAAAAATAAATTGCTCAACAATTCATGAAGTTGGTGTCCATAATACGAATAACATAAAATATAAGTCTGAATGTAACAGATGCAAGATTTTATACCATTAATTTTGGCAAAGGCTTGACCGGTCTCCTGTGAGTGCTGCTGGTAGGTCTGTACAACAGGTGGAAGCGGACTTCAGTGGAAATGTCAGGAGTATCTTCATGTCTTTGGGGGAAATAAATACAAACAGGATTACTTCAAAAGCTTTCTAAAGGGCTATGATACACCTGCTTTTGTGCTGAACCAGACTGTTTTGTTACACCCTTCACTTTGTTATTTGATTCTGCAACGTTTCCAACAAAGTTGATGGCTAAATATCAAGCCTAAACCAATAATTTAGCCAGATGTTACTGCTTGTAATTGTTAAAAGATGCTAAAAAACAACAACAACAATACAGCAGTGTTCAAATTATAAAACTGTAGCTGAGATGTACAAGTAGGGTAAAGATTCACCTTACCTCATTAAATAAATGTAAAGGTCAAAATTAGGTATGGGACGAGAAATGAAACTGGGTCCACAAGAATAAGCCAAGATGTTGACATAAGTTACAAGAAATAAAATTTGTGGTTCAATTCACAATTTTGGCCTCATCAGTTTTTATTTACTTATTTAATATTTTTGAAGTCCTAGTAGCACTGTTTTTTGCAACTACAACTTCTGAAGAAATGTAGCTCACCAACACTTCACCCTTTTTTTGTCCAATCCAAATGTAAATACATCAAAAGAAATCTCACAAGATCACACCATTTCTCATGTGTTTAAAATACTGAGGCAAATATTTGTCTTGTGAGATCTTGCCACATGACATCTTGACCCATCCCTCATTGATATAATTGGAAACAGTTTTATCGCATACATTAAGGTTTCATAATTGGAGTAATTATAGTGATCCACAAAGGAGCATGGAACATTTTAATAATGTTGTTAATTCAATGACTTTTTGTTATAGTAAGGGGCAAAGTAGCAATGGAAAAATAATTACACAAACAATGGTCTCTGACGATGCCTAATGACACATGCTCTGCCATAAGTATCAATCTAAGGAGCTGCAGATCAGGATTAGAGCTCAGAGCTTAAAACAATAATGCTACAATTTGTGACACAGGGCCCAAGAGGACTTTAAACTGACACAATATATCTCCATTTTATGGATACTGTAAACACGTTGCATACATGTGCTGTTATGTGCATGTATAAATTGTATGCATGTTTTTGTATCATTTATGTTTCCTGTTTTACAGAATGTCATAGGGTCAAAGTTATGCATTAGGGTTTATCAAGTTAAGTTGGTTATTAAGTGATTACATTTAATTACATTTTATTGTTGCTTGCATTTTTCTTATTAGGTAGTATTGTCGTAGTGTAGTGTATTGTCAGGTAGATAATCTGTATGCAAAATATTTATCCTGTCATATAAAGCCCATCATGATATCAGTCTGCCCCAGGGCAGCTGTGGCTACAATAATAGTTTACCACCACCAGGTATGGACTGAATCAATAATGCATCACATTGCAGCAACTTTGAACACCTGGAAAAGTGCTACATAAGTCTAATGCATTATCATCATTATTATTGGGATATCACATTTTTTAAATTGTTAACAGTTTTTGAACTACTAATTCTGTGACACACAAGTCCACTCACACAAGTGTAACTGTTTGTCGAGCTCCGGTACCATAAGTGTAATTAATGCGTTCCCCAGAGTACTTTAACTGAGCTGCTTAAGTGCCAGGAGAAGCCAATAGGAAACAACAACAGACCTACTTTAAAACAGGGAGCAGGATTTGGGGGGTCTGAAGGGATTATCACTGGACGGGACCCCCACCAGAAGAGGGTCCTTGGAGGCATTTTGGAGACAGAAGTTCCTTAGATCAGCAGCAGCCTGGGACACCTGTTGCAAGAGACAAAATATGTGCATATGTGAAATCATTAATTCAGTAACTATGGAAACATAGGCTACATCAAAAAAAATGAAAATGTCTGGTCTGCATTAATAATATAAAATATCCATAGGAAGATAGTAGTGTAATTACTTCATGACAATACTATGACCATGATTATAGCCGAATATTTGAAAAATAAATGTTATTACTGTAGAGTTGGTTTAGACTAGAGCCTATATGCATCTGAGCTTAGGAAGTTGTTAACTGTGCTAATTGATAGCTAATTTAAACATGTTTAAATTAGCTATAAGCGTAAATGGGCGCATATACATGAGGATGAACTATGAGGCCACAAAACCGGACTAAACTGGACAAATTATCACATAGGGAAGTAATTTTCCTGTAGAAAAATAAAGTTACACATTTTGCATTTTATTTGCATGTAGCGGCCTCGATCTGTTGTGTTAGGCTACAACCAACAAACACGACAAGAAGATATTAAATGTGAATAAAGTTAAAACAATGAAACCCCTCGCTCAGCCTGTGGAAATAGCCCTAAGTCCGAGACGTCAAAACACGGAAGAAAGTTAACCACTTGTATCTGTGTTTGTTTAGTCCGAAACTTGGGTTAGATAAAACTGTGTAGACTGCTGCTCCAATTAGATAAGTTATGGTAAAAAAAAAAGTAGTCGTGTCACTCATTAAAGTTGGTATTTAACTGTTTGCTCTTTGTCGCTCCGTCTGTTCAGTGGTCGTACCTTGATCCTGCGGATACTGGCCTCGAACCTCAGCTGCTTGACGGCCCTGTGAGCGATGATCAAGTTGTTGCTGGCATTGTTGTTGGACATGGCGACAAATTTCACCAAACAAAACTACAAAAATGTTTAAAACTGTCTGTAATTTCAACCCAAAGAGCCGATGTCACCCCCCAGCTGGTCTTTCTCACCAAACCCTGCTCTAACCACAGTGGAAAAGGTTGGCCTCTTGTTGTCCCGCCTCTCTGAACCCATCTACATTTCCCATTGGCTGCTGAGCTGTCAATCAAACAGCCTGGCTAAAACCTACCCCCTGTACATGCTGTTGTGTTATGAGTTTCCTAGATAGCTGTGTACGAGTCTGACCTTCAGCTGGAGGGCAAAAAATCCCCAATATCAATATTATCAACAAACTTTATTTTTTGTCCCAAAGTTCAAAAAGGTGTCACAGAATAGAACTCTTCTGGTGATGGTGGTGGTACTAGCCCAGTGGCTCTTAACCAGTTCATACCAAGGACCCCATTTGGATTCCAAGTCCCACCAGATCTAACACGGCTATACCAGATCTAAATTATGGCTAAAGATAAGTACATAAGAAGGAGTAGTAGAACATAAGTACATAAGAAGTAGTAGGAGAAGTAGGAGAAAAACATTAATAGATTTGTCTCTGATATTAATAGATATGTCTCTAACATGAATAGATTTGTCTCAATAAATAATGTCTAAATGTCTAAATAAAACAAATATTGAAACTTCACAGTCTTCGTACCACTAGAGGCAGCCCGGACCACATTTTGAGAAACACAGCACTAGACTACATCCTGTCTAACTGTCCTATGTACTCAGCCATGAGGGGAACACAGAAATTACACAGAGCACATATGTGAATATTGGAAAACGTAGTCTTATAATTTATTTATTTTTTAAATTTATGCATGTCAAATATTATATGCACCGGCAATTATTGTTTCAGCTACTCAGAGCCATTGCAGTAACATCACAGATATCTTTGGAGAAGAGTGGAAAACATTCATTTAGTTCCCCCTGAAAATAGACAAATGAATAATTATATAAAGCAAATGTATCTCAGTATTAAGGTAGTGTGTTACTCACATGTGATGGGTCCAATGGTGAGTGGCTGCATTGCTACACTGTCAGAAACTGAGCGACGAGCCCTTCCTGAGCAAAGCTGTTAAAAGAAATTGACATAAAGGGTTCAGGTTAATTGTAATTATACCACTATACAGATTTAAATGCAGACAGTCCAGTTTTAGTGCACAATGTAACTTTTCTGGTGAACGGTCTGCTGTATGCTTGTCACTATGGAGATGTTTTGCATTGAATGTTGGCATTAAACTTATCTATCCACAACACAGTGAAACGCAAAGGATGCCATCAGACCAAGTTACAGTTCAGATCTGTAAAGAGGGGCCCAGCTCACAGACGCAGTTATACCTATATATAAATACTAGACACATAAGCTTAACGCCATATTGTTGAACATCTCTGATATTGGCTAAGCTCAATGACATCTCCATTGAGACAAGCAGGTGATGAACCCTTCCCCTGAAAAGTTACACAGTACACCTTTAAATTAGAATGGGAACTGCAAAACCAATGGCATCATACAGTGTGACAATGTAATAATGTAGTAGTGAAGAGACTTACTGGGACACAGGGTCCGCTGCCGCACATACTGAGGTGGCAGTGGACATAGATCGTTCTGTACTGACCCTCAGGCACAAAGAAGAGGGCAGAGAACCGAGCCTGCAGAGAAGTTCCACTCTCAACCACCAGCACCTGCTGAAGGTTAGAGGAACACCTACAGGAGAAGATTAGGTTATACTTTAGAATAACTGCTCCTTAATTAGCTTGAATAAAGCATCATTCCCAGCTAGTAGTTACTAAGCCTGAATCATTCTTAATAAACTATTTGTTCATTATGAATTAAGGTTCTCTTCGTGTGTTATTAAGACTAATTTAGTTTATTACAACTTGTACTACTACAACGACAGTTACTACCATTCGTCTTTCTGTCAAGCTTTTGACTTCTACCAGCATAACTACTATAACAACTGCCTTAGTGTGCTGGGCTTTTCATATTTTAACATTAACTCCCAAGATAACTGTAATATTATCACTATTATTAAGATTCTTGTTTTTTTGGTGAAAAAACATCCTTAAGAATTGATGGAGATAAAGGAATAAAACCCATACAAAATCAATGTAAATTGCTGGACAAAATTAGCATAGAAGAAGGAAATAAACTAAACCTTTCATTAACTTACTACAGTAATTCTTGATGTATACAGAGTGCCGTGCTGAATAGGACACATTCCTCAACTGTTAAACCTGTTATATACCTATTATAGATATACATACTTGTGGTGTATCAGAGATTGTCTCATTTGGTCATTTGGGTTGGAGGTATATGTTATGTAGCACTCGTCCAGAACAGTCACAAAATTTGGGTCATTCTCCTCCACAGAGACCCCAATGTACAGCGGCTGGCCCACTGGCAGACTCACGCTGCCAGCCTGGTAAGCACTGTGGAAACTTGAGTCTCGGTACAGAGACATTAATGCTTTAGGGGGTCCACCTGTTGCAGTGATGCCACCAGTTGGACTGCAAAGATTAAAAGACACTACATATTAAGTTTAACATTGTCATAAAAATGCTTTGTTTGACATTTGTGAGTTTACCCCAATGGTCTGATGTCAGCATTGAGACTGGTGTCCACATCAAGAGGATACACACATGAGAAGGGGAGACTTGCAGGAACATGGAAGGTGCTATTGTTGTTAGCATAGATGAATAAGCTGTTAGTGTAGATGACATGTGTACTGTTGATCTGAAAAATAATACAATAAATAAATCACACAGCATTGATAAAACTGTTTAAAAGTGTACAGCTAAGTTCTTTTACCCTCCTGGTGTTCCCACAGACTCCTCCACGTGGCTCAACCTCATACCACACAATCTTATTCTCCACTTTAGATCGGACGCAGCTGCGGTCCACCAGGTGACCAGACAATGGGTCCAGACCAGAGAAGGACACAGCTGCCCGGTTCAGAGTAAGTTGGATTTTGTCTTGTCCACAAATAAAGTGGTCAATTTGAATTTCTGTAAAACAAATAGCAAGAGTCAGGTGCTGTTACCACCCTGGGCCAAGTACACCATAACCTTCCTCTCCTGACCTGTCTCTGATGGGGCAATGGTGGTGGCTGATGTGGTAGTGGTGGATGAGGTGGTAGTGGTAGTTGGGGTGGTAGTAGTGGTGGTGGGTGGTGTGGTGGTCGTGGTAGTTGGGGTGGTAGTAGTTGTAGTAGGTGGTGTGGTGGTAGTGGTAGTTGGGGCAGTAGTGGTGGTGAGTGGGGCAGTAGTGGTTGTGGGTGGGGCAGTAGTGGTGGGTGGGGCAGTAGTGGTTGTGGCAACAGTGGTGGTGGTAGGTGGCGTGGTAGTGGTTGTAGTTGGTCTTGAGGGCCCAAATTCTGTTGAAAACCAGAAAAGCGAGAAAACATGAATACTGACATTAAAGTATCTCAAAAAGTTAACATTCAAATGAACATATTACCTGCACAGTAAGCACTGTTACACCCCTTTGGCTGCACAAGTCTGTAAACATAGTATTGATCATAGCAGCGCTTGACATGGATGGAAGGGGATTTGGAGCGGCAGCATTTGGATTGATAATGGATGCAAATGTCACGTCTTTCAATGAAATTAGAATGAGTGGGATGAGGTGTACTTAAAAACATAGGCCTTTCGGTACCACACATGTTTGACTCCACACATCTCTCTGGGATTTGAGCATCAGTGCCGTTCAGAAAGAAGCGATACCAGCCCTGCCATTTGGTATTACCATCACATTTATTTTCTGTGTTTTTGTTATTTGTTGAACGCCATTCCTGATCAAGCACAGTGTAGTGCTGACAGGGATCATCACAGCGGGCCTCCCCATTTTCCATAAAGCAGTCCATGCCATGAGGGCAGATACCGTGATTGCACCAAAACTGGCTTGTTTTTGAATCAGCATTGTTATTTTCTAGACATTCAAATGATCCTCGTGTGTTTCGGCAGAGCTGAGATGGACTGCAGGGAGATGGGCTGAGAGAGCATTCGTCTATATCAACGCAGCCCTGTTCTGAGGACCACCTATAGCCTTCGCTACAGCAAGAGGAGTCCCCTGCACCACAAGCTTTCACATCATAACAGCTGATGCCGTCACCAACAAAACCATCATTACACTGGCAGGAGAATGTGGTGATCGGAGGGTAGGCATCTCCTCTCTCTTCCAACTTCAGGCAGGTGGCATCAGAGTGGCATTCATCGCAGCTGGTCACGAGAACTTCTACAAAAAATTTAAACAACTTAAGTAAACAAAGCCTACATTATTTGTGTTATTTACGTACATATAAAGGTGCACTATGTAACTTTTCTGGTGGAGGGTTTGCCACCCGCTTTCTTCTGTGGAGATGTTATTGCTTTGCCTAGGTTATTTCACAGTATGGCATTAAATGTAGCTATCTCTATGGAGACAAGCAGTGACGCAACCAGGCCAAGTTACAGTTCAGATCTGAGGAAAACACCTGTAGCTGATAAATACAACATAGATAAATATAATGCCGAACATCCCAAGCACACTCCACCTGAAAAAGTGACATCTAAACACCTTTAACTTAATGAAAATTGAGGGCTTGTGGAAATATCTTAGGGAAACAAGTGTACATACATCTCTTTCTTTTTACGTTGGCCCTTAGTTAAATCCATATCTTAAAACTGAGATCTCAGTGAGACCTGGATTCACACACTCAACAGTACTATCAATAATAATCTTTCCATTTACCAGTCAAACTGGCTAAATAACACAGTGTAGTAAAAGACGTGGATGACAGATTATTAAGTATGTCTTATCCTATAAAAATTAAGTCACTGAAACATTTGCATGGCCAAAAAAAAACTAACAGAAATGTTTACCTGAAGCACATCCTGTTCCAATCAGCAAAATTAAAGGCAGAAACAGAAGTCCAAACTTTTCCATTTCTTCTGGAGTGTGACCAGGATGATTTTCCTACAAAACAAGAAAACATTTAAATGAGTTGCACAAATCATGAATTCACAAATAACACAAACATGGTTGTTACTTACACCTCGACCCTTCAAATGAGTGGTGCCTCTCACTGAAAGATCTGTGTATTTATAGGAGGGGACGTTATCAGTGCAGATAGTTAGGAAAACACAAAAACATCACTCATAGGAGTGATTAATATGACACCACTTAAGTTCATTGTTACATAACAAAAACAAACAAAATGGACCATGATGTTCCATTGTGCACAAAGAGCCTTGATGTAAAAAGGTCAGTCTCCAACAACCTTAGGTCAACAGTCTGGCTGCTTAAAGTCCTATACTATGGAAAATTGCCTTTTGTGAGTTTTAAGTCATGTCAGAATGTTGTTACCTCCTCATTATTATGATTTGTGTTCTATATCTCCAAAGCTCAAAATGTCCTGTTCCAACTTGTGATGTCACAAAGTGATAGTTTCCATTTTAACAGTTATGTTTTACCTTTTGTTCAGTAAAGATTGGAAATTCCAGAAATTCCATAATTAACCAAATGAAAAATTAATATAGGAAAATAAAATGAATTTCCTTCAGGATAATAAAGTAAATTATATCTGTTTATCTATGATTCTACTGAAGGTGTATGGAGTTTCACAGTGAGTACTTTATGTATTACCACATGACATTACAAGGTGGAACAGATTTTCTGTCTTAGAGAAGAACTGAGCATAAATAAACAGGGTTTGTGTGTTAAACAGGTGTAAATGAAACAAAACATACCTCTGGGAATGTTTGTGCGGAGGAACATTATAACATGAATCAGAAAAATAAGAGTAATATGTGCCCTTTAATACATCATTAAAACACCCCTTGACCTACAGTATATTTGTACTTTATATAAATGATGATTAGTGAAAGAAATCAGAGATCTAATGCACTATTTAGTACGTTTAATTTGATTGAAAATGATTTCCCCACACATAATTACTATTAAATGCACAGCAGCCTATCAATACTTATTGCAACCTTTCCTCTAAATTTGCAAACGTTTTTCAATTTCACAATCCCACTTTTGAGTTTTATGATGCTTAGGTAAATGGTTGACTAGTTTCTTTTTTGTTCTGTAAAATGTACCCACTTGACAAGAGTGACATTAAGGACTTGTGTTCTGTAATGTACAGATCGGCGTTCCCCAAGTTCAAGTCAATTTATTATTAAGTTATGCAATTGAACACTTTCTCTATAAACATTAATAACAGTCAGTGCTATATATAGAAAATTATATTAAAGGCATTTGAACACATTGAAAAAAAAAAAAAAATCTGTGTATATGTCTTTTGTTTTATGATGGGTGAATAAATGTGAAACTTGAATATAAAAAAATTGCAAATTCAGAAATTGTGATGTCATATTCTTGGGAAACAATATCTGAAAACCAATATTATGTAAAGTCAGGTGAAAGATTTGTTGGAAAAAATATATAAATGTGGTTTATGCCAGTCCCCAGCCTAGTAGGGTGCAATACTCTATTACCCCTGTCACTTTATAACGCCAGTTAGTGTCACTTAAAACACACAATTTAATTAATTAATTTTTATTTTATTTTACCATATTATTATTTGTTTAATGTTGCACCATTACACAGAAGCAAGTGAATTTCACTGTTCACTGACAATGGCAATAAAACTTATTCTGATTATGCTAAAAGGTTCTCAGATGCCCTTCCTGACAAAAACCTCCTCCATTTAAGGAGGTTTGGAACAAAATAACTAACCTTTTTTCTTTTCTTTTCTTTTTTTTTGGTAGATTAGCATGGTTAATAACAATAATTATGTAATGTTTAAAATAAAATTATGTATTAATTGTGTCAAGCAATTTTATGACTCACAAGCACAACATTAATTCAATTTAAAACATTTATTCTGTAATTGTGTTTAAATTTTGTTTTATAATTTTGTTTTAAAATCATAATTTATCAAAAACATTCAACAATTAATTATTAGTGTCATCATAAAAATAGCACAATTCTAAATGTATATGTTTTACAAAGAAACAAAAGCATAATTACAAAACATTTGGTCTCTTCTTAATAAAAATGTGGTTAAAAAGGTAAAAAAAAAAGTTCTCTGTCCTGGTACAAAGTTGGAGGTGGTGTGAGTTTTATCACAGTAAAGTTATATAGATAAAAATGTCCCCATTTACTCTCCTCCGTGTGGCCTTCACCTGTGAAGCTCTGGTCAGTCTGAGTGAAGGTTCTGTGACTCCTGAAGTGCATCTTCGACACTGTCTCTGTATCTTAGGTCCTGGACACCTGCAGCAAGTAGCACCTTCAAAACTGAGGGCTACAACAGAGAAAAATCAGCAATTAGTTTTGATATAATCAGTCAAAATGTACATGTTTACCTTTATCCAAAAGATTATGGGGGCCCAAACATTATGTAATGTCACCAGATAACAGCAGCAATCAGGCATCAACATAATGACCCCTGAGTACTACATTGTGTCCTCTTCCGACCGCTTTAACAGAGCTAGCTATTTCATTTAGAAGATTTATTTAACGTTTATGTTTTGCTTATTTTTTTATTTTTATTTTTGTTTATGTTCTATTTTATATATTAAAAACAATCAGAAAATGGATGAATGAAAACAACTGAACAGACATCCTATAAATCAATAATGTTGTATATTAAAGCTCGCGTCGCTTCTGGCCACTTCTGATTTCAGTTCTCTGCAAAGTGACAGGAAGTTTGCTTTTTACCTCTGTTTACTTTTGAAAACTCAATCCAGAGTATTTTGCAGAATCAGTACACATGCTTTTAACACTTTATATTTTTTATCAAAAATGTTTCGCTGTCTCATCTTACAATTCACTGTTTCATGTTATAATTGTGTGTAAATGTGTGTGTTTGTGAGAGTATTCTGCCTGTGCTGTTTTCTGCTGCTTTTTGGCAGCAAAGTTGAAGTGTTCTCATTTAACTTACCTGGTAAAATATTAAATAAAAATAAATAAAGAAATAAATAAAGACATAAATAAAATATAAAAGAGACGCCATGACAAAGGCAAACCAGCTATGTAACTAGTATCCATGACATTATTTCAGTTCAAAATTGTTCTTTGTAATCAGAAATACATTGTGGATTAAATTAGCTTTATTTATTAATTCATTAATCAAGAGGCAGAGCTCTGTAGAATGCTGCAGATAAGTTGTTCTGTATAATTTATAAAATACGTAATAATATAACTCTAGTATCTGTCCATTATGGGCACTATTACCTCTAATCTGGCAAAGACCAGTTGGACCCCCAGCACTTTGAATTGTCGGAGCAGGTCTGTGAGCTCATTGACCACAGTGTAGTCGATCCCACTGACGTGATGGCAGTCCAGCACCACCGACCGAGGCGGAGAGGCTAAAATTAATTGAGTAATAAGTACATGTAACTGTAACAAACAAACATGGGCAGTGTTGATAAGATAAACTTTAAACACTGCTCATTAACTGACCCTTGAGAGCTAGTCTCTTCTGTCTGTTCATTAACTTGTTGCTGATGACAAAGATTTTTTTTTACATTTTTGGATAGTTACAACATGCTTACAAACTACAGTTTTAAGTGGCAAATAAGAGAGATCATGTGTTACCTTGGAGGGCATTCGTGTATATGAAGTTGCTCAGATACTCCGAAGCAGGAAAACTCAGTCCACTCCTTAGCTCCAGAACTAAAGTGTCATGATCAAACATCTGCAATGCAAACAAAATATTTGTTGTAGTTGTATATGGTGCAAAAACTGAATAAAACAGAAAAACCCATACAGTCTTTTTTCATAGCTATTATATTGATACAAAAAAAAAAAAGAAAACAAAAAATGCAGCTGATGGCCAATAAAATCTGTCACTATTTGGAGGGCTAGGGTTGATATTTAGTATAATACAAAAATAATACAAAATATATAAACGTAATATCCACTACTGTCTATGTCATGTACTGCACTACAAGAAAAGTATAAAAGTATAATAAGAAAAGATCATATCTATAATTATGCTTGCAGCCTGCTACTTCTATAGACCAATTCGATTACAAACCAATAGCATAGCTGAGAATTTTTGCAGTGCCCTCTTCACACATATTTCCTTCATGTGGTCAGCCCAAACAAAATATCAGTCGAGGCTGGAACTTTAAGGTCAAGACATGAACATTCATAAATACCTTTATTTGAGGTCTTGCTGAGTTGTACAACAGCAAGGCTCCAGACACTGCTATACCAGCAATGATGCCGTACTGCACTTCCCAGAAACTTACAAAAAAAGTTACTCCAAAAGGAAGCAGGTCAAGCTCTGCACAGAAAAAACACACAAAGCATCTCTACATTCTGCCATTTGTCAGAGGATGGTACACATGAAGCAGCAGAAGAACATTTTATAGATTTTATTATATTTAGGGAACAATAAATTTTGCAATTGACATGGGACAGTTAGTGATATCTAGACATCAGTGCAATTGATGTAAAATGTCCAAGCATTAAACAAGGGTGAACTAACAACAGGTGATGAATGTTGTTTGCTTGTTCAAACTGAAAGCGTCAAAATACCCATGTATATTTGGTGTGTAACACAGGCAGTAGGAGGGATCATAATGTAAGGATGCATAATAAAATAATGATAAAAGAAACCTACTATAAATCTTCCACATCTTCATCACAATTTTGTAGTCGGCCATAGGAGTCACAGCACAAATAATCACAGCGGCCAGAGAGGCTTTGGGGATGTAGTAAAAGGCAGGCATGAGAAAGGCCAGAGAGAGAAGCACTACTGTACCTGGAAACACAGATTGTATAATGCACATTTTATTTGGTAACTGACAGATTAATGAGTATGTGATTTACCTGAGTCACTATTTGTATTCTTTGTAGTCCGAAATCTTTGAACACATCTCTATAATTATATTTTTGTTGCTAAAATGACTGATTAATGGAGTATGTAACTGTTATGTTAGCGATAACACAGACTATGACTAGAAACCCTAGGATCCATGGGTTTCAGAATCATGAAAAATTACAACCATCACCATAGCAACTAAGAATTTAAAACAATGAATATGTTTTGAATTGTAAAAAGTCCAAACTGCATTAAAGAAAAATTCACATTTTTTTCTCTTTAATCACATTTCATAAATAAAGAGCCAGAAGCTCAGTAGATGCAAAAAAAAAGTTTCGTTTTTTTTTAAGTCTAATATCAAATATACTATGGATTTCAGAATGATGAAAAATTAAGACGGTTACATTTTAAACGAAATACTGGAAAGTCCTCAAAATGTGAATCTGAAAACCATAAATATCCCCCACTGCGAGGTTAAAAAGTTGGGTTTGTTCAGGTAAATTCACAAGGGGGTGTAAGGGAGCTATAGTATTAAGCTGTGTAATAGCACTTACTGGTGATGATGCCCCCTGCTGGTGTGCACACTCCTGTTTGAGAGTTCACAGCGGTCCTAAACAAGTGGATCATAATGAGACATAACTGACCACCTTCATAAACAACATATTGTACAAGGGTATACCTGCCGAAGCTGCCAGTGACCGGGTAGGCAGACACAAAGGAGCCCATGATGTTCGTTAAACCGATGGCCAATAGTTCCTGGTTTGCTACTATTCTGTAACCATTTTTACTGCCTGAAAGAGAGTTCTTATTAGATATTCATATATCAATTAAGTATGACCTCAAAAATATTGATTTCCAACCACATATGGACTAAAACCAGGACTAACCAGGACTCTGAAACAGAACTGAAGCTGGGCTAAACTTTACCACTCGATATTAAATATATTTTCTTCTATTCCAAGGTACCTCTGAGTCTAGTTCTACTGCTTTAAACTTGTGTGACCAACTCTAAAAACCATAAATTAAACCATATTACCTGAAAACAACTCACCAAATGCTTTTGCAATTGCAATGCTCTCTAGCAAACCCATGAATGGAATGACAGCAAGCCCTCCTCCAAAGTCCTAGACAAAACATACAAATTAAATAACACAAGGAAAAAATATACTACAAACTACAAAATCAAGACAAAAACAGGTATGTACCTGTACCATCTCTCCAAAAGTGACGTTGGTGCCATTGGCGGTGGTGTCAGATGTAGGAGGGGGTCTGAAGGGGGGCAGTCCCTGAGCAGTTTTTCCAGTGATTGTAAAAACATCATAACCGTAAGCCTCCCAGGAAAAAGACACGACTGATGCACCTACTACAACCAGCGCATTACGCACTGAGAGATAAAGGAAGAACATAAAAAAAATGTAAAGATTTGTAAATATGTTTGCTAGTAGTAATAAAACACCAAATGCTGTGATAAGTATGATAGTGTAATTGAGTGGGGTTTTTATGTGTTTATGTTTTTGCATGGTGATTTTGTGTCTGTACAGGTTTCAAGTAAGTACCATTACTATTTTTTCATGTAAGCTATAGTCAGTGATGGGAAACTGTATACTGAAATACATTTGTTAATTTTAATTAATTTTTTTTAAAATGTAAGAACTGCACACACACACACACACAGACACACACACACACACACAGACACACACACACACACACACACAGACACACGTTTTCTTTTCTTCTTATGTGCAGTTTGAAGTCTAAATGAATGATCAAGGACAGCTATTCCTTTGATTTTAGGAAAGTAACAGTTAGACTATGTATTTTGAGTACATATATTTAATTACTTCTCAACATTAGCTATTGTAAAGTATCAGTTATGCTTCTCTACTAACTGGTAGCAATAGTCCAAATGACTTTTCTGGCTGCTCTGCTGATCGTGGGAGCAGCGTCCTCTGGCAGAGTCCTCTTCATAAACGTGAGAGTGATCAGAAAAGTGAGGCACACCAGACCCAGGATCACATCACCAACTCTGGCTTCTGGGAGTTTGGCAAAAGTGTAATAAACTTCCAGGACAAACTGAGAGGGCACACCACGAAGTCCCAAAATATTCTGTAAAAGGAAGTGCAGTCAGTTGTTTCTCACTTATATTTTTATAATGTGAACATCTTAGTTTTATTAACGTACAACATTATGTGTTCAAGCCATCTGCTGAAAAACTAGGGCTGGGTATCAGTTCTAGTTTTTGCAGCTAAAATCTAAAAAGTATCTATAGCAACTTAAGTAGTAGTACTTTCTGAAGTGGTGCCACAAAAATGTACATTGTATATAATGTCTTGTCTTACCGTAATGAAGAAATAAGTTATTATAATAAGTGATTTATGTGAGTGGGTTGGAAGGCTAAGGGCTCTCACCTTGACTTGGCCAAAGCCAATTGTAATTGCTGCTGCACATGTGAATCCTTTTATGACTGGATATGAAATGAAATCTAGGAGGAAGCCTAAATTAAGAAAAGACATATTGAATAGTCTGGCATGACAAAATGTAATTACATTACACAATAATTCAGTTGAAAAAAGGGAAATGTATACACTAGATATTTATTTTAATCATTGTTCACAGCCACATTACATTGACATAATATTTATAATGTTTGAAATATGCACAATATAATTTTAATGACAGCTGTGTTAACATACATAAATACATCTGTAAAACAAAACAATAAAATAAATAGTTAAATGTTCTTTTAAGTTTCTCACATGCAGTGAAGTGTTAAAAACCTGTGTCACCAGGTCTCTGTTTGACCCTGGTCCTAATCTAAAATCCTCACCTAATCTGAGTAGGGCCATGGCCGCCTGGATGAGCCCACACAGCAGACTGAGCAGCACGGCGCTATGGGGCTCCCCTCCCACCACAGAGAAACACAGGAGGGACATGATGGCTGTTGGACCCAGCGTCACGTCTTTAGACGTCCCCAGTAACATGTAAATGAAGCCCCCCATGAAGGCAGAGTATAGGCCAAACTGTGAACACAAAAGAATTTATATGTTTGTAGAAATCTGGTACTTGAGTTCACTTCTAGAGTGCATTCACACTTGTACTTGTTTGGTCCTGGTTTAAGATCAGTTTATTTCTTATATAGACTTGGTTTGGTTGAGTCCTGGTTTAGCCTGGTCTTGACTAGTTTAGTTTTTTTTTTTTTTAAGTTTAAGGTTTTTAAATGTGGAACTTAATTTGCATATTCTGGTGTTTTAACATTTTTACATGTTTAAATTTTTGATGGCTTGATGTAATTTTAAAAGAAATTTTGGACAATTGGTAAAGGTTTATTCTGTCTTCAGTTATAAATTTAGAATTAAAAGACTTGCTAATTCTAAGTAACTTTTGAGTAAAATAGTCCCACTGAGTCTTATCAGGTCAAAATGGTAACAATAGATATATGTCAAGTAGTGAGACTAATGCAATTAAATAGAGACACAGGATTAGTTTTCTCCAGAGGATAATACAAGACTAAAATAATTCAAATTACAGTTTTAGCCTTAATGTGCTACTAATTCTAATTCAACTGTTATAGTCTTTTCAGCTCTACTACTTACACTGCACTAATACTAAATAAGGGGTTTATGTTTTGTCACCATACTATAATTAGACATTCATTACAATACTCCTGACCTGCACTGGGAGTCCTGCTATATCCGCGTAGGCTAGAGCCTGTGGAACAGTGGTCAGTCCCACAGTCAGTCCCGCTAACACGTCCATCTGCAGCCATTTGAGGTTGTATTTTGGGAGCCAGGTCAGGATGGGCAGCCATGGCTTCACTGTGTTAAAGGAGCAGCATCGCGGGGCAGAGGCTGTACTCAGCAAACGCTCATCCATTGTTCTGGCTCTGTGGAGATAATACTCTATAATGGTTTTACTTAAACAAACAGGGAGATACAGGGAGATGGGACGAGACACAAAATAGGGTCCACAAGAGCAAGACAAATTTTGACATAATTTATAATGACAAAATTGTGTGGTCAGTTCACAATTTTGGATTCAAGATTTTGGCTTTATTTTAATTACTGATATTTAATGTCATTGTAGCCCTGTTTCTTGGAATTACAACTTCGTCAGCAAACAGCCCTTTTTTGTCCTTACCAAATTCAGCTTATGGGATCTTGTGGTATGAGATCTTGTCCTGTCCCAAACAGTTATACACTTTACAGACATGACAGATACAGTAGATACTCACCAATGAACTCAAATGTCCTCCTTATAACTTCCACACTAGCGCATTTTCCACAAAGGATTATTAATGTTTTCCAGCAGCATGTCACATTGATAATTTCTCAAAGTGTGGTAGATCCAAAAGTGCTAGGCGATCCATGTTGCGTGACCTTGGTTATTGGTCAAATTTCTGATGAAGAGACACAAAGTCACGAGACGATCCAAACCTACTTTTCTGGTTTGACATGTATGTTCATGTAATGACTGGAAAACATGTCGCTGCCCCTGATAATAACGCGCTATTACTGTGTAGGATGATCTTGCAACACATAAAATAACAACAAAACCATGCACATTCTTGTAATAAAACATAAGTAATAAAAATAAATAAATAAATCAATAAAATAAAATATGCCTAGAGTAAAAAACACATTAGTGTAGAATATTTCTAACCCTGCTTAAATAAGCACAATACCTGACACACAATTGTTTGGCTGGAAGACAAACAATACATATAAAAGATTGTACAATCATCAAACATGTAACTTCAAACTAAAGAGATAGAGTCGTATTTTCAAATTAAACGTAGACCTTATATTACCGTGCACAGTGTCCTCAGTGTCTGCATTATTCACACATTTGGCTTTGATTTTCCGATTCTTTTTGCAACTTCCTCTGACATAAACCACAGTCTGTGCTGTAGCCAGCTGCTTATGGCAGATCACGTGACTGCGGTCATATGACTAAAGTGGGTGGGACTAGCAATGTTTAAGGAAATAGAACTAAAGTCAAGTTTGTTTGGGCTGTTTTATTGCAATTTTATATAGATGGATACCACACAGTTATTAACAGGAGCAGGAGAACCTAGTGCTATTTTGGCGAATTAATGCGTTAAAAGTGAATCGTTGGTAACTTCACCCGCTTTCAGAACATGCGTCTCCATTCACTGCTTTTCCTCTCTGTGATTTTATGTTGCGCAGCGCAAACCAAGAGGAGGAATGTGCTGCTTATAATCGGTGAGTAATTTGAGTAAGTTAGATTTGCGCAATAATCAAGTAAAGCCATGTGTTACGGTGCTAGTGGATTTACAGAGTTCAAATTATGTCCACAACACATGGCAATTGTGTTATTAAGTTCTCCTTACCACTCTGAGATTTTTATTTAGGCCTACGTTTAACCTTATGTCTGACTATTTGTTGCTTGGCCTTTGAATTTCTTCATAACCTGGTACAAATGCTGTCATAGAGCTTTATTGTAAATGATAAGCTCTTTTTTTTTTTTAGGAATGTATGTTGTATTATTATCTAATAAGTGATGTGTGACATTATTACCTTATCAGTTATTATACAGATTAATCATAATAAGTCTATTCCTTCTCTACAGATGAACTGTAAATAGGCTAATAACTTTTTAAAGCATGATTTGAGTTATGACACAAATAATACTGATTATGCTTTTTGCCAAGCAGTCCTTAGTAAAAACTTGCCTTGCATTTCATCATACATGCATGCACTACATTTTTACTAAGAGTGCATTCATGTTTTTATTAAAGGTGCCCTGTGTAACTATTGTGGTAGAGGGTCCGCCACCTGCTTTACTCCATGTTACCAAGTTATCAGACCAAGTTACAGGCAAGATCTGTGGATAAGTGGACCCTCTTACAGAAAAAAAATGCACATTTTTGCAGTCATTTGGGGGATTTGTCTGACTTGTAATTGAGTAAATACAAGATATATTTGTTTAAAGTATAGTATAATATAAACCAATAGGTATAAAAATTAACATGTACAGGGTCAGTGTGTGTGTGTGTGTGTGTGTGTGTATGAACATTAACATATATTTGGATTGTGTTCTGTATTGTGTAAGTATACACTATAACATTTAGGATATTTTCTTTCCTCCTCTCATAAAAGAGGATTTTTTGTTTTTTGTTTTCTGTAAATAGTTCTGCCATCTTGTATCCTATTCTATATGCTAATAGGGTTTGGCAAAACAAGTTTTAAACGTCAGCCTAAACCCCTTCGGTCTACAGAATAAATTTATTTACATGCACTAACTGCATAATATGTTTTGTGTTTTTTTGTTTTTTAAATCATTGTTATATGATGCATGATTATGTTAATTGACCGAAGAAAATAAACTACTACTGCTACTACTACTACTACAACAAACCCTTCACCAGAAAAGTTACACAGTGTACCTTTAAAAATTCAAAATATGAGTTAAAACACTATTCAAAATGACCAGTGAGTCTGTGAAAATCTGCTAAGAGTGACATTATTTTGTTGTCTTTTGTAGCTGACGATGCCGGTTTTGAGACGGAGGTGTACAATAACTCAGTGGTGCACACCCCAAACCTGCTCTCTTTGGCCAAACGCAGCCTGGTCTTCAACAATGCTTTCACCTCTGTCAGCAGCTGCTCTCCCAGCCGCTCCTCCATCCTCACGGGGCTCCCACAGGTAACTCTCCCTGACAACGGAGCATTTTAGATATAGACTGTACCCAGGGGGAGTGGGGGAGGCAACGGGGTCTGTTGTCCCAGGTCTTCATCCACGTACCTTCAACTTTATTAATTTATATTAGAGGGGGGCCTGGGTAAGGTTTCTTGCCCCGGCCCCCCAAATTTTTGTTGATGGTTTGATGATAATTAAAAATGGAATATAAACAAGCTTGCTTTCCTTACAACTTTATATTGCCCATTTATCTGATAATTTTTTATTAAATCTTTCATTGAGGCATATGCCAAAGTTGGCTAAATGGATAAATTATGTATATTTACATTGCTCCAAAAACATAGCATTTTTTTTCCATTTCAAGTAGATTATAGTCCATAATAATATACAAAATAGACAAATATCAGTTGCATGAGAGGACTATTTTTAAAATCTCGTTTTTGGGAGTATTTTGTGGACAGATCAACACCCCAAAATGTTGCTCTGATATTCACAATATATTGGTTATAACTTCAAACAATTTAAATTATTTTACTATAACGGTTCTTTAGCACCAGAATGTACGGCTCAAATACCATGACGATTTCTACAACTGTTAATTATTATGGTCCATGATTACTTACGGAATAGACAAAGATGAACATCAATTGTATAAGTCAATCCCCTATTTTTTAAATAAAAAAGGTGATAAAATCTGACTTTTTGAGGTATTATGTAAACAGATCAACACAATATGCATGCTGCTTTGTTTTATATTGTATTTATGTATCTAAAAACAATGTATTTTTTAGCACCAGAATGGCATGTACGGCCTACATCAGGGAGTCCATCATTTCAACTCATTTGATGAAGTGCAAAGTCTGCCTCTGCTGCTCAGTAAAGCCAGTATACATACAGGTAAAGGTTTTATTTCAGCCTCAGTGAAATAAATGAAGTGCTAACTGGTTGTCAAATGTGTTCAGGTATAATAGGTAAAAAGCACGTTGGACCAGGGTCTGTCTACCCCTTTGATTTTGCCTACACAGAAGAGAACAACTCTGTGCTTCAAGTTGGGAGGAACATCACTCGAATCAAACTCTTGGTGCGAAAGTTTTTCCAGACACATAAAGAGGAAGAACGAAAGAGGAACAATGAAACAAGTGGCCAAGATCCAAACAGGCCTTTCTTTCTCTATGTGGCATTTCATGACACACACAGATGTGGACACTCACAGCCGCAGTATGGGCCGTTCTGTGAGAAATTTGGAAATGGAGAGAAGGGAATGGGCAGGATCCCTGATTGGACACCACAATACTACACACCAGATCAAGTCAAGGCAAGTACTGTACAGACCAGGTGGGACATTTTGACCACCTGTGTACAACATTATGGAACTGGCTTTGCCTTCTTCACCAATTTGAAATAGATAAATATATTCATGAGAATCAGCTTAGGACTTTTTCCCATTCATAAGATATAATATTTAGTTGTTAATTATTGATTGCTTTGGCAATAGTAAGTTTCATATTTCTGAAACCCATGGATAGAGTCATAGATAGATACATAAATACATAGATAATGTCATTCTGACTTTATTTAAATTTGAATTTGCATGTAAAGGCTTGTAAAGGCCATACTTTTAGGTAATTTAATGTACTGTGCAGAACACAAGTCTTCCTATAGGGTCTTGTTATATGAATAAAACCTGGTATATTTACCTTTGCTCTGCAAATGTTCTGAAACATTGACGTAAATGGTGTGATTCTTATATTTCAAAAAAATACCAAATGTATCCCAGTTTATTAAAAATTTCAGTATTTCTCAAACAAATTAGATGCTTTACCTTTCAACCTTTTGAAAGATTTTAAAGTTTTTTTTTACTGTCCAATATATTTTATATGTATTCATATATTTCACCTACCATGAAAAATAGTATTTTTCTTTTACTTATATTATGGTTGGTTCAATCATAATCCTGTCAACTGAAATAGCCTTGTTTTGCTGTGTAGCATTCTTCATGCGTTTCTTCTTCACAGGTTCCTCCTTTTGTTCCTGACACTCCGGCTGCTAGAGCAGATTTAGCAGCTCAGTACACCACAGTGAGCCGCCTTGACCAGGGTAAAGCAATAATGTTCTTTCTCATCACTTATTTATGTGACAGGGCAAGCAACTGTTATAATATTAACTCATTATGTATTATTTTAATATGTTGAATTAAACATCAGCTATATATGTGCAACTATCTTGCTCAAGATCTTAGTATATATACTTAATGGGCTGTCTGTCTGTTTTGTTTTCCAAGTATTTTTATTTAATAGTTAATCCATTAAGTTTGCATTTAAATACATGAATTTCAATGTTACATTTTTCAATTTCCCATCATTCCCATCTGTAGGCATTGGTCTGGTCCTCCAGGAACTCGAAGAAGCTGGTTATGACAATGACACTCTGATAATCTACAGTTCAGATAATGGTATCCCGTTCCCAAATGGAAGGACTAACCTGTACTGGTCGGGGACAGCAGAGCCCATGCTGGTGTCGTCTCCAGAGCACAGAGAGCGATGGGGGCAGACGAGCGCAGCCTACGTGAGCCTGCTGGGTAAGAGGCTCCAGGTGAAGAAGTGAAAGATAAACTGTAGTTTTTCTGTTATTGTCAGGCAGAAGCCCATAGTCATGCCACAGGTTTTAAACAGTAACAAGATTCTTTCTTTCTAAAAAGACTGTAAATAAAAATAATATATATAAAACAATGTTAACTAATAAAACATACATCCATAAAGGGTGGTGTTAAATATTAATATGTAACTGAATTGCTTTCATAAAATGGTAAATTGCTAAATTTTTTGTTTACAACTTTCAATTGCTAAGCCTATTTCCTTATTTGTGTGTGCATCAAGTTTGTAATTCTGGTATGGCAAAAACTACTTTCAAATTAATATCTCCTCTATTTTTACTCTGCAGATATCACTCCCACTGTTTTGGACTGGTTTTCTATTCCGTACCCGTCCTACAGCCTGCCCAGTAGCTCCTCTGCTCCAGTCCAGCTCACAGGACGCTCTCTGCTCCCTGCTCTGGTCACAGAGCCCAGCACCTGGGACACAGTGTTCACCAGTCAATCCCTCCATGAAGTATGTGATTATACATAAATCATGATACAAAAAATTAATTACTTTCTTACTAACTACTCTAATTAATTACTTTCAATGCCATTGCATTCAATCATGTTTTTTTTGTTTTTGTTTTTCTTTCAGGTGACTATGTTCTATCCGATGCGCTCTGTCCACCAGGGGGCATACCACCTTCTTCACAACCTTCACTATCGCATGCCTTTCCCTATTGACCAAGACTTCTACGTGTCCCCCACCTTCCAGGACATCCTAAACCGGACACAGGCTGGACTGTCAACACACTGGTTCAAAACTCTGCAGCAGTATTACTACAGGGAACGCTGGGAGCTGTACCACATCAGGTCTGTCCCACTGTCTCCAACTGGGGTCTTATACAGGCAGAATGGCTCAAATTAACAATTTTAAGGTCTTGGCAGTGCCTGATTGATACTTGTTTGAACATTGGAGTATTTGTTCCTTGCCATTTGTTCCATGTGTCATTTTATCCCCTATAACTATCCCCCTGCTCTGTCTAATACAGGCTGAAAAAACAAAGTTAAGGTTAGTTTGATGTTGTTTACAGGACTGACCCTCTGGAGATAAGAAACCTGGCGTCTAATGTGGCATACAGGCCTGTGCTGGACAGCCTGAGGCAGAGGCTGGTGAAGTGGCAGTGGGCCACGGGGGACCCCTGGGTCTGTGGACCGGACCATGTCCTGGAGGAGAAGCTTGAGCCACACTGCAGGCCACTCCACAATGGGCTCTAATGGACTGTTATGGAGCCATAATAGTCTGGCTTACATTTTTATGACACAAATTAAGTTTCACATTTATATTTTTTACCTAAGTACTTTCTTTGTTGTCTGAATAAACAAATTTCTGGATGGGATCTTTTAAATCAATTTTAAACATTTTAGTATATTCCAGGCCCCCAGTAATATATTTTCACAGAAAAACATTGTTACAAAAACGCTATGAGTGTGTTTTTGGATCTAATTGTTCTTAAGAAGTAGTGCATGTTCTGATTGAACAGTTCATGACGTGTGACCAGAGGGGTCAGTAAATCAATCAGGGATTAACCTTGTATTGATAAAGACTGTATTTGCACGGCGAGTCTTTGAAGTGAGATTCGGCAAAAGTCATTCATGTAGAACTGTGTTAAAATTTGTCTCAGTTTGGATTAATTGATTAATCATTGATCTCTATTGATCAGCTTGTCTTTACATCTTACATCTTTACCAACTAAATCTTTGGATGAAGCTGCTTTGTTGTACATTTTAAGACATTTTAACTTTTTGGGCAAATTAATTATTTATTTGGTTATAACGAAAGACAGGCTTAATCTTATTGATTCGTTTAACTTTCATTTAACACCATCAATGTTAAAGACAGAGGTGAATGTCATTTACTGCAGAAGATAATCAAAAGTCAGATTGTAATTTCATTACCCCTATATCCATACTAAGAGTCACTGGTCCCAGAGGGAGGGCTTGCTACACTCCTCGTCCTTTTATATCCTTTTAAGAAATTAAAAAAATCACCAATCAACCATTATTCCAAAGAGTTGCAAGTGTAAAGAGAGTGCATGAGATTATGACGCAAACAGAGGGTGTGGGGAAATAAGATGATGATAATTTCATTGGACATAAAAAATTGATGAATCTGTAAACAACTAATAAATTAAATGGCTAATATGAGCGTTGATTATCGCTGTTAGATAAATACCAACAGTTTATTATAATTTTTAAAATACAGTATTATGACCATACACTGTGACCATGTTTCATGTACCATGCTTAAATTTTTCCCGGGTCGCCTTAATCTATTTCACATTATCTCATTGCGCGTCAGAGATGCTTTGACGTTTCTATATGTCTGTCTCCATCCCTCCCTCTCGCGCGCACTGACACGAGCGCTTTCCCCCACCACACAGATCAATTTAGATTGGTCCTTTTCCCCCTCGCCGATCATCATCCGCCCACCCGACTTTTGATTTGACGAACGTCCGGGGTCACAGTGGCGTGCGTGGCGCTCAACAGCCTATATAAACCACACAAAGTTTTCTCAAGCCTCCAGCAAACGGGCAAAGTGCGCCAGAGAGCGGAGAAAAGGGCAACAGTGCGTATTCGCCTTCGTGAAAAGTGACCTAACAGAGCAATGGAGCGATCCGTGCGACTCGCCGTGGTGTGCGTCAGCGTCTCTTTACTCATCTCTGTCCATCCCGTAGAAGCGTGGTACAAGCAGTCTACCGGGCCCAGCTACTACTCGGTGGGGCGCGCCTCGGGGCTCCTGTCCGGCATCAGGAGGTCACCGTATGTCCGGAGGGCCGAGTCAGAGGAGGTCGTAGAGGGCGACGAGACGGTGGGAAACAACATGATCCCGGACACCAACCGGCAGATCTCCATCCTCAAAAGCATGGTGAGTCAAAATTAAATCTATGCAGAGTTCAACATAGTACATAACTGGTCAAGTACTAACTGGTCTGGTTAGTCATTTGTGTTAATCAGAAATATGCATATGTGAACATGCGCTACAGGTTGGCACGCGTAATGCTTTTACGCGTGCGTAAAACACTCCTGAAAGTATGATTGTAGTTGTGATTTATTCTTAAAAAATAGAAAAGGTGTAATTTCTTCGTTTTGAAAAGAAGAGGCGCAATGGCACCAAATAAAGGTTAAATTTTCTTTCATTTAACCTTTTACCTCGGCTCAAAAATGAAGTGCGAACCACTGATATCGCGCGGTTTTGTAGACTATACAGTAGTTTGGAACATTTACGGATATCACAAATGTATATACGAGTTTATTTTAAATCTTTCTTCTCTGACAGGCCATTTGCGTAAAAGACATTTCCCCGAACCTGAAAAGCTGTGAGCTGCTGCGGGACGGCACGGGCACGTTCCAGTGCAAAGCGGACGTGTTCCTGACCCTGGACTCTCTGGACTGCCTGTCCGCCTGAGTCCGCAAGACCCGGCCCTGATCCGGGAAAAGGCGCTCAAACGGAGGAAACGGATCATTCACTGATGGACCAGAGCAGACTCTGAATGTCTCATTTAAAACATTAAGTCCCGTTTGGTTTGGTTGTTGAAACTGAGTAAACGTATTAGAAAAGACAAAAAAGCTTTTGAGTTGAGCTTTGTGTCTCAGAAGACTTTATTTTGTTTGTCTGACATGTACTTGTTCTGTCACTGTCAATTAAATGTCCAAAAGGTTTACTGCAGAGCAGTTTATGTTTATTTATTTTATTTATTAAAACGAACAAACACTCAAATCTTGTCCTTTGTTTATTTATGAGAATTGTCTGAAAAGTGACATAATATTGAATTAACACTACACTAATATGTCCCTTCTCATATTTTCATATTAGTTTATTTATCACTCAGAAATGTGGCATGTTTATTGTAAACAAAATCAGAGGGTCTTAACTCCAAAAAGGCTGGTTCCTCATTTGCATCTTGGATCTTCTAAAGTCCCATTATGAAGCCTTCACATCTTCAACCACAGCAACTGTCCCTCCCACATTTGGAGGGTGTTTGCGGGTGAAGTGAGAGTAAACATGAGCGTGGTGCTTTTATGGCGATGATCGGTTCATTAGGAGGAGGTGACGCAGGAGCTCAGGGTGACACAGTGACAGATGAGAGGAAAACGCTGCGGCGTCGTATGCATGACCGGGCGCCACACGGAGAAGTGGGACACACCGTAAATCCGGACTTCCTCTGAGTGCTGCCCACACATAGCGGGGAGGACAAGGACGAACATATGCCCTGAATAATAATGTGCACATTGAGTCACAGGTTTACAGGTCATTAAAATGTGATTTTAAAAAAGTATAAAATTATTCTTGCAGTTCAACTCCAAAAGTGAGATGCAATAATTCTTTGGAGAGAATGAAATTATTAATACACATTTGTAGAGCCAGTGTTACTGTAGGACACTATTTTAAAAAAGAAATCATTGCTCAATCTAAATATGGTCATGCAGTCTCATACAAGTCCATGCTGTACAATATATGGCTAAATGCCCTGTCCAGTTTTCATCAGCCACATTGTAAAGTATGCCATTGTGTGCCAGTTCTTGTTTCTTGGTCAATTTTAGAAGCTAATTAATATAAGAAACAACTACTAAAATCACACATTTTATAGTCATTTTCATGAATCCATGTGTAGTTTAGTTGTGGTTTTCATTGTTTTTCTCATGTCTTTAAAGTTCAAGCAGCATAATCAGTACAGGACTGGCGGATGTCGCACTTAGAAAGTTTTTGGCTGTCCTTTTGTCACCAGAGTTATAACAGGGATACTGCTTCCAGGTTTTCCTTGATGATGGTGTCCATGACAACCTGAAACACCACCTGTATGTTGGAGGTGTCTGTTGCCGTGGTGAAGTGATGGTAAATGAGTTTGTTTGGAGTTTTATTGAGAGAGACAAAAGTGGCAGCGATGAACCGGGCGGCTGCATCCACGTCACAATCTGCACCTGTAAGATGGTGATAGATGATACATGGTTCAAGTTTTAGCTTTAACGTGGTCAGAAATGGCAAAGAAATAAAATAACATGGCAAAGATGGCCTTGAGTTTCTTATCGTTTAATTTTGTAACTCTTTGCATTATGAATTTAGTGTTCATTTGTCATACATGGTGTCAGTCCTGAGGTGGACCCACTATGCACATCACCTCTGTGGTCTAACATCAGCAGCAGATAAAGTTAGGGAGAGGCTGGAGCAAACTTACACAGACACAGGGAGAACATGAAAACTCCATCATAATAGACCCCCTCGGGAATTAGGTATACTTTATTAATCCCACAAGAGTGCATTTGGCTCATCCTTCAACCAGTGTCACTGGGGCAAAATGTCAGGAGCAGGTGCTGCTTCAGTACAGCACTCGGGGACCTATCTCCAGATCTTAAGCTCTGCTTGGTCAGGACTACCTCAGCTGGAGGATTTTACATGATGCATGTTTTGGGTTAATGGGGGAAACCAGAGTGCCTGGAGCAAACTCACCCACACACTTGGAAAAACAGGAGAAACTCCATACAGAAAGGCTTGGGGTGAACCCAAAACCTTGTCGCTGTGAAGCATGAGTGGTAGCCACTCTGTGCCATCCATAAGGATATTAAAAATAAATAGTTTTAACTGAATTTCCATCACAATCACATTACAACATAACAAAAATACTAATAAGGCTTTTGCAGTTGATTTGTTATGTTACTCCTCACAATAATCTAAACAACAAACACAATTTGATATCTAGGCATTCATTATTCTAATACATGTTGTTTGGATCACTGCTATATTATACATCATATTTTACCTCAATGTGAAATGGACAGCCTAGGAACTGACTCCTGTCCCAAGAGTTTTTCGGAATAATGACATTTGCATGGGGCAGAAGGGGGCTAGTACAGAGGGGGGCTAAAATGCTGCGTACAGGGATTCACTGCCACATGTGTCCAAAAGCGTTGAGTGTTTTATTAGATGTCTGTGAGAGACAAACCTTTGAATTGCGGTAGATACAGGCGCAGGTGTCGACCCGAGTGTAAAATCTTGTCTTGAAACAGGTCTATTTTGTTCATGAATAAAATCTGCAATAAAAGGAGAAAAGGTGTTTAAGTCAAGTGTGCAAATAAAACATTCATCAAAACAAACAGACCCAATGCAGTGCTGCAATAAGTAACTATACAATGAAACCAATAAATCAGATTTCAAATGATACACAGTAGAATTATTCCTTTGTTGTGACTAGAGGTGAGTATTGCAGATCAATTGCCAAAATACGTCTAATTTATCATCTGTAGTCCCTAAGCAATTCTATACCACTGTTTATTGTATGTGTGACTTTTCTTATTAAAAATGCATACGTTGGGACTGAAACAAGTTAATTGATTAGTTGCAACTAATTTATTGTAGAAATAATTATCAACTAATTTTGAAATCAACTTATCATTTGGTATACACAGACTCCAAAACATGCCATGTACAGTACTGAGAGAAAAGGTTTATGACTCAGAGCAAGCAGAATAATTACAATAAATAAATAAATAAATAAATCAATCACCAATCTAGATAAATTTCATCAAACTATATAAAACAATCTTATATCTTTAATCTTTCACACCAACACCTACCTGGAGTACACATTATATTAGTAAAGTTACTTTGTAGTGAACCCATTAAAAGTGTCATTAACTCTTTCCTCTATAAATAGGCCTGCAGTAATAAGATGTGAGGAGGGAGAGTTTGGGTTGGAGACAGGTGTGTAATGATCTTTGGACAGTCAATGCTCAGAGCTAATTGAGGTGAAGGTTACAAATTCACTCCCACATAAATGAAACACTTTTGTCTAATGAGGCAGTTAGCCATGTTAGAGCTGGGTCCCCTCATAAACTGAAACATAAACGTGCAAACATAGTACTAGTCACTGGGAGATCCAGTTGCAGCTTTCAGTGGCAAAAAGCCATTCCACTCAGTCGTGAATTACAAAATATAATTACAAAAATATACATACACATAAAAGTATGCTCTTCATTTTCATTGCGCTAAATGTTTTGAAATTTTTTGAAAAACATGCATTCTTACTGTGAGCGGGCTTCCATCTCCACAAACCTGACTCTTATATGACCTGGAGGAAGGCCTCCACCAACTTGGTTCCTTAGGTTATAATCCTCCACAGTCTGGCATAAAGTACGGTTTTTATTTTCTATTTCCATAGAACCATGCAGGTATCGTGCCTCCAGAAAGTTACATAACGTAGCATTAAACCACCATTCAGCTCGTCTGCCAGTTACTTAACATATTTAAAGATTTGTATTGCATTTCAGAAATCCCACAATACCAAGGTGAACAAACTCAAAATGAATCTCATGCTATTGTGTTTGTTTATTAAACCTCGTACATTCACCACTGTCCCTGCAGGGCTCCTGTAGTTGCTCAGAGACTGTACAAAAAAGAGGTGTGACAATCAAAATGGCACACTGAAATTTCACCAGATAATTTCCAAAAGCATCTCAAGGAACATTATATAATAAACTCTAAAAATGCACTGTATAAATTTTGTGCATGTTTTATTAATCTAAGATCTGCCACTCTCTGTTTGACTCATTGCTGTAATGTTTACACAGCCGCTGTGCTATAGGCATCTAATTTTAAACGGTGAAAACATAAAGAAAAAAAGCTGTGTCACCCTAACAGACACTGACATCTGCTCCATTACACACTCAATGCTGCTTTGACTCAGAGTTAAGTGCTAGAGATAAAGCAAGCTAGCAGTGGTTTTACGGCAATTAAATTATTTAACTAGAATAGAAAAATGCCACCTTTCCGAAACACAAACTAATTACTAACTCTGAGCTTTGTTCGAGTGACAAACAAAAGGAAAAGGCTAGACTCAGAGCCTCTTAGTGCATGGAAACACTATTAATCAGTTGCATCAGGCTTACCAAGAAAAATAAAGATAATTAAAAGTGTTCGGATAATTGCGTTTGCTCTCTATTAAATACACTTTGTTATAATCAGGTAACAGGTTGGTCAATCTAAGGTCAATGCTTTGGTCCTACCTTGTATTGTTTCAGTCTAATGTATTACTGTATTTACATCAGAAACATAAAAGGCCTACAACTACACAGTTTTATAGGAGCACAAAAAAAGAATTGGGCCTAATTATGGATTTGTAATACTGTAATTCATTTTACAGCACAATTATTTTAAATGTCATTTAGTGAAACTACTATTCACTATTGAAAAACCCATGCAGTTTGGACGATATGATGATAAAATCTACATTCTGATCTGTTTAGAGATGGTAAAAATGGTGCTACTTGGCTCACCCCTACATGGACATATGAGAAATGTATCTTAATTGTTCAGGTTTCCATTTATTTCGTTGCCTCGTGGAGAAATGTGGCTCAGAGCAGGGGTCAGTAACATTAAAATAATGAGAGTGAAATGATGATAAAATATAAGATCACTAGTGTATAGATTCACTAGTGTGTTTTTGCATTGCATCAATGTTTTGTTTGTTAAGGCTGAGGAACACTTTTTGTACCTGAAGTGAAAAAGTTCTCTGCATTTGATACAGAGCTCTGTGCCGCTGGGCCAACCTGACAGTACACAGCCCAGTAGCCCATTTCCAAATATTGACCTAGGCTTGGTAAGGATAACTTTATTGGAGGATCAACTCATTGTTTTTTTTGTTTTGTTTTTTTAGGTCTCCCTTACCATTGACGTGCTGCGGAAGAAAACATTGTTGCAAATCGAAGAGAACAACTTCAAACTCTCCTGCAGCCGGTTCTGCAAAGACACATCTCGATAGCATTAAAGGGCCTATATTACAGTATTTCCATCCATCCATCCATTTTCGTCCGCTTATCCGGGGCCGGGTCGCGGGGGCAGCAGCCTAAGCAGGGACTCCCAGACTTCCTTCACCCCAGACACGTCCTCCAGCTCCTCCGGGGGGACCCCGAGACGTTCCCAGGCCAGCAGAGAGACATAGTCCCTCCAGCGTGTCCTGGGTCTTCCCCGGGGGCCTCCTCCCGGTGGGACATGCCTGGAACACCTCCCGAGGGAGGCGCCCAGGAGGCATCCGGAACAGATGCCCGAGCCACCTCAACTGGCTCCTCTCGACGTGGAGGAGCAGCGGCTCTACTCCGAGCTCCTCCCGTGTGACTGAGCTCCTCACCCTATCTCTAAGGGAGTGCCCAGCCACCCTGCGGAGGAAACTCATTTCAAGCGCTTGTATCCGCGATCTCGTCCTTTCGGTCACTACCCAGAGCTCATGACCATAGGTGAGAGTAGGAACGAAGACTGACCGGTAAATCGAGAGCTTCGCCTTTCGGCTCAGCTCCCTCTTCACCACAATGGTCCGATACAGCGACCGCATCACTGCCGAAGCTGCACCGATCCGCCTGTCAATCTCACGTTCTGTCCTTCTCTCACTCGTGAACAAGACCCCGAGATACTTGAATTCCTCCACTTGAGGCAAAGACTCTCCACTCACCCGGAGAGGGCAAGCCACCTTTTTCCGGTCGAGAACCATGGCCTCAGACTTAGAAGAGCTGATCCTCATCCCAGCCGCTTCACACTCGGCTGCAAACCGCCCCAGTGCACATTGCAGGTCCTGGTTCGATGAAGCCAACAGGACAACATCATCCGCAAACAGCAGAGATGAGATCCTGTGGTCCCCAAACCGGACCCCCTCCAGCCCCTGACTGCGCCTAGAAATTCTGTCCATAAACACAATGAACAGAACCGGTGACAAAGGGCAGCCCTGGCGGAGTCCAACATGCACCGGGAACAGGTCTGACTTACTGCCGGCAATGCGAACACAGCTCCTGCTCAGGTCATACAGGGACTGGACAGCCCTTAGCAAAGGGCCCCGGACCCCATACTCCCAGAGCACCCCCCACAGGACACCACGAGGGACACGGTCGAATGCCTTCTCCAAGTCCACAAAGCACATGTGGACTGGTTGGGCAAACTCCCATGAACCCTCGAGCACCCGATGGAGAGTGTAGAGCTGGTCCAGTGTTCCACGGCCAGGATGAAAACCACACTGCTCCTCCTGGATCTGAGGTTCGACTATCGGCCGGATTCTCCTCTCCAGTACCCTGGCATAGACCTTACCGGGAAGGCTGAGGAGTGTGATCCCCCTATAGTTGGAACACACCCTCCGGTCCCCCTTCTTATACAGAGGGACCACCACCCCGGTTTGCCAGTCCAGAGGTACTGTCCCCGACCGCCACGCGATGTTGAAGCCCCACAACATCCAGAGACTTAAGGTACTCAGGACGGATCTCATCCAACCCCGGAGCCTTGCCACCAAGGAGCTTTCCAACCATCTCAGTGACTTCAGCCAGGGTGATGGATGAGTTCGCCTCCGAGTCCCCAGCCTCGGCCTCCTCCTCGGAAGATGTGACGGTGGGATTGAGGAGATCCTCAAAGTATTCCTTCCATTACAATATTTTCCTATGTTATAATGTCATTTCCTCATCAAAAACACACAAATCCTGCATATTTAGGCTGAGTTTTTTATTCTCAAACAGAATATCTCATGATGCCATGTGGTAAAATAGGGAGTGCTCCATTGGATTTTTAAACGCCACACACCTACACTAGAATCATTTGGAATTTCAGCCCTGGAATTGCTAGTCTTAACAAAACAAAAGGTTAAAACTATCTGTTAACTTGAAAAGTATGGCTTCATAACATCACAAGGTGGAACAGAGTATTTTGAGCTAAGGAGATGTAGACTGACTAATAATAAAGGGTTACTCAAAGATGCTTAAATGAAACAAAACACAACTCCATGTATGTTTTTGATGAGGTAACATAACTTGGCTTAAAGCTTACAAGAGTCAATTTTGTGTAATATAGGACCTTTAACATTAGTGCGTGAGGAGCTATGATGTGGCTGTTGTATGTGTGAATACCATTGAGGGATCCTCCATCAGACTCATGTCGTAGCCACTGAGAGACACCACGAAAAGCACAGCCCGGACGTCCTCAAAACAACTGATCCACTTCCTCCTCTCGTTCCTCTGGCCCCCCACGTCATACAACCTGCACAAAGACAGACATAAACTGTAATCACCAAATAATAACACACCTCAATCTGCAGCCAAGTATGAGGAGCAAATGGAGTTGATGTTGTTATTAAAATGTATTGATTGGAAGAGAAGATAAATGTAGTGTGAAGTAGTTTAATGGAAGTAAAGGTCATGAATATCTCCATTAGATACAGACCCATATATATGGCCGGATCCATAGCTGTACTTTTTAGCATATCAGATTAAATACTACTGTCTAAAGAATACACATAAAGCTTTATTTTATCACTTTAGCACAAACATATATCGATTTAACAAAACATGATTATGCCGATTTAAAAAAATTGCCACAGCCCTTTTCTGTAAAATGGGAAAATAATCAAAATTGGTACAACATACAGTATCTGCCCAAAGACATTTGCAGAGTTTTACATCTTCATAGGCCATGAACACACCTATATGAGTGAATCTCTGATCTTGATATTTTTATTGAATACCCCAATGACGATAAATATGACTATATACAATATATAAACGATATATATATGTAAATCTTTCACATAAGGTGACTTTTCTGACAGGTCATTCACTTTTGTCTCACATTTGCCACATTACCATATTGTAATCAGGATAATAATTAAAAAGAGAGATAATAACTTCACTTTTCCATATGTGAAGTGTTGACTTACCCTTGAAATTTCAGTTTGATTGATTGTACCAAGCATTTAAGACAGGACAAAAAATATAAGAAAAAAAAAGAATAAGGAGGACAGGTGTTCGACCCTCTCAAATCACACACTTCAGGAATCACAGACAGTACAACTCAAATCAAATAAAACTGAGACAAATGCCACAAAAAATGGTCAAAATGATTTTATAAATATCGAAAAAAAAAAACTTTGGCAACTAATTGGGTAAAAACTGTGACAAATCAAATTCAGACTGATGTCAGCCTGTCAAACAACTTCAGAAGTGACATGATAATATGCTAGTGATACCAGCATTTTGTTTTACATGGAACTTGTAATACATTGTAATTAAATAAATCTATATCTTTATTTTGTCAGTCTGATTCTTCTGATTTTGTTATTTTCTCTGTGGAAAACATTTCTGAAATAGGCCACATAACATGTGTGTTTAAGTCATATGGGTTCTTATTGTGCCCCATGTTCCAACTTGATTGAATCTCACATAGAGCACTGAGCAGCCTGTGTCCATGACTGCACATACTGATGCTACTGCCTACTGTAAATCTAAGGAACTCAAATCAATGACACTTTCTAGGCTTGGGATAAGGTCAAATATTCACCAAAATGTGATCTGAACTCAAAACACACAAAGAGGAAGAGCCATCTCTGCAATATCTATTTCAGTTTTCACTCTGACAATCTAAAAACACTAAAGGTCATTTCTTCACAGCAAAAACAAAAGACATTCGCTATTGGTTTGGCTCACTTCACATATTTTCCAAGGCAGATGTGTCAACCGTGGGCTTGCATCGGAGTCTATCTGGTTACAAGGGGGGAATTATAGAAAGAGGAAATGGACATGTGGAAATGCAGACACACATATAGGGAGCAGGCCAGGGGCAACAGGGCAGCCAACAGCGTTGTTAACATTTCCAATGGGAATTTTCCGTGGAAATGAAGGGCCCCGTGCAGAACATGTTTAGTGGAGATGATGCTTCATTACTCCAGCACATGTACAAGATGACATCAGGATAATGGCAAACAAACAGGAGTGACCCATAGAAACACAGAGGCAGACAACATGGCTACAGTGAGATATCATGGGGTTAGGACAGATGAAGGCATTTGTAGATACGACAAAACAGTAAGGACATTTTTCTACAAATATTCAGCATTAGAAATATTATACTATATTTAGGAAACACAAAATAACTTTCTAGTAGTTCGTGGCCTCCATGATTCCAAAACCATATTTTGGAACATTCTCCATGAAGATAGAGGAGTTGTATGACATACCGTGGAATATTAGCGCGAGTAAGAGTTTCTTTTGAGGAGGTGCAAGCCCGCTTACAGGAAGGACACATGTTTTTCTATATTTTATGTATGCATAGAAGCATGCCTATTTTAGTCTATATCTTTGGCTAAAAAGTTGCTGTAGGGCTTTAAATTAAGAATTTTTAAATCAGAGTACAGTAATACATCAATAATACAGTATTGTATTAGAATAGTACAGTACTGTATTAGAATATTTATACAGTCAAGATTGTCAAGTTAATTGATCATAGTGAAGTCACAATATAATCACAAGAACATTTCAGTTTAATCTATATAATAAAATAAACACAAAATGTTAATATACAGTGCATATTTCTGTAACTATGTAGAAAGTTCAGTTTCATAATGCTGGTCACAAGGGAATGATAGAAAATTAAGGATTATGACATTAATAATTGTGAATAATTGTAAAATCTTAAGGATTTTTCCCACAATACTAACAAAATATAGCCGCAAGCAGCAATGATCAGCCCTCGTATGCAGCCACACTGCGTGCACCAAGACTGTGTGCGCCAATGCTGCATGCTCCAACACTGCGTGCTCCAACTCTGTATCTACCAACGGCCCACCCCACAAATGTCGCACCCTGCAAACTGAAATTTTCACTGAAATCGGAGTTCATATGCACAAATGGGACCCATTTGTATAGATGCAAAATGCCAGAAATTTTGTAAAATTTTTCCAACTTTGCTGTGCAGAGGCCTTAGCCCGGAATTTACACTAGGAGCCTAAGCGAAATGTAATGTAGACAGAGTTGCAAACGTGTGTACTTTTAAGAGCAGCAATTTACACCAGAGGCAACAGAGCTGCTCTTGGGATGCAAGCTTCTGTGTATTTTCACATTTAAACGCAAAACCTTTTACATTGCTTCTGTATTCAATGTTGATTGCATTAATTATGTTTTAAATCAAAAAAACTAAGTTGACAACAAACGAGACAATGCTTTGCAACGATAAAAAGCCCTATCTGCGGTGCTCGCATGAATTAAGCTACTCACCATTTAACTTTGGTTGTCTGCACCATGTGCCTTTTCCTTTGGAAGTTGTTCTTGTAAAGTTGCTGTCTGATGTCATGAAGTGAAACATTCCATAGTTCATCACAAATCATTCCCCGAGCAAGTGTTTACGTGACTGCAGTGGTTTTAGAGAATGTATTTTGAAAGGGCATCGGAAGTTTATTTTGACACCAAGTGTTTATTTCCTGTCTTGCCCCTAGCCTCCTTGCTAAAAAGCCTGAAAAATTAGAACTCCAACCTAATTTGTTTGGCGTGAAGCATAATGACAGCCGTTGGATGCATGTATGACTCTGCTTGTGTAAATTGTCTGACCAGTTAAAATGGAAAGCAACACCTGTGCTGCTGTGCTTATGCGCTGTTACTGCTTTGGTGTAAATTGGAGGTAAGATTTGTGTAAAAATATGGATAACTTTTGATGCCCCCCCCCAGTACAATATTGCTGACCCCTTGTGGAGCAGACGGCACTGGCGTAATAATATTTTTTACTCTACTTGTCATGATCTACTTCTATGGTAAATGGTCACATTTTTCTATAGCGCTTTTCCACCTTCAAGGCACTCAAAGCACTTTACAACAAGGAACCACTCACCCATTCACACACACATTCATACACCAGTGTACGCAGACACTGTGGGCAAGGTGGGTTAAGTGTCTTGCCCAAGGACACAACAGCAGCATTCATCTGTGGGAGCTGGAATCACACCAGCCAACCTGTGGGTCAGTGGATCTGACCGCTCAACTTGTGATGTTTATGTTGAGAGCTGGATTCGAACCACCAACCTTCAGATCAGTGGGCGAATGCTCTACTACTGAGCTACTGCCGCCTATGTCAAATTCCATGATTTTAAATGCAATTTTCATGAACCACGAGTTTTAATGCTGGGCAAACGTTCGTGGATTTTCACCACTGTCACTATAACACTATAACACTACAAGTTTTTCTAATAAATGTGCTGCTCTGACGCCTTCAGAGGTCATGGGTTTCAACTTTCTACTTTGCAACATTGTGAACTTTTCCCATTCAAAATATAACTATGGCAACGGTCAACATTTCTCATCATTCGCATGCATAATTTAGTAATGAACAAAAACAGTTATTAAGCAGAAATCACTTAAAATCTAGCTAACAACTGATTGGACAAAAGTCAAAAGCTCTCAATGTCACTATAAAGCCATAAATTACAATCTTGATTTATTATCTACATGATCGTTACTGCATTTTAACCTAACCCATTAATTAGTAGCTAATCTGATATAAAACAAATAGCTTTGTTGATTCTTTAAAATGGTGGGCATCACACAGTATAGCCTATAGTCTCTAATTGAGAAGTAATTAAAAAGAGAAAAACACCCCTGAAGCTTTACATTGTATGGGAGCAATTTATGGTGTCAGTTTATCCCGTGTGCTTAGAACACCACAATACAATATCTATGGATTCATTTAAACAATGCACACATCTAATCATACTAACCCTAAAGCTAACAATTATTTCACACCATTAAGTAAATATTTTTTTGCATTAATATTTAAAAAAAAAAAAGTTTCTTTTTTAAATAAAATAACATTTTACAACAGGGAGGTATGAACAGAATATGGCAAAAGTATTGAACAGTGAGACTTGAGGCACTTAAGGACTTCTTAATGGAGCAAATTCAATACACAGGTTTTTATCAGGAGTCTGGACCATAAAATCTACATTCTTTGTGCACTGCTCTGTGTTGGAATGAAACCCTTGTCTAACATGTTTTAAAGTTACAATTATTACATTTTAAAAATTATTATTAACTTCTGTTAGTGATCGACCATTTCAAAAACTGATTAATCAAATTAGTTGTTGCTGAATGTATAATGAATGTATTGTATTGAATGTATTTTCTTTAAAACTTCCTCACTGAAGGGCAACATACAGACTCAGCTCTTCGGGTCACGTCACCCCTGAAATGGTGCACTGGGTGGTCAAAAGTCAAGTGCACTTGCGCTGGCTGCAGATTGTCTAAAATGAGAAAGCTCGAGGATGGGCCACTGAGGCAGGACAATCTGTTTACATCAATAAAACAATAACCTTTATATGACACGGTGTTATTTTTAAATGTCAGATAATACTGCATTTAACTCAATATTTTCTCCTACAATTACTGTCCCTGAGATAAACACATCTTCTACATTCAAGAAAAAAAAAAGAAAAAGTCTTCTCCAAATCCCACAAACTGCTTTCCAAGTTTGAAATAAACAGGCCAACTTCTGCTAAGCTCTTGATCACCCCAGAGGCTACAGCAGAGAGAAGTCAGACATGAGTTAATTAACCAAAACCAATTAAATATCGCTTACAGAATGAAGACGATCAAAGAGGGAGCATTACACCTACAGCACTGATGTGTGACACACCGAATACTGGGGACGCAACATGTACTAAACAAAATAAATGTTTAATGAAGATTGGATATTGTGGTGACTATACATAATTAGTGAGTATTTTGACAAAGCAGGGCACAACCAGGACTAATCTCAGTAACTGGAGTAACTGAATAAAGCTACAAATAATCCTAACCAAACCAAAAACAATGTTGAAACCTAAATAAAAACAGCTAAAGGGAAAAAACAGGACTAAACTAAGACTATAGTGCCTACTCAAGTGTAAAATTGTTTATGAACAGGCAAACAAGTGCTTTGAGTATAATTGTCAATTAAAGTTTGTCAAAGCAGGCCCAATCCATGATCTAAAAATAAATTAACTGGATTAAAAACAATAATAATAAATAAAGATTTATCTGTACATGGGCAACTCTATTGGAAAAACTTTCAATGTCAAGACTAAACCAGGCCTAAATACTAAACTATACCTATGCCTATGCCTAAAGGGAGTTTTAAATATTATATACACATACATTCCCAAGGCAACAAAGTGGTTGGCTGCTTTTGAGACTAACTTTTTGTTTCTTGAGCTCAGTTTTTAACATCATATGATGGGATATTAACCAACAAAGAAGTGCAGCATACGCAGTTCAAAGGACACAAGTAAGGGAGTGCTGGATTTTGTGAAATGAGCCGATGGTTTTTCCTGTATCCACGGGGACTGTGCAAGAGGCTAGGTGAGACGCTACAGGCTTTTTACACCATATGTGGCAGCAAATGTGGAAGACCTTCCAGAAGAAACACTTTGAGTGAATGAACCATTTTTATCACCAACTGAAACACCAGAGCAGAGTAGAAGCCTATTCATACTTCATAAGAGCATAAGTACCCTGTTCTTGCTCTTGAGGTGATAAGAACAAGAACAAAGTTCTTATGTTCTTATGAAGTATGAATAGGCCTAAGAGTAAGGCTTCCTGTTATGTTCACCTGGCTCTCCCTGGACTCTGCTGTGATGCTGTAAGAGGAGAAATACCTTTGTCTCTTTCTCTCCTCAGACTGCCCTGACTTAGATCTGCTGACCCTCCCTGACCAGTCCTCCTGTTAAACTGCACTGAGACCTTTCATTGAGACGCACATGGAACTGAATAGTGCAGTATAAATGTTGCAGCTAAGCTGCAACGCTTTGCTGCAGCAAAAGTTCAGTTTCTGTTGGGATAAAAAGTATCTCTCTCTAATATATTTCACATCCTTAATAATGAAAAGGCACTAAAATGAGAAAATGTTAACCTGGAAACTACAAGGGGAAAGTCAGCAATCTGCAACTGACATGAGACAAAGTAATGATGAGAGTAACTCTTCCCCAGTGGAAGAATTAAATACTTGAGCATAATCGTTGTTGATAAAGAGACAATGAATCAAAAGCATCCGTAGCCATAAAGTGACTAGAGCTGACAGTTTCCCATCACTGTGTTTATGCACCAGCAGAGATTTAATAAAAATCTTGCGTAATGTGTTTTATTTCTCACGGAGCAATTACATCACAGGTTTTATTGTAGAAGATGACTGGGGATGCTCTTCAGGTACACATCACAGTGACAGCCCTACTGCATTATGAGCCGCACCAAACAAAATGTGCTATTTTTTCTGTTTGAGTGTGCCCTTTATATACTAGTAGTGTAATAAATTACAGCTTATGACTAAAATATCCACAAATGATACATAATATTACATAATATATTTATACTTTAAATGTCCTATATTACGCAAAATTGATTCTTATGAGATTTTAGCCATGTTAGAATTTTGTTATTTCATCAAAAACATACCCAGAGTTATGCTTTGTTTCATTCACAAATATTTGAGTGATCTTTTATTATTAGCCTGTCTACATCTCCAAAGCTGAAAATGCTCTGTTCCATCCTTGTGATGTCATGTAGGGGTACTTTTCAAGTCAACAGCTCCCTTATACCATTACTTCAGTAGAAACAAGCCATTTTACTGCTGAAACTATATAAATGATTCTAGTGTAGGTGTAGGGGGTTTAAAAACACAGTGGAAAACTTCCTGTATTACCATATGACATCACAAGGTGGAAAGGATGTGTATTCTGTTTGAGAAACAAGCTCAGCCTGCAGGGTTGCAGGGTTTGTATGAATGAAACAAAACATAACTTCATGTTTTTGATGACAAATGAAACAAGATGAAACAACATTATAACATAGATCAGAAATAGTGCAATATGGGCATGGATTGATTTGCATCTTAATAGACTAAAATAACAATTCAAGATGCATGCAGGGCTCTGCACATTCTTACAACAGGCTAATGTTTCTGAGGAACACCGCATAAATAAAAAATATTCAAAGATTTGCAAAAACGTTTGAACATACACAACCAATGCATACACGTATAATTACAAGATCATTAGATCTGCATACTGTGGTTCAATTGATAAAGCCAATGCATGCAAGTTTAATTTAATAGGAGAATTTATCCCTGAACAATTCATTGCACTTCGTTCATTTAATCGTCTCCAGTCTCTGAAGGTAGAAGCACTAGTAATGTTATTAATATAAACATAAAAAAATCATAATTTGTAAATTTGTTTTCAAAATTTAAATGTCCAACGCACATTAGAACATCCTCGGAGTGTCACGGCCGGCTGTCTCTTGGAAATGAGCAAAACCCCACTGAAGGCAGATAGAGTGTGGAGTATGATGAGACACTGTCCCATTGATCACAGATGTATTTGTGATGTGACATGAGCCCCTGAGCCCTCTGCCAAGGCACTGATAAGAGCTGCCCACTAAAGCCGTCAGGTATCGACTTATTGAAGAAAGTCGGACCATCTCACCAAACAGACGGGGCAGATTCAGAGGATAAAAGTGTCAAAGAGACGGTTAACGAGAAGGGAGCTGCATGAGCTTTTCAAAATTTAATAAAATAAAGTTTAAAGAGTGGTATACAGTTTTCTTTCTAGAAATGTGGTCTCTGTATTTGCCCTGTTCTTGAGGCAACCACAGTGCAGTGCCCAGGGTCCCATATCCAGATCTTGAACTGTTAAGTTCATATTTGTGAGGGGTAACCTCTAGAGCATTAAAGGGCCTATTTTGCACAATTCTTTGATCTATTATATATGTGTTATTCTCTCAAACAAAAAACACTTTGTTCCACTTTGTGATGTCATGTGGTATTACAGGAAGTGCTCCACTGTGTTTTTAAACTTCATACACCTTCACTGGAATAATTTGGATGATTTCAGACCTGGAATCTCTGCTGAACTTAAGGTAAAATGTAGCTGTTAACATGAAAAAACAAAACAAAAAAAAAAACACTTCATAACACAAGGTGGAACAGAGCATTTTGAGTTTTGGACTAATACTCAAATATGAAAGAAACAAAACACAACTTCAGATATGTTTTTTATGAGGTAACAACATTATAACATGGCTTAGAGCTCCCAAGAGACAATTTTGTGTAATATAGGACCTTTAACCAGTTCTTCGTGTTTTAGGCTAATTTCTCATTGTAGCAGGGACCTTGTTATTTTGGGGTCCAGGAATTTGCACCATAACGCTGCTTAGTAACAGGATATGATCTACTATGGTACTAGAACTGCTACCTGTTATTTTTTACAGTGCAGCCTTGACTCTGTATCTTAAATCTGTGGTTTCTATTTAAATAATACATCATATTCTTGCACACTGATATTGTGTAAAATATTGTGTCATAGGCCTTTTGGGGTAGGCCATTTGCAACATGACACAGTAAAGCATTGTAAAGATGAAAAACTTTTATTGGTTTGACTCAGAAACCTAGAGGCACCCAGGGACCACTAACAGCAAGCGTGGTCTTACCTGAATTTAGATTATCTCGTTCTGTGGTAGAAACTCCAGCATATAAGAAGCAAAATTCTATCTCACTGAGACTTCACACAGTATATTTAAACACATATTGCAATGCCACATAACACTGCCAGGAGTTGTCATTTTCTTGTTCATCATCACTGACTTTTTATCATTAATCATTCCAATTCAACCATTACTTCCAATCTATTACTTAGATTGTAAAGGTGGTGCACTGAGTAACATTTTTGTAGTGGAAGGTAACAGTTAGAGTAGCATAGTAAGGTAACCAAGTAAGGTAGTAAATGTAGTAAATGCAGTAAATGTATTAAGGTTCAGGTGTTTTGATTGCTAAATTGGGACAATCTTGGCAAAGCAAGACACCAGGGAACCTCCACCAGAAAAATTACATAGTGCACCTTTAAGTTGTAATCCTATTACTATAGCAAGAAAATGCATAACCCTGTTGTAGCTATTCAGAAACAAGTACATTTGAACTTTTAGTATATTAAGAAATTGAGCAAAGAAAAGCTATTTGGCTGGTTTATAAAACATAGCATTGCAATAATGTCAGGTTGTTCTTTCTAAAAGTGACTTGGCAAAGCAATAAAGTGTGTTCTGGTGTGAGTGCTTAACTGTGCAGAATCTACCTGAAAATAAGGTGCTCCACCTTAAACTGCGTCTCTATCACTCCGGTGGTCCTGAGTCGTACACGCAGCACGTCTGTCTCTGTCGGCACGTAATCTGGAGAGGTTATTCGGCTCATGTTGTCAAAGAAACTGCAATTTACAAGAACACAGGAAAGTGGAATGTTTAATATCCCTGCAGAAAAGTCAAGATCAAAGACGGTGCACTGGGTGGTATGTAGCGACTTGTGTCATTTGCCAAGTGCAGAGTGAGTTGTGATAAGGGTGGGGGCTCCAGGGAACAAAATGAATATTCAAACTGAAAAATACAAGGTTAAACTGTGCGCACAGATTACAGGGATGAACTACAGCTGGAGTAATCAAATGAGATGAGATAAATGCAGTGACGTTTAGGGCATCGCTGAACCCACAGTGGCCTTCTCAGTAGTCATCCTCAGCAAGGCTTTTGGACAGTTACACAGTGATCCTGCTGCTTATACAACACAGAACACAGAAGGGATGTGTGTCTCTATGAGGACTTTATTCAACATCTTTGGATACAATATTAGAGTATGATATAAATATATGTATGGTACTGACTATTTTCTTGTGTTATTAAAGTAGCTGCCTCAGTGTGGTTTGCAACTGTGGCCCAATGACCTCCACACAAACCTCTCAAATTTGTGTCAGCTACTCTAACAATGGTGCTAGGGTTAGGGTTAAGTCTCTTTGCCAGAATAAGAGTCTCAGCAGAGTTCATTTTTAGAAGCAGTGTTGATTTTTAGTTTCAGTCAAGATTAAGTAAATCAATTTTTTTTGGTTTTGATCTGGTTTTAGTTAACAAAAATTTAATCCAAATTTAACTGACTAAATCTATTACAGTTAAAAGGTTAATCAACCAGAATTTTTTTTTTTTTTTTCTAAAATAAATAGTATGGCATTGTTTTACGGGACATGTACAGACATGTTACTTGGATGTTGAGTGGTGTTATGTTTTCGTTTGGGGTTCTGAGATTGAAAAGTGGAATTTGAATCTAGTCCCTCGTCTGGTCTGGTCCCTTTTATTCATTTATGTTAAGCTTATATTATTTGATGAAAATATCAGTACTTTTATTCAACATGAATGTCTACTTTTAGTCACAGCAATATATTTTACCACTTGTATCTTCAAATAAATTAAGTAGGTTAAACTTAGTCCTCATAAGAATAGACCTTCAGGTCAGTGTGTTTTTGTCCAGGAGAGTGGAGGTGACAGTGACTAGTCCTGAGTCTCAGCAGGATCCAGAGGGGCTGTCAGTGTAGATAACCCCAGAGAAGAGGCTTCTTGCTTGGGTCAAAGATGAGAAGAGACGGCCTCCTGGAGACTCTACTTTGCCTTACTTCTTTTGTATACACAAACCTTTTCAATGTTTTTTTTTGTGCCTATTTTGAAAACATAATAAATTGTTAATTGTTATAGATCTGTCTTATTTAAATATAACCCCCTCTATTGCTTGTTTTTCTTAATTACAACATAATTACTACATATTATTATAAACTGAACTTGATCCCCAGTGACAGCAAACACATGGTCAAACATTAACCGCTAAGTGTTGCTAATTAGAGCCCTGCTGCTCCCTCCACCTGCAGTACTCTCATACTCACTACAGGGCGGAGTCGTTGAGTTCGTACTCATATCCCCTGGCAGCTGCCGCCCGAACACCCTGGTCCGCCCACAGACAGCTCAGAGCGTGAGCCACGAACGGGAACAAGACCTGGTCCTCATCGAAACACCGGCCGCAGGAGAGGACGGAGTGAGCATGTACCTGGAATATGTGCGCCAGTGTTATATAAATAATAATGTGAGAAAGAAACATACCAGTAAGATCATACTAACCCTTTTTTTCATACTGTCCAATGGATTACTGATAGATTGTGACAATCTTTCCAGTTACTAGTAAATACACTTGCATGTTGTCTGTTTTTGGCTGGATAGGTTTATCATAGCTAAAAAGTGTTATTTGTGGATCATGGATAACACTAAAATATGATTTAGTTGCTTCTAAAATTATTATAATTTTCTTAACAGTCTTAATCTATTTTTTAGATGTAGTTTTAGTTACCGATAGGATCCACACAAAATATATGGGCTGTATCAGGTCAAATGCAATTGCAAAAGTAGTGCCTCAATTAGAGTTACTGTATCTACTCTTTGCTTGTACCAAGTTTTTTATAACCGTAGTTGAATAGAGTTTATCAGACTTCTTTGAATGTTGCCTTGTCAATTTGGTTCTTGAACCATGTGCGGGCTTTTGTCAGGAGTTTGCATGTTCTCCCTGTGTCTTTGTAGGTTTCCTCTAGGGCTCCTGTAGGGCTAGTACTGCCCATAGAATTATATTTGTAGTTATATAAAGATTGTATAAAATAAATTATGTAAACTAGTTGCCATTAAGAATAAATAGTGTAGTAAGTCCAACGTGTAAACATAAAAATCTACTATATTAGAAAGGTTTGTAAGTGTTGAAGTACTCCCCCCTAGTGGACATTTACACACAGTGCAGTAAAATTGAAATGGTCTCAAAGGTACACACTTTGTTCCTGCTGTTGGCGAGATTGATTCGTAGCACTCCCATCCCATGGAGCACAAACTTCATTGATGTCAGGAGGTTATCCAAGACCGCAGGCTGGAGATGGGAAAAGGACACCAGTGAATTGAAAGTGAAACTCACTGAAACTTACAGCTTTAGACACATTATGATAAATATCATGTAGTTATTTCAAAGAGACAAATAAATGATGATTCACTTTCAATACAAAGAAATTTAACATTACTTTGACTGTTACCTCATTTAATTCCCAATTGGTCAAATGAAATTGCAAATTGCAAGTCAAACTTACATGTAACATATATGTAACTTACTTACATATTGACTTCCCATTTGACAAATACATTTTTAAGAAATCAGAAAGGCTTATGTCTATGTCTCAGTAGTCAGATGGACAGATAAGCTGCACATTCCCTCCTGATTGTATCTTTACTGTGCGCTCTGTGGAGGTGTACGCAGATGATATATGTGACATGAAATAAATCCTCCAGGAGACAGTTTGAGGATGAGTGTCTGTCATGCCAAAGCTTTAGACATGTATTTGAGTCCATAAGTCCACACGGATTGATTTGAACTAAAGGACCAGAACAACTTTGTGTGAGCTTGCTTATGTTTTTTCTCTGGACTCTTCATGAGTAAGTATTACCGCATCATGTACACACAGGCCACATTTTGAAATGCAATATATTGCAGTAAATATAGACAATAAACAATAATAATGAAACTAATTTATGCCACTGACACAATGACCCAAGAGCAGATTTAATCCACAAAAATATTGTACATGTACAATATTGTTAAGAAATCATGAGCTGCAATAAATACATAGGGGACTAAAACTCTTTAGCACCTTTGGTCCTTTGCATCTGTAATGAGTCATAGAAATTATTGAGTCAACCTTTTACAGCTTAAATTTGATCATATAGCCAAAAAATTACAATTAATCAATTTTCCAATAGTGTAAAAAAATTTACATTTGATAAGTATTGAGCCCAAAGATACAGTATAGTGTTCCATCTTTCATATATTGAACAATGAGTCAATATAGTAATTATCTTGATAGGCCTATTTCCACAAGTATTTCCACAAGCATTTACAAAAGAAATATTCCTTTATTCAGTTATTTGTATTTGAGCATCACAAAATGTAACACAAAAAACATAATCTCACTTTTTCCAAATGCATCTTGCCTGCTCTCATTGGAGACATAATAACCAAGTTACAAATTTTAGCTGAAACCGAACAATAATAGGTCTTGTCTAGAAATGGCCTTATGTCTGATTATTATGTTCACCAATAATGTGTAATATGTTTAATTTATCAACCTAAGAATGCAACTCGGAGAGGATTCAGACCAAGCACAAAATGATAAAGTTAGAACAACAAATTAACAAAAGAGCAACTATGCAAAAATCCAAGGATCCAGCACAGTTATGAAACAGCTCTAAATGAGGAAAATTTAACAAGCAAAGTGAGTTTAAATTGAATATACTCAAATTGGAGTCTGCTGCTGATTCAGTACAAAGGTCCTGGAGTCTTTATTTACCAGTCTCTTACAGAAAATCAGTTTAAATGTTCCTAAGAATGACAATTATTATACATTGCCTCTAGTCATTGGTCGATGTTGTTTAGAGTTTCTGTAGCAATGTTGCAGTCTTACTTAAAGGGAATTGTATGTGAGAATTGTATTTAAAATTATTGTATTTAAACTTGAGTTATCTGTGTCCACCGAAAATTATTCTTAATTACAATAATTAGGGTTGCCAGTGTTAATGCTGAAATCCAGTTACTTTCTACCTCTCTACCTAAACCCCAACCAATCATTAATCAGTGCCTCTACTGCTGCAGTATATGCTGTCTATATACTCAGAACTTGTATGTGTCCTCTATATGCAGGTTAAATCACACATTACCCAGATTAACTCATTGTAGTACCTCTAAAAAAAAAAAAATCTGTAAGCATACATACAGTCTGATCTGTATAAGATGTGTTTCTTGATTACATGGAAAAGAACCAAAAACAATATATCCTGGTTTCCAGCCTGAGGAGCCAGAGGAGCCACAGGTGTGTCCATGTATAGTAATCTGAACCACTGTCAGCATTACATCACCTCTGACACACAGACAGGACACCAGCCTCCCTTTACCTACAAGACATGTGGGCTCTCTCAGTTTACAGAGGAAGTGCATCTATCTAACTTAAGGTGAGTCTTCCAGATAGAAAAAATGACATAAATAGCATTAGCATAAATACATGTTCAGTTCAGCATTTCACAGTACTCAGAAGGATTGATATATAGGTAAGTAGCATCAGACAAATATGCAATCAACGTCTATGTTGAAAAGTTTCACAAAGCCTGTAACATTTTACTGTAGTTTCTCTTCTTATTACCTTTCCTGATAGCAAATATTGAATGAGCCAAATCATACTTAAAACTCCAATAAAAACTGGAGTATGCTATTGATATTATAGCTCTCATCCAAACACAGTCATCTGTAAATCCAGCAAAAAACACTGTCCTATTGTTCTATTCCCACGTGCTGTTGAGATCAGCCCAAGTGCGTCGTTAGCATTTGTGTTGTCTGAGTATTAGCTGTAATCACACTACAACAAAGAATGTGGTTGGACTGGCATAGGCCTAATTATTAACCACCAACACAGCTAACCGAGGAGCAGAGTGGATTATTAAAGCAGTGCACAGGAGTATGTCCGGTACTCAATTGTGTCATTTACCTATTATTATTATTTTGTGTCTTCTTAAGTGAGAGGCAATAAGTTTAGTAACAGAGTTGTAACAGGAACTGTTGTATTCAGTTGTATTCAAGAACATACATTTTGCAGTTTTAAGATTGCAGGTGATGAATGTGATGGGTGTCATACAAGTAGGAGTCAATATCCTGCACACATTCAGAAAAGGTGAGCCTGATAGCTTACACAGTGTTATAGTGAGCCTCTCATTATATTCATCCAACCACATCACTAAATCTGTAAAGGAATATTACATATATCCCAAACCCCATCTCAACTACTGTACAAAAGTTTTATAGCCTTAAAGCTTTACTCTGCTGACAGAGTGCTCTATTAGTTTTATGTCTATTGTAAATCTTTATAGTATAATTCATCTTGATCTTGATTTTGATTACATGTACTTATTCTCTTACTTTATGTTTGCGTTGCAGCACTGTAATTTCCACATCGTGAAACAAATAAAGCTTTATCTTATTTATCTTTATCTTATATCTTATTTTATCTTATCTAAAACACTACAGTGCCACCTAAAGGTCCCTTTGTGTGCACAATATGCTCGTATTACTCAATATTACTCTTTTAAAATCCTTTACCTCCTATTGGACATCTTAGCGCTGGTAATTCAGCCCTGATTTCTGTGCACATAAAATGTCATCGTGGCCAGCAGAGGTGTGTGGACTGGAATGAAGCAGGTAAAACAAGGCTAGAAACAATTGTGTAGCTGGACATGCTTGGTTAATAAGATATTTAAAATGAGCCCTGTGAAGGTGTTTGAATTTTAAAACAAAATGGAGTACTTCCAGGTGAAGGAGGTCACTAACACAGCTGGAACTGGGTTATGAGCCAGTCTGAAAAATATATCCACATGATAAATATGTGCATGAATGTATCCAAACAAAAAAGTAAATTTCTCAGGAGTTAAAAACACTAATTTATTTCATTATTTAGTGTTTGTTTCTTATGTGCGCACTATATTTGACTACAATTACATGACATATATTGACAGATTGAATTCATTGTGCAAAGCGAAAGAATGAAAATGAAAAGCAATCCATTACAGCTATCAACACAAAGAGCACAAGAGCCTTGAGCAGCAAATAAAGTACGGATAAAGACACACAAAGGGGATCCCCATTGAATGCTCCTCTCCAAATTCCTCTGTAACCCCTGTTCCAGATCAGCCCTAACACAAAACAAAGCTGAGCGTTTGGGATGGAGAGAAGGGTAACAGGCGGTCATCAAGTTGTTTACTCGTAGACACTTAAAGATACAAAATTGTTAGCCCAGTGATAAAGAGATACTGGGAGGCTGGTGTGTTTGTGAAGAGGGAGGAGTAGGAGATTTCAACTGTGGGAAAGAGTTGACGGAAAGGTGGGTTAGAGTTACCGTCAACTTTCCATTCAAAATAAGGGTGTTACTCAGAACAAAGAGACGCTTAACTGTCAAAGCACACAAAAGTGATAGGACTACTAAATGGTTCGGAGAAGTTGGCCCTGAAAAGATTAAGGTTTTAGCATAATACCATATGTGCAAAAGTGTATTCTATGACAATAGCCTCCTATGTGTTAGAGAAGATCTGAGAGCATCTCTAAAACGCACACTACTGACGATGAAATTGTTTAAAAATTAGGCAAATGGGTTTGCATTATGGGATCATGTTGGGCATAGTCTCATCTGGTGAGGTTTCATCCCACTGGTAAATATAGTGTGTTTTATAGTTGAATCATCATCAAACAACACTGCAAAAAAATCTCTTTAAGGCATTTAAAACATTTTACAACTTCTTCTTAGGATGATAAAAATGAAATTGTTAAGAACATCCCCTGTTTGAAAGACTAGCAGTCCCCGATGTGACTTTGATTAAAATAATAATCGTCCAGTGTGTCTCAAAAAAAAAAAAAAAATAAAATAAAGATTTTTTTTTTTGACATATTGCCCAGCCCTACCACCTCACCTGTACATTTTAAAATATGCTGTTAAACTTCTTGCCTTTATCCACTTAATCCACTTGGCCTAATGTCATCTGTTTGTCACCATGAACATGGATGCCATATTACCAAGTAAAGCAAAAACACCTGCATGGAAACATGCAGCTAGCGTACTCTCCATCCAGAAAAGCTACATAGTGCACCTTTAAATGCATTCCTTTAATACACAGGAGAGTGAGAGAGGAGGAGAAGAAAGAGAAGGACCCTGGAACATTTTAAAATACTGGAATGCATCCAAATGCCTCAGCTGCCTGCAAAAACAACTGTCCCTCATACATCAGTGTATGAGAGACAGTTTTTCTTTTTGTTTTGTTTTTTTTCAAAAATATACTCCAGTGACAGTTTTCTGCATATTTCCAACAGTTATCATAAAAAATATGATTCAGACATGAGCTGTTGCTCCATACAGGAACTGTAAGAGTTGAGCGAGTCTATTATACAGAGAAATTATTAACTCAGTAGTTTGAAGTCAGTCTCTCCTCACCTACACATTACATTTAGGAGCAATTATGAAAGATGGCAAAGAATGTCAAATAAAATCTCCATTATTCTTAGATGAACAAGGAAGTCTCAAACGCTAATGTGAAACAACAATAGTCATGTGGATACATTAAAAACTATAAACAATATTTTGGACTGTAGAAGTAAAAGTACCCCTGTCAATACTGTCACTATCACTTTAAGTACTTCCCACTGCTGCGGCTATAACTGCAGAACCACTGTTATAATAGCAGGTATGAACCTCTCCAGCTTTTTCAGTTCCAATACGTATACTGATCCTTTGGCTTTTGGAATCCGTCGATACCCAATATCAACTCATACTAGCATAGGCATAGAAAAAGGCATTTTATTGCAACTAGATTTCAACAAAATTGATCCAACTGCATTACTGGGGAGTAATTGTTGTGCAACTTTGTATAAATAAAAGTTCAAACATTATGAATTTTTTAGGCCAATAAAAAGCCCAACCAGAATATCAGCTGAACCAATATCAGGGAGCCGATATCCTATGCAACTAATTTTGACTGATTAGAAAGCTAATGATGTTAATACCATTACTACCAGCAAAAGAATCAGACCACTGCAATTAAGAGCACCGCACCTTTGGGCCAGTGAGGTTCACGTGATTTTGTTACTATAATGTACCATATAATCCAATGTCATTTCTGAGGTAAAAGTATTAAAAGTTACTCAAAAATGGGTATAGTTCTGTATTCAGTAAGAGGCATTTCTTGAGTAAAGATGTTTTCACTTTCCACCTCAGCCTCACTATTTCTGGAATTTGGCTCAGAGAGGTTCACACACAAAACAGGAGACAGCAGCCAAACCAGGGCAGTCTCTGGGATGTGACCCTGGTATGCATAAATTAAAAACATCCCAGCTCACTTTGCCTCAGCAGTAACTTGTATCATGTTCACCAGGATCTTGTCTCTCCAAGGAACTATTAGGAGTTTGAATTTACATAATTTCTCATTTCTCTCCTTATGGGGACTGTTTACCAGGCAACACTTTAAAGGATTAAACTCCCCTGGATGCTATAAGATATACATTTATATAATTATGCCTTATTTGACACCAGTCTCTAGCTATTCTTACTAATTATTTAGAATTTATTGTTACCATTTATATTTTTTTCTCTTTGTTATTATCATATATTGTGATGTGTGAGTTACTGTGTCCAAGTAATTTCCCTTGTGGATCAATAAAGTTTGTCTAATTCTAAGTCTAATAATAACAATGAATTCATGTTAAAATGAGTGTCTGACCTTAAAGCTGGTGAGCTCCTGTTTGGTGAAGCCATTACTGTGAATGATTTTCATCTGTTTAACCAAAGTGCTTTTGCCGCTCTCTGCTGCTCCTGAGACAGAGAAAAAAGCAGATTATCACCTCAAAGGTAAAACCGAATACAGCTCAATATTTTCAAAATACTCTTAAGAAACTAAATCACAACTATAACAGTTATAACAATACTTTTTGGGCACATTCACACATCCTGTTTTGGGCCTGGTTAGAGCCCAGTTTAGTCCTGATGTTGACTTGGTCCCATTCTAGTCTGTTTAGTCCTGGTCTGTTATATTTACTTCCAGGTTTAGTCCCAGTTAGGGCTCAATTTTGATGTGGTGAGTGCAAGTTCACGTAAATGCACCCTGAATCATTATTTAGAACCATAATGCAGACAAATAATAAATAACATTTATTTTAGAAACAATTCATTAGTTTGTGCTCGGACTGTCGGCATTTAACTGTCATCAAAAACTTCAAAATAATGAAGAAGAATATTATATTTATTTAATACCAGTGTTTTCTATTCAAGCATTTTTTTTTTTTTGCTACCACAGAGGTATGAAAAAGGGAACCTAACTCAGGCAGAAGTTAAGTGTGAACCACTAAAATACAAAAAGAATTAAAAACATGAAGTGCATAGCTTGTTTTATCATTAGTGTCTCTTCCACTTGATCAGAAAAATGACAACACAATACACAGTGTTGGGAAGTAACTGAACACATGTACTGAGAATACGCATTCAGAATATACATTTGGAGTATACATATTCTGTACAGTTACTTTTTCATTTCAGTCAAACAAACAAAGCTGCTTTCAATCCTATGTTGCATTTTACACTATAATTGAAATGCAACAGTGTGTGAAAGTATTCAGAATACAGTACTGTGATTGGACCATATATTAGCATAGGCCTACTTACTAAACACATTTTAATTCAGCATTCAGTATTCACTCAAGCCATGGACCAAACCTTATACCCACCTAATTTATCAACTACTGGTGGCATTTACAGTTCATGTTAATTATTATTCATTCATATTGCTTTGTGGTGTGAAGGCTATGTACTTGTACTTCTGTGTGGATTAGATTACCAGTAGATATTGGTCATACCTAGCAGCAATATCTTCACCACGTTCATCTCTCGTTTGGCATACTCGTACAGGTCCCGGTCTATTTTAGCGCTCTGTACCCTCGCCTTCTTCTCCTCCTCTGTTACTTCGGTCCCGAGACACAAACCCATTTCAGACTGCGGGGGTCATCTCCTCCTTCGACCCGAAACAAACCGTGAAATCCGGGCAGGTATCATTCGTGCGCGCCAGTCCATCCGTGCATGCGTGTGGTAAAATACACGCTTCGAACCAGGTAAAGGAGAGTTAAATTTACTTCTAAACTGCAAAAACAACTTTCGGTTCAGTCTTCATCCTTGAAAATTGAGCTCAAATTCACGACACACTGCAGAAAAGCGTAGGGTCCCCGTGCGCCGTAGCGGTTCAAACTTTTCCTGCCGCCTCTCGCCTCGGGTTACACCTCCTCCTTCCTCCCTCCGCGAGCTGCTGCCGTCCGGATGGAAAAGTTTCGGACCTCTGTGGGAAGTGACGTCCCGGGACAGGGCACCTGACTGGGGGTTTTACCTGAGTAAGCAAAAATAAACAAAGGACTCAGGATTTGTCCCGCTTTAATCTGTGCGGACCTAGGGGAATAAGGGCCAGCAAAAAAATAAAAATAAATAACAGGCCCAGTTCCTGTTTTGTGGATTCCTTTGCCACCAATAGGCCTAATAGTAGCCTAATTTACTTCTACGGTTTATAGGGTGCAACACCTGTAGGCCTATCTTTGAAGATTCTGATTTCTGTTTCAAGGCGAATTGGCAAGCTACACCAAGAGCTGGCCTACTGTAATTATGGTACAAGTGGGATAACTTACGATTAATTTTTCCAGTATCACAGGCTGCTCTAACAATATGATCAACAATAGTGCAGTTGCCATTAATTAGTTGCCTAAAACTAAACAATGGCACTTGGTCTCCTAAAAGACATTTATCTATTTCATGACAGGGTTCTTCCACATACTTACAGTATGAACTCTGTACCCATGACTGCCTGTTTTGTGCAGGTTGCAGTTTTTGTTTCATTATGAGAACAGGAGCAGGCTTAGATGGGACAGTGAAGTTGATGACCTCATTTCAAACAGTCACTGAACCGTGACTTTCTGTTGATCCAACAGAAAGCTCAGATGTACAGAAACCAAGGTCTCCCTCACAGACATACATTAACAAAAGAAAAACTATATAAATATAGATGTTAATACAAAAACATAAGTCAATTTGTCATATTGGATATTTATTTGTTAAAAGGGATCTCCACAAGTCAACATAAATACAAAGCTGTGAAAAATCCTCCACTTATGTAGCCACCACAATGCATTTAAACATACGTACTGTCTATCTAAAACAAGACAGAAAATACAAACAGAACTGTGCAAAGAATTATGAAAGAAAAAGATTTCAACTGTAATTTGGGTATTAATGTAATTATTTTATTATCTATACAACACTAGTTTTGCTCACAGAAACTAACATATTTTTAGTGTTTGACAGATTTCATATTATTCTTGGATATACAAAATAAACTGCTAAACTGGAAATTTTTGAGACTTGCAATGTGAAAGATCTCAAATTTCAATGTAAGTCTCAATAACTCTAGTTTAGCCATTATTATATTTGGGCAGATGTTGTGTAATTTTGTACAAACACAAATACTTTAGCAGAGACCTGTAGATCTCCAGAAAGAGTTTTAAAGACAGTTAACACTGGGTCCCACAACTTTTCTGATTGTCTCTATTAAACCTGTACTCCCCAATAATATGACATAACAGTCTAGTGGTTTACATGTAAAAGAAAAGTCCTCAAGTTACAATTTTAGGAAATAGGCACTACTTGTCTTTCAGAGCATTCACACACCCATATATCTCTCTCTCACATACTCCCGGTGCAAATTCAGGTAGATTAACAAGTTAAAAGCAGAATACAACTTCACTGACATCTTTTTAGCAACAATATAAGAAACAGTGCAGTCTATAAAACCCACATCCATCCACAGTGAGAAAAACACCTCTATGACAACTAAAAATAGAAGTTTAAAATCTACAGAAAACATAAAACTAACAAACTTTTTGTCAATAAGTTATGGATAGCTAAAACATATTATTTTACATTTAAAATAACATGTGATTTAATTAAAACAATAAAACATTTTGGAGTTAAAACTTGTTGTTAAATGTATTTATATTTGAGATTTGATAAAATGCTTTAAAGAGGTGTGTAGCCAAATATTGGACTGGCCATCATACATTCATGGTGAGTGTGGGACAACATAGCTCCTCCAGGTTTGTCCCATGTAAAGCTAAAAGTACTAGGCTTCAAATTTAGAGGTATAATGTTTACTGAGCAGCTTGT